AAAAAATAAAAATAAAAAATAAGAGTCAGCTACAAAACGTCTGCAATGAGGAAAAAGTTTATAAAGTTTCTCTAGCGATAGGTATATTCAAGAGACATAAGTGAATTGATTGAGAAGTGGCAGAGAAGTTATAGCTAGAAGGTGGTAACATTTAATAATCATTAGAACGAGATCGTAATTGAAGGAGGGCCTGGCGATGCGCAGGGCAAGTGATGTCTGAGGCTTGATGATAAGGATTATGGCTGGTTCCCAAAAAGGTATTGGTGTGCCAACAGTTGATGCAATATTTTTCGTCGGAGTGACATTCATTTGTGTGATGGTCGCCTCCGCAGTTAGAGCAAGTAGCGAATTCTTGAGTGCAAGAGTGGGTGGAATGATCAAGACCTTGACACCATGAGCAGCGTTAATCCGGAGCAAGTTGGTATCTCTGTGTATATATATAGAACTATTTTGGTGTGTTCTATATTGCATTAATTTCTTCAAACCAATTCAGTAACGATAATAATATTTAAAATATTACAAATTTGCTCGAATTATGTGTTTTTAATAATCTTGACTTCTCTGATCACCGGTGACCCTCGTGGTGCTACGAACAAACTCAGTGCCGGTCACCGGTGACCCCTATGGCATTCAAAGTGTTAAACGATTTCGAGATGCAATGAGACAAAAACGACCTGAAAAATGAGCAACAAATGATTGGTTTCTTTTGACATGACAATGCTTCATAACATCACGCTCTGATTGTGAAAAACTACCTTGCCAGACACAGTGTTACCATACTGGAGCACGATCCCCCCCCCCATATTCTTCCTCCTTATCACCAGCGGTTTTTTACCTGTTTCCATGCCTGAAAATGAAATTGAAGAAACACCCTTTTGGGTATTTAAACTAGGTGATCGAAAATGCGACGAAGCAACTGAAGGACCTCTCAAGAAATGGATTCCTGGAATGTTTTGAACAGTTATACGAACACTGAAAGAAGTCTGTAGATCCAATTACTTTGAAGACCAATGAAGTAAAACTATTTTTCTATTTTTCAATAATTTGCAATTGACCTGATCCGGGAACTTTTAAACTTCACCTCATAGTTCGCAATTTTCAAAAAACAAAATTTGTGTTCCAACAATGGAAAGCGGTTAGAGACAGAGAACACTCTTTTTTCTCGGAGAGGCTTCACCAGTTAAAAGCTAAAATTCGTTCGATTTAAAGAGCTGGAACAATTTGGCGTTTCGTAGCAGGACTATCTATCGCTTATATAACCTTTTCTTTTCCGTTCACAGATTTTTGTCAATCTCGTGTAAACATGTAAATAGTTGCATTTATTTTCTCTATTATTTTCTATTTTATTACACCTGCGTAAATGTTAATGTTATTCAGACCCCTGAAAATAATATGTTCAAATTTAACATAAATTATGTTTAACTTCCTATTGATTTCATCATGTGTTCAACCAACTGGTTTCTACTTGATGCTATGCACTCACTGTCCCCACTTCACAATTTACCCCATTATATGTCTCAAAAATCAGACGAATCAGTTAATGCCGCTTCGCTGCAGAGCACTAAGATTTGAGCTACGTTCTATTGTTGTTTCATAGGAACTTTTCAATCATTTACACCTGGTGGTGGAAAAAATAATTTTAAATTAAATTTACCAAACAAACAATAATAAATTAAAACATAAACTTAGCTATCAGAAGAAGAAATTTTCGCGAAACACGTATAAAGTAAGTGACTGTGAAACAAACTTACAAAACCTAATAATAGTATTGTGAAATTTTTAAGTGATACCAAAATTAAACTTTGCTAAACTTTATTTGTTATGAAACCAACGTTAAATATTGTATGAATCTAAAACATCTGAATCGGTAAATATTGGTCTTCCTGGTAACTAGAATGTGACAAAATTTCGATCATTTCATAAATCGGATATATATAAGTATATATATGTATATATGTGACATAAAAAGCTTCAATTAATCTTTTTATGTTATTCCTTTTCATTAAATCCTTTTCTTAATTTATTATTCAAAACGAAACGCTTTCTCTCACACTTTTAAATTCACATCCTGTACTTTAATCTATTTTCGGTTCAAGTATGCATTAATTAAAAGTAAGACATTTTTTCCTTTGTGGAAATCGCGCGACCCATTTAATAAACCAATTACATTTACTCAGATTTTCCTTATTCCCTAAAAAGAGACATTTTACGAATTTTCTTCTCAAGATTTTCCCTAACTTTTATTGAGCAGCACGATGAGTTTGTGTCCCTCTCTCTCTCTCTCTCTCGTCCTTTATCACATAATGATTAAATATATTTAGTGTTTACTTCTGCTAAATACTTTTAATGTTTACATTCCATTAACATAGTTATTTGATATTTTGTGTAGGTTTTGCTACCGATGGGTGTAGACGTTGATTCTATTACTGCTGAAGGATTCTCCGCTCTGCATCTGGCTGTTATGAAGTAATTTTTTTTTTTTCAGTTTTACTAGAGATAGCCAAACAGTGCTTTTTCGAATCTAATCCTGAAAATAACTTATTATTTTCAAAGGAATTGTTACAAAATGCTATTTGAACGGAGCCATTCATTCTGTATCGTTTTAAATAAGTTAATGTTTATACCGTTTTTTAATAAATGCCTGAATAATGAATGAACACAACTCAGCTACATTTCCTGAAAAACACCAGAGAAAACAATCATATTGTTTTTTGGGCAAAACCAAAAATATTGATCATTGTCAACGCATATGAAAACCCATTTTATTGAAAACAAGTTTTCTTTGTTTGAATAAAAGGTGATTTTTCTAGAAGCTGAATCACTACAATTAACAGTTCTACAAGTCTAGTATAATGGCTTAGAAAAGGTTTTAAAATCCCAGCTTCACTATTTCAAAACTTCAAAATGTTGTTTAGTTATTTGTGCCGTTATGTTTGAAAATTAAATAAATCCATGCATCGTGATGTTTAAGGGTTAGCGTTTGAATGAATTTAAAATTATTAGAAAAATTTCATCAAATTGGTATTGTTTTCAACATTACTATATGATTAACCTTTATGTAATGATTATGAAAATCATAAGAAAATAATATATAAATAGCTAGCTTTTAGCACCAAATTCCACTTTCAATAATAACATTTTACAAGAAGTAAAAAAAAGAGGAAAATTAAGTCCATATCGGTTAAAAGGTCAATCAAGTTGGGTATTGTTTTAACATACTGTATGATTAAACTTTAATTAATGATTATCAAAATCGTTAAAAAAATAATAGATAAATAAACGATTTATAGCACCAAATTCCACTTTCAATAATAACATTTTATGCGAAATTAAAAGGAAAATTAAGTTTATATTTTTATACATATCGACTTTACTGAAGTGGATTTTTTAGTGTAAGAAATAATAATTAAATGTAAACATGTAAATACATGAAAAATTACTTATCATAATTGATGGTGAAAGGTGATATCGAAAGCAACAAATTCATCTACTTGTCTCTTATTTATGGTGCCTTGTCTCTATGTACAATGCGCAAATAAATAAACGAACCATCTTGAATAACTTTTTATCTAATAATCGGATCTTTACGTTCTGGGACTCAGTCTTAAAGGTTCGAAAGGGTGACCTCAAATAAGCTAATTAGTTAGTGCAGACTAATTAGTGCGATATTTGAAGTTACGAAATTAGACACAAAAACGTGATTTCTCTTAATGCACATAACTTTTTTATCAATGGAATCCAATTTCTGACCCCCAAAATATAGGGGATAGCTGCAATCCGATAAAAATGGTTCCCATAGTTTGGTCCAGATGTTACATGACAAAATACTAAGGTTGAGCAAAATTGGTCGAACAATTCCTGAGAAATCGAAATTTAAAAAAGTCGTATTTCTAACATTCGATTTCTCAGAAACTCTTCGGTCGATTTTGCTCAAACTTAGTATTTTATCATGCAACATTACATTCTTTAAAATGGTGTAAAAAATTGAATACCTTACAATTAAAAAGAATTACGACTGTCATTAAATAAAATATTAAAAATACCATAAATGTTTACTAAATTTTATTTTCTGCAAGTAATTAGTTTTGGACAAATGAATTTTATAATCGTGTGCCAAATTTTTTCTATTCGCTCTCGAAATAGGGCGAAATGCGCAAACTTATCATTAAGGGGTCCAAACTTTAGATCGCTCTTCTGACCAAACTATGGGGACCCTATTTCCAAGATTGTGGCTACCCCCAATATTTTGGGGGTCGAAAATCCGAATCCGTCAAAAAAAGGTATATGTCTATTCAGAGAAAGCACGTTTTTGTGTCTGATTTCGTAACTTCAAATATCGTCTACACTAATTAATTAGCCTATTTGAGGTCACCCTCTCGAACCTTTAAGATTGAGTGGAGATTCGATCATTAGATCAAAAGGATTCAGGGAATGGTGCGTTTTTTATTTTGCTCACTGTACCTACTAACATTGGTGCTTAAGTCCAAAAAATGCTACCTAACGAGCGATTATTTATAAATAATTTGAGAAAGCAAATAGAAAATAGTTTTACCTTTTGTTATTCGAACATATTCCACCTTCAAAAAGTTTTTTTGCGATAAGATTTTTCGCTAATATCCATTTGGTTATATTTATCATGAAATCGTGATCCACTGAATGTATGATTATAAAAGGAGGATACCTTACTAAAAGAATCAATAACAGTGGTGCCAACTTGCTCCAGACAGTGGAGAAATATTTTCGAGTCTTTTATTGTACGATTCTTGGTTTAGTAAATTCTAATTATTGGGATTTTACTCACCACTACTTCTAAATAATTAAAAGACTTGTGTGATCCGCCACTTTGTTAAGCCGTGTTGAGCCTTCAAAAAAATTGGCAATATTAACCGAAAATCATACATTTTCTTTCGTAGTTCTCTATCATTTTTAAAAATAATTTTGTCGTATCCGGAGCACTTGGCATCTTCTCTGTATTAATTAATTCTTTTCCAAAAAGTGATTTAGTCCATTTTTAAAATTAATGACTCATTTAATATATAAGGAAAACTTTGCGGAAGATTTTAAACTTTTCTGACTTTCAAGAAGGCAGAAAAATGTAAATCTGAATGTTTATCAAAACGAACTATTACAATTGAGGTCATCGTATACAAATCATTAAAAAATCTGTTTGTTTGTTTTTTGTTTTGTTTTTTTGTATTTTTCGAAATTTAAAGAGGTTTATTGAAAGCTACGTAGTTTAAATTTCATAAACTATAACAAACTAGGTGGATTATGTTACTTTTAAAAATAATAGAGAAAGACTTTGTCTCAATACTCCTGTAAGGATGAAGGTGATTTCTTATATGACACATTTTGAACTTACAGCTCCAAAATCTTGAGTCGTAGTTGAAATTGCTTCAAGTCCCCATCGCAACGGAGATCCTCACATAAATCTATTCTAGTAAAAAGAAGAGTTTGTGTGACTCCAGAACCGGTTTTCTGCTGGATGAAAGAAACAATTTTACATCCCGACTCTAAAAAAGTTTCGAAAATTCCTCCGTTCGGAAGAGTTGTTGATTGTATTGATTTAACATTAGCCATAAATGAATCATTGCAAGATACTGTATTTTTTTAAGACTTAAGAGGTAATGTCAGTGTTGTTGACTAGATTATTTATTGAATACTGCTATGATGATGCAAGGGCTTTCCTGTCCTGAAAGAGGTATTTTTTGCCCTTGAGGTAACTGAAAGGCAAATGGGCTTAGTCATAAATGTAGAGAAAACAAAATACATACATGCTATTCTCAAGAAGCCCATTCCCATTTCTTGAACTAGATTCTCATAGATTTGAAATTGTAAGCAGTTTTACTTACTTAGGATCAATTATTACTACTGATAATAGAATGTCTCCAGAAAGAAAAAACCGACTCAATCTGGCAAGTAGGACTGTCTAATTCTATCTTGCAAATAGGGCTGTCTATGGGCTGAGAAAATATATATTAATTCTATATTTCTTTCTAGCCATACAAAGTTCTTAATTTACAAAACTGTTGTCAGGCCAGTCTTGACATATGCTTCTGAATCTTGGACAGTGACGAAATTGGAGAAACATTGTATCGCAATATTTGAGAGAAAGATTTTGCGGAGTATACTTGGTGGTGTAAATTAAAACAATTACCGGAAAAGGTGATTTAACTTTGAATTGTACAAGATTTATAAACAACCTGATATTATTAAATACATAAAAATAAATAGAATGAAATGGATGGTCCACGTGATTCAAATAAGTGATGGCAATACAAGAAAAAAGATATGCCCACTGGAACAAGAAAGCGAGGAAGGCCACAGTTGAGATGGCCAGATTCTATGGAGTTTGATTTCCTTGTAATTTAAGAAAAGAACAGGAAATCAAAGATTAATAGGAAGTCATTATGGAGAAATCTTCAGAAGAAGGCATTGGCCCACATTTGAGAGTCTGACAAACTATGATGATGATGATAATTATAAATAAATACATTTTTGGCACTTATCAGTACTGATTTGTAAGAAATGAAATTTCACAGTAGTTTAACTTATAGCAAATTAAAGGTATCTCGAGATTTATCCAAACTGGATTGAAGATCTCTTATCTAGGTGAGTTTAAGAAAATAATAAGAGTCATCTTCAAGCTCTATTACTTGCAATTTTCAGATTATAAGAAATATTTTTTACCCAAATTGATGGAATAATGAGGCGTGAAACTCAAAATGTCTACAAAAATATGTACTGAGTCATAAATGCTTGATAATATTTTCTTAAATACACTGAGATTTCTTGCGTAGTAGTTTGGATATATATATATTCTAATTAAAATGTCTTTTTCTTTTTTGCCCAGTTATCATAAATTTATTCCAAAAAGGAAATATCAATATTTCTGACAAAGTTAAATTTTTAATGGAAATAAAAATTAGTTTATTTGTATTTTTATTTTATTTATTTTATTATTTTTTTTGTAAGTAAAGTTAATAAAATCTATTTTTTTCAAACAAGAAGAATTCAATATTAATTTTGTTTAACTATTTTTTGAAATATTCATTAGTTATTATTGTTTTAATTCTTCATTTAAGGCTTGTGTAATTTGAATTTTTGTAAAAAAGAATATTTGAAGGACTTTCCTATTTCTGAAAACTATAAATAACTTAATTTAAATTCGAAGATTAAGTTACAAATAAAAAATGTACATAAATATCGATAACTTTATAAAGTAACTAAAACAATGTTTTAAGTTATTTCCTCTCAATTATTTCAATGGTTCAACCGACCCCATTTTTTAAAGTACGCCATATAATGGGTTCAACAAGAGACCCAAATCATTTTTCATCATAATTTAAATTACTGCAAATAACTATAAAAATTAAAGTGCTAACTTTGTAAAATAAAAGTAATTTATTGCAGTATTCTTATATAAAAAAATTTTTAGAAGGTAAAGTAGAAGAGTTTTAAAAATTACAGGTTCTAAAATGCAACTTGTTAAAATAAAAAATTTCACGCTTTAATTATACTGTTAATTGTTTAATTGGAGGACTTTAAGTGTCATATGCTAATGAAGAAAAGAAACAAAAATATTTAATAGAATTAAAATATTTCAGTAACGTGACCTTGTGAATAAAAACAAAAATAAATTTGTAGAAAAAAGAAGAAATGGATTCATAACAAATATTTGTTTTTAGTGGTCACTTGGAGTGCATCTCAACTCTTCTGCAGTGGGGCGCTAGTCTTGAAAAAAGGGACGCCCTAGGCAGGGGCGTCTATGAAATGGTGGAAGAGTACAATTTAGATGATGTGGCTGTTGTTCTGAGGAAATTCCACAAGCAACTACACAACTTCAAACATGTTCTGGATTACATGAAGAACAGGTAGCTTCTTCTGCCGTTTCGATTTTCTTTCAAGTGGCAACGGACCATTTTAATTCATTGATCATACCATTCTTTTAATTTCTTTTTTTTTAAAGAAAAAGAATTTAAAAAAGATAAAGACTAGTTTTTCAATTCCTTTAATCTTAAAGACTCCAACTATTTGAGGTGGTTGCGACCTATTTTTCTTAGTGGTAATGAACTAGAGCAGGATATTTTAAAACAACCTTCTTTTTTTTTGCAAAATTTATTTCAACTTGAGAATTTAAGCATTCGTCCACATGACCTTAACATGTCCTTGCATCCACATGTCCTTGCATCTGTTTAAATTACACGCGTTTAGTGGAAGATGAAATTTTTTAATGTTAATTTATATAAATATAAAAACATTAAACTTTCCTCCACTAGGAAAATTGGAGAATACTTTATAGTTGGAATCTCTGTTCCTATCGATTTCATCATATGTTCAACCAACTGGTCTCCCACTCATGACTTTCCTATTTTGTGCTTGGCAACCTCTCTCTCCCCCCGACATTCTACCGCCACTTCTACTCCCACCATAATATATAGCCCAGTCAAATTAGACTTTTGATTCGATCGAACTGATTCCCAGAAAGCTAGATATTATGTTATTTCACTTTGGGCATGGAAAATAAAAATAATATGAGTTTGTGGCACTTTCTCAAGTGAAATTAACTTTTAAAAGCAAAAAATCTGCTTCATTTTCAGCACTTTTTAGTTTTCGCAACATGACATCTTAAAAATGCTCCATAAGCAAATTTTAAGAAAAAGAAATTAAGAATCAATAAATTCCACATCGAATGATATTTTGGCTGAAAAAAGCATTGCGCATGCTTTTAAATGCTCGTAACCCAAAAATGCCTTTCCAAATGAAAAACAAAAATTGTGAAAATTGAAAAGCATCAAAATCTGTTTATAGAGCGGATATAGCTTTAATATTTTGTTCATTACCCGCAAATAACGAAAAAAAATGACGTAGTTATCATTTTTGTAGGTGTGATCTTCATTTTTTTAAATAAATTACCCTTCCCCTTTAAGGCACCCCTTTTCCACTCTCTGTATTTGAGGAATCTAAATGTACTTCTGTATTAACCTCTGTTCCACTTTTATTCGAATTTCAGCTATTGCTTAAATTTAGTGCCACATCAGGATTGTATTAAGTTCCCTCATTGAAATAATCTTAATTTTTATTTAAAATGAAAGAAAGATATTTGGCATCGCTGAGTCCAAATAATGTTTTCAAAAAATACGCATTTTTGTTCACGCATGATTATATGAAAATCACGAACATTTTTAAGTATGTAAATACTCCGAAACTAATTCGATTTTTTTTAAAAATAAAATAATGGTCTACGGTTTTTTTTAATTATTTATCATAAGAGTACAAAACTACATAAACGTTCGTTATACGTTCTTATAAACCTTTGCATTCAGGCTAACCTACTTACTACTAAATTAAAAATCCCGTTTTGACAAAAAAATCCCCGGAGAACAAAACTAATTTCAGATTCCCACTACAAAAAATTGTTTTTCCCTCCTCTCAGTTATGTGTAAAATAATTTGCAGAGTCTTTCAGAGTTTTTTCGATACTTTAACAACGTTTTAAAAGTGGAAACAAAGTGTCCTTTTATCTATGTTACTGTGAATGTTCACAATCACAGAGTCGCTCTGATGTTCGAAATATATACTAGGTCTAGTTAAGTCTGAAAGTCGACATTCTCTTGATTTCGGTCATTCGTGGTAACATATGCTTGTGGAAAACAACTTTAAATCAAATTTACAAAATAAAGTGAATATGTTTGTAATGTAAGTAATTTGTAATAAATCTGAAATTATATAGTTCGGATGCCACTTTTATATATATATATATATACTCTGATTTCGAAAAATTTCATTTACTTGGTTCATCCACTCAGCTGCTCTTCAAATGATCTGCCGAGCACTTTTCTTGAACTTGCAGACTGAAGTTCTTTAGTGTTATTCGAACTACTAACTTTACTTTTGCTCCAAAATCCCTTATCATTTGTTCTCGGATCTGCTTTTATTCGATTCAACTGAATTAAAAATGATGTCTTATTAAAAATGTATAAAAAACTGTATGAAGAACTGTATTAAAAATGATGTTTTATTTGTCTGAATAGTAACATGTACGTTTCTTTAACTTTCTTCTCTCTTAAAACCCAACGGACAAGATCGTGCTACTGTTTACCACTTACCAAAGAGAGGATAATTAACAAATTGCAGCATTTTATTTATTTTTTTTCCTGTCCAATTTAAATTCTACTTTTATTTTAATATAAATTCTTTTTTTATTATATTTTAACGTAATTTTTATTTTAATGCAAATTTATTTTAATATAAATTCTTTTTTCATTCTAGCATAAATTTTATTTTAAAATAAATTTCATTTTAATATTTTCATTTTATATGATTTTATTTTATTTAATTAATTTTATTAATAATTTTACTTTATTTTAATATTTAATATAAATTTTATAAATTCTATTCTTATTTTAATGACATACAGGGTTCGTATCAACGTAAAAATAATTAAAATTGCAGCAAAATTAAGAAGATTAATAGAATCAACCATGTAGGAGGTTAAAAAATATTTTGTTATGCTTTCAATTCAGTACAAGATTCTTGAATTTCGTGACCAAATTAAAAACTTTTTGCATGCAATTATAAAACTCTCTTACCCCCCAAAAAAATTTTTAAAAATAGTTTTTTTTAAATTATCAAAGTTAGCTTTATAAATTATTATTTTGATAGACAAATAATTTCAATAATTATATAATATTATTTATTTTAACATTAGTCGGAAGATTTTACTACGGAAAGTTTTACGNAAAAAGAGTGCTTTCTGATATTGTATCAATATAGCCAAAGCAAAATATATTATTATACAATAGTGTGAGGAGCACTCAAAAAATTTTTTTTAACAAAAATTACAACAAATGAAATAGAGCACAATAAGTAAAAATAACACGTAAGAACACAAAATAAAAAGAAAAAACAGTATAATGCAAAATCTCCAAAGCGAGTAGCGAAATCAGATGTACTTACATGAACGGGAGAAATCCATTTCGGGCAAATCCGTGTGTAAAATTATTTACTAAAAATTTCTTTATTAATTTTTCCATGTGCAAATCCATTTCGGGCAAATCCGTGTTTAAAATTATTTACTAAAAATTTCTTTATTAATTTATAAAATTTTTCCATGTGCAAATCCATTTCGGGCAAATCCGTGTGTAAAATTATTTACTAAAAATTTCTTTACGAATTTTTTCATGTGCAAAATCCATTTCGGGCAAATCCGTGTTAAAATTATCTACTAAAGTTTTTTCTTTGACAATTTATGTAATTTTTCCATATGCAAATCCATTTCGGGTAATTCTCTTTTGTATTTTTTCCTAAATAAATATTTATTTATTTTCTAAAATTATTTATGGTCAACTTTTTAATTTATCCAGTATAATATTACCTTGCTCACATCCATTTCGGGCCCATCCTTGGTAACTAACAAATCAATGCACAGCATAACAAATCACTTCAGCAATGCAGTAAGAACGGCACTTTAAATTCCCATAGTTTCACTCAATTTGCGCTTTTGTTTTCATATTTTGTAATCTGGCAATCTTNTAAATTCTCATAGTTTCACTCAATTTGCGCTTTTGTTTTCATATTCTGTAATCTGGCAATCTTGTTGCGAAAATAGTTTCAAATCATTCTTGAAAAATTTCCCGTTCATGTAAGTACATCTGATTTCGCTACTCGCTTTGGAGACTTTGTTTTATACTGTTTTTTCTTTTTATTTTATTTTATTTTCTGTTTTTACGTGTTATTTTTACTTATTGTGTTCTATTTGTAATACGTTGTAATTTTTTTTAAAAAAAATTTTTGAGTGCTCCTCACACTATTGTATTAATATATTTTGCTTTGGCTATTTTGATACAATATCAGAAAGCACTTTTTTATGCGGATATAATCGTGTGGGCTGATGAAAAGATTATATATTTTATTTTCCGGTTTTTTTAAAAAAAAAATTCATCTTTTTTTTTTAATCAGTTGTTTGTTATTTTCTTTCATCATTATTTCCCCCCCCCCTTTTTTTTTCTTCATATGTCTATAATTTTCCTTTGTTTTATCTTTATTTTGAACTTGTCTAATGAGTTCTGTTTACTTGCAGCTTTTGCGTAATAAATGAAACTTATTGTTTTTCTTAACTTTCTTCGTGTTTTCTTGTATTTATTTATTTTGTTATATATATATATATTTTATAAGTTATCTTTACTGTTAATGCTATATTTTAAAATTTTAGGAAGGAAGACAGGAGTACGTCAGAAATCCCTCAAGAATTCATGGATATTTTAGCTTCGATTGCGGAAGAAAGCGGAACCGAATGACAGATGGGGCGTGGCTTATAAAAGCTCACGCCCTTTTTTGAAGCGGCCTGGATTTGAATCTCCAGTCAACTATCCAACAGCCCAATATGAGCTTGAATTGCAGAGCAAAACGTTATAAATCAGTGAGAAACAAAAGCACACACTTTTTTCTTCTTTTTTTAATACAGTATTCTGAAAGGAAAAAAAAATCAACAACACAAGTGGAGCGTTCTGCTCCAACACTTTTGAACTAGATTTTGATTGATTTAGATTTTCAGAAGTCTAATATTTTTAAAATATTTGATAAAGAAATGCAAAAGTATCTAATTTTTGTTAAACTCTCTCAATGACATCACAACAATAATGGGAACAGGAAAATACACACAAGTGATAACAAATGAAGAATTTATTTTCAATAGCTTCTAGTCACCAATTCTAGAGTTCTTGCGAGATTGAAGTGTCTTCTGATGGATTATTTATTAACTTATCTTCTACATATCATTCTATTCAACTTTTTCTCAACATGTTTCGATACTCATACACGATATGAAATTCTTTTTGTGACTTGGTAGAATTAGATCCATGCATAGATATTTCTTAATACTGAAGGACAATCAATCTGTTTTACATTTAAACCCTAATTAATGTACAACAAATTAATTTAAAAAAACTGTTTTTGAACGATAAGTGCAAGACGTAGGAACACAAAAGTAACAATCATGGAATTTTAAAGTAGTTAGAAACTATGTATTAAATCCATTTTAAATGGCGATTACGTATGACATAGTGTCTTGGAAATCTTAACATTTTTAGCTCAGAGTTCTGTAAACGGATTTCTTTCGTGTAAAATGGTGTAGAAACGTTGACACTATATCAAATAGTGCGCTAATTTCCCAGTAAGTGGAGCTGAAGCTCAAGAAATGTTCATACTTTTCACTGCAGCTTTTAAGATTTTACTATTTTTACAGCTGATAAAAGAATCACGTAACCGATTAGACTAATCATTCTGTTTATTTGTGTTCAGATTAACAACTTTGGGGAATCGGAACACGAAATCAAAAACGGAAAATTTTCATTTTCATTGAGTTTGTGCAAAAGACGAACTTACATTCAATGGTTTGTCCTATTAAAACATCATTTACCCTAAACAGAAAGTGTCCCTTTTGTCGCTAGTTTTTGACTGTTTTCAAAGTTTCTTTCAGCCAGATTCGTTTTCCAGAAATGCCAATTGCTCCGGCTGCGGGTGGGTGACCACTTGGATCAGTCTGAGCAGGGACCGAGGGTGTGCGGAATTGGTCCTCGTTAAACTGTTATATCGTAAAGTGCTCGACTTCGTATGCAGGTCGTCGAGCTACCAAAACAGGGGTGCCATCCCCACTGTAGAAGATCAAAATTGTGATCGCATGTCTTCGGATCATCCTCAGGGATGTTTCCCAGACCGTGGCCAATAGCCCACTAGTGCTACGTAAATGAACAACAACAACAACAAGACAATTGCTCCGGTTTCGAAAAAATATTTTAAAAAACGGAAAAGAATTACAAATAAAAATTTGTAGATTTTCGGTTACTTTTGCCAATTTTTCAAAAAGCTGATATGAAATGGCATATTACATAAGCTTTCCAATTGTTTAGAAGTATGTGAGTAAAAACTTTATAAATAGAATTTACGAAACCAAGAGTCATACAAAAAGAGTCATAGAATTTACTAAACCAAGAGTCAAAAAAAAAAGAAAGACTGTGACTCGAAAATATGTATCCGCTGTCCGGAGGCATTTCTAAGTTGGCATTTCTGTGTCACTGCAAACTACGGCTTATAATATCTGGTCAAGTGGAATAAAAGATATCCCGTAGACACATCCAAGGCTACGGTGGGACTCGAAACCGCTACTTCCACGCTGCGGGGGACGATTGGCGGAATGGCCGCTTCATTATCAATTTACAACGGAAGTGTTATAAATATAACTAATAATAACCAAAGAAAGTTGGGGGGGGGGCTAATTTGTTCTAATTTTTGCATTAAATTCCTAACTTGAGGAATAAATAATATTTAACCTTAACATGTTGTAATTCTTTTATGGGTAGAAAACCATTTTTTATATTATTTCTAATCTTGGCCCTCAATAAAAGTTACGCTCTATATGATCACCTCATCGGAGTTGTATTAATCTATTCAATCGGGCAGAAGTTCTTTCTTTATGGGCTTAACGATAAACATTTTCTTACGAAGGAGGTTATGGAGGCTAAGGCTCCACATCACGAACTGGCTGCATTTATTTCTGAAACTAGCTAATACCCATCGATCTGAGTGTGGCCGCTACCTTGAATAAAACACTACTCCTTCAAAATGAGAGCGCCCTAACCAACCTAAAAGAGAACTCCAATTGAATAATGTTTATAGAACTCAGAGGTGGAAGTGTTTGAAAATTCTGAACATTATAAATGAGTGTTTTATTGAAAATAATTATATATAATGTATCTGTAAATAATATTCTTGATATGCATGAAGGGGATGATGTTTGAAGCAAAAGTTCTGCTAAAAGTCATTTAGCAAAGACGAACTTCAAACATCATCACCGGTTCAATTGTTCTTTCGTACAGCTCCCCTCAGTAATATTTTTCTACAAATTAGGAAGGAAACAATATTTGATATTTGAACAATGTAGATCGTTTAAGAAATTATGTTAAAATGAATTAATATCATACGGAAAAAATGATCTCTGTAATTAACAAAACGTTTTACATTCATATCTATAGTCAGTCTTTCTTACAATAGTAGTAGTATATATATTTTTAAAGGCAATATGTTATCGCATGATATTCCCTATGCACCATTTTGATAAATATGCCTAAACTGAATATTGTAGATCTGAAATTATTGGGAACTGCCCGCCAAGCATTAGATATTTTGTTACAATCACGCCATTTTACTCCTCTCGAAAACTAATAATAAACGAATCTGAACTAAAATTGACTTGAAACTTTTTATGAGGCTTGTTTTAAAAAGCCCTTTATTTATCGTATAATAAATAAAAATACTTCATTCTAATTAATAATACAAATGATAGAGCATCAAAAATAATGTATTCTTGGCATCATATGTATTCAGTTTCAAATGAGTTTTTAAAATATTTTAACAGAAATTAAATTATATATGATTTAAGCTTAAACAAGAGTAAACAAGGCGAACACTAAAGAATTACTAAATGTATTGTTTTTACCTTTTCAAATAATAAATTGCCGTAAAAATCAGTGTAAGATTCACTTAAAAAAGGGGGTTCCGATCACATAGTGTTTCATTTCGCCTCATTAGGCGAATGTTGAAACAAATATAGAAAAGTCTGTCTCTATCTTCGATTGAAACTCCTAATGCCTTGAACCTATTATTTTATATATTCAATAAAATAGATAAGAGTTGTTTTTTTTTAATCAAATTTTGTATTTTTCTAATACAATGAAGACTTAGTAAAAACAGAAGGTAGAATAAAATAATTTGCGTATTTTAAAATTTAGTAACTGTATTACCAGAAATATACTTAACTATTTCTATCTGAGCATATGATTCCATAGTAAGGTTTAAAAATATCAAATGCAATTTTTCTTTGATGGTACTTATGGTGGAGAATTTCTATTTGCAATTTTAGTTCCTACTGAAATTTATTATCATTCTAACTCCGTTTCAATTGGAATATTTTGTCGTTTTACATTAAAACTTTTCTGCAGCCCTCCCCATGTTATTAAATAAAAACATGATGAATGGGATACTTGCATGTGACGTAGTATAGATATCTCGATCCTGATGGGTTGTTGAAACGTGGCATTCGTTTAGGTTAGCAACTGTTCTTTTTATTCTATTTCGAGTTAGCCAAGCCCGTCAAGTATTAATTCTCTTAAGCGACATATTCTAAATTCTTTCACAAAGATTTCAATTCCACGACTGTATGGTTACACTAAGACAGGCACGAAGATATGTAGAATATAAACAAACTTATTATGCATCGAAGTTGCCGCGTACACTAAACAAAAACATATCACGGTCACAATGAAATACATAAACAATTAATATATCTAAGTTAAGTAAAAGAAGTAGAGGAGAAAGAATTATATTTTAACTAATCCTATGCGCTATATACGGCTCTTTATTTAATTAACTTAGCGTTAATTTTCATTTAAAGATATGTAGAGAAACTTTAGCTCAACTTTAATACTTCATATTGCTGATAAAGATTAGCTTGTACTGACGTCACTGGTCACATGCGTGGGTATTGGTTGTCCCAATTGAAAGAAAAGACAAACAGATGCTTTGCGCTCCAGAAAGAACTGACTGTATGTGACCACATATTTTAAAAATATCGTGATTAAAGTTTTTCCGAAATGGTGCTCTTCGTTTCCATGTAAATTTTGTCCCTGCTGTGGTAATAGAAAAACTTTAATATCATTTAATGGATCTTATTTTTAAAAACTAATTCCTATTCGAAATCAAAAACGAAAAATTANTTCTTCGAAATTAGTTTGCGCAATGAAAATCATCGCCGTTGGAATACAGATCGCTGAACTTTTTATGATCGGTAGACATCCTGATCCTGCTTATTTTAGCTATTCAAAAAAAAAAATTAAAAATTCACAAAAATCACTTAAAATTGCGTTAAATTAGGAACCAATAAGAATTTCGAATTAAAAACTCTATGTTAATTTCATAAATCAATATGGTTCTTTCGTCTTACTAAATTTCAACAATAAAGTTGCATTCCTGCGGCCTGTAAAGCTGTCCATAGGGTATTTCTCCCAACAGCTAATAATTCTCGAACTAATTATCAAATGCTAAATTTTTTTTATGCTTGCCCCTTTTATTTTTTTATTATTGTCCTTTTTATTATTTTCCCTTTTCTACACACCTCTGGAGACTCAAGTTTCTAAGTCTTATAGTTTTTGTTTTTAACATATAACGAAATTATAGTTGGAGTACGTACAAACAGTCAGAAAGCCAACTGTTCATAGATACCTATAAAGATGCGTATGAGTGTCGAAATGTGTCATTTTTTTCCTTTTTTTTTGTTTTGTTTTTAAGCGATTAACAAGCTTCCGTACACTTTTAATTTGACGATTGTATTCAAAGCAAAGGGGTCGGGATAGCCTGGTTGGCAGGGTGTTGGACTCCCATTCATGAGAAGGAGATTGTATCACATTTTATTTCAGTTTTTCCATGACGAATGCAACCGTCATTTGCTCATCGTGATTTTTTTTTCTCTTCATAAGCAGACAAAAAGCGATCGATATGTTATCTGGAATGTTACTTTTTTTCCGACATATTGCTGAATAATTCCCTCTTTTTTAATTTACGTTATATTTTGCTTTGATGCACAAAGTATATAAGACTTGGAAATTTCAAGTGACGAAGGTATGTAGAAAAAAGTAGAGGGAGTACAATGACATAAATAAAAAAAATTTAAAATGTGACAATTAGTTCGAGAATTATTAACTGTTAACCTTGTAGGAGAAAATACCATGTTTAGTCAATCTCTGAAATGCAAATATGGAGTTGAAAATTAACTTGCTGAAAAAGCCATTTTTATTTGCGAATTTCTCGCAAATTTTGTTTCAAAAATTCAATGTGTTCGAAAGTTATTGCAAATGTATGTTATTTATCATGATTTGTTTTCTGTCTTTACATATAAGCTATTTGACAAGTGTTGCATAAACTTTATTTTTCCCTCACGAGATCTTTATTTCTCCATTTTAAATTTATTTTAAAAAAAACTTAGTTAAGAGCGATAAGAACCGTTCTTTATTTGAATTGTAACATGCGCTTCGTCAACGAGTAAAGTTACTTTGGATTTATTTCTTCTTATTCAATCACACATTCTGCGTCCTATTGGATGAACTATATTTTTCAAGTTCAGATGATTATTTTTCAAATCGAAAAATTAATCATCGATGTTACAAAATGTTTTTGCATAAAGCTGCAATAATTGTATATTTCGAAAGCAATATATTCTGTGTTTTTGCGGAATATCGTAATTTGAGGGGAAAAAAACAATAATAGGTCAAAAGCAATGAAGGAGGTCGGTAAGCGGAGCCTCCCATTATGTAAAAAGAATTGGAATGAAAAGGTTAGTTATAATAAAAAACGTCACCTAAAAGTTGTTATTCGTTAAAGAACCGCTTTGCTTTTTCCGTTACCATAGTGTTATTAGCACAGATTCAAATATCACCATTTCTAGAATCTTCGATCAAAAAATTTTGAAATATGTTGTCAGTTTTGACGTGTAAAATTTTCCAGGGCAATTGCTAAAAGTAGAAATTCTTTTTTTTTTCCTTAACTCTTGAGCCTGGAGCAGTCACAATGTGTAATGAGGGCGGTTCGATTCAAGGATGATAGTGATGTGATATCTGGTAAGAAATTCAATTTTAGACCATTCCTAATAATTTTTCGTATAAATTATCACTATATATTACAAGCATACTTTTACTATCACAATGCATGTATCATGAAAATATCCTTACAAAAACAAAACCGATTTAAACGGCATTCTTGTTGTTATTTAACAATACAACTGTCTTAATTATCCTTTACGCAATAAATATTTACCTATTTCTACTCATGTCAAAATGATGACTCTTTTAATATCCATAACTGCTACTGCATCGCATAAATATTGTCCAGATAAGAAATACCCACTCTAGGTTTCAGTTTTTGCTTACATCAAAATGAATGTTTTTTTTCTCCACATCAATCCAGTCAAGCGTCCAGTCAAACCTCCATTATTTTTATTTTAATTATCTATGATTAAAGTTCTTTCGAATAAGTGGTGGCAAGTTTATCATATAGCTAAAAAAAATGGTTATGCCTAACTTGTAATGTGTAATGTTCAAAAAATATCCAACACGTTTCTAAATCTAGATATAAATCATTTTAACTGCCAAATTAGTTTTAGTTGTTACGAATACATTGAAATTTGCTTTATTCTTTTCGTGTTAAACTACCAGTTCTTATAAACATAAGAATTTTACTTGCACTTTTCGAAGAAGTTTCCTTCTTCACCCGTAGTATTTAATGATTATTCTGTTATCGAATATTCCATTTTAATAGTTCTAAAGATGTTTTCATAGTGTTTAATCAGCACTGCTTGTGCGCACATTGTGGTTTTATGGATGGTTGATGAAATGTAAACAATAAAAAGCTACCTAAAATCGAAACTTTCGGCGTATCCCACCGCTTCTTATGTTATGCTTCAGAGGCGATGTGTGAACATGAAGTTTTATTATTGTGTTTACGTTAACTCATAATTTCATCATTCATAAGAGTTTTCTAACAGATCGTGAGTCTAAAACAAATTTAACAAAATTAATATCACAGCATAAAAGAAGTGTAATGTTTTGAGCGTTATCCCTTATTTGGCTATATTTGTGTAAAATAGCGTTTTTTTTTTTTTTTTTGGATAGCATCATAGCAAGCTTACGGAGTCTTCAAAATTCATTTGTTGTTTGTTTCGTTGGAAGTTAGATTGAAGGAAGGCATTGTATTGAAAACACAACAAGTATAATGTTGGATGGGGCATTTTTCAAAGCTTAGACGAAAAATTAGTCGGAATTAGTAACCCGAAAGTTCTACGACGAATTTTTACTCCTAGCTCCATCTCCGCTTAGCTTTACACGGTCAACCATCCTTATTATTTTCGGAAAAAATTTTTTTTCTAAAACTTTATTAACTGCTCTCTGCGGTTTTGGGAAACTTTTTTCGAATGGCAGTTAAGTTTGTGTTTTAATGTATGAATCTTTGTTTTGTATAATTTATTTAAACTTATTTTGCACACCACTGCATCAAAATGAATCAAAAGCTGATATGAAATGTCCAATTCTCTCGTGGTTTTCTTTTAAAATGCTGGCAAAAGTTATTAAAAATTCTGAAAGCTTTAATTTTTAATAGTCTACCACTCTATAAAATATTTTGCCAAAAAAGCGTAATAGTTGGCTGCCTTGCATTAAGAACAACATTTGTACATTGTAATGAAGCTAGTGCTTTGTTTTCCTTTAAATAATTGATGTTTAATTTATGACGATCACACATGAAAATAGAAGTTATGCATTTAAATAATAAGTTCTTTATTTAAGCAAATTAGCAATAAGCAAATTTGCTTATTGCTAATTGACGAAAGACACAAATTGGAAAATAAATTGTTGCAATAAACTGTTTTTATGTGTTCCAATAAATTTGTAATAATAATTTACTTTATTTAATAATGTTTTTCATAGTATTATTCTCACTATTAATAAATGATATTTAGTGGAATAATTAATTGATGATTGAAAACCATTTAGTATCGAATTTTAATACTTCTAAATAGCATTACATTATTTTTCTTTTATTAAAATCGCAATTAAAATCAAAAACATAGCATTCTATGGTGCTTTTTATCTAGCTCATTATTCTCGGCATTCTTAAAAATAAATGAAATTTTTCAAAATAAAATTTGGACGTCTAGTTTCTACCACACTAGATGGCAGCACCGAGACTCTATTTGAATGCTAAAGTGCACTAGGAATTTAATTTTGCGGGAAATGCCAAGAGCCAATAAGGCACTCCAGGGATCTTTTACATGCCGCATAATCATACGACATGGCCGCTGAGGACTTTCCGCATCCCGAAAATCCTGTGTCTGGGCTGGGGATCGAACCCGCAGACTTTGGCTCAGAAGGCCGACGACAAACCAACTGCGCCACCCAGCCACTTATTTTATTCTAATTCTATAAAATGTTTCGAAGTTAATTCTTTAGGATAGCTTGTGTCAAGTAAAAGTACATTTTGTAAAGTAAATCAGGATTTATTACTATTTTTTTGGTCAGAAAGTATTGTAATATTGAAAATAGTGCAAATTTACATAAAATGCACGAGTAGCCGTTTTAAACTTAAATAAATAGGCATAAAATAATAAATAATAAATAAATAAAATAATAAATAGGAAAAAACGTTTTCAATAGTTATTTTTTCTATTTACAATTGAATTTATAATATAATAGAATGAAACAAACAGGAATAAATAAAAATATGACGCTATTTACGAATAACAGAACTAAGATTAAAGATTTGGAATTGATTAGAAAGTTTTATGCTTCTACACAAATGCATAATATGAAGAAATTTCAAAACACTAACATAAACCTACGCAATCAATTCCTAATTCAATAGTTTTTATCGAAATAAAGCATAAAAACTTAACTTTAAAAATATAAGTCACAAAGAATTATTATTCTGAATACATTTTAGTTCAGAGTTTGACAGAGACATTAAATTATTAACCGCAGGGTGTCAACTATTCAAATTACAGAATCAACTAACCATTTCAACTAACATAATCAACTAACCTGTTAGAGGCAGCAAAGGCTGTTTGCTCTAGGGAGAAATTTCAAGAAAAGTGTCGTGATGAAGTCAGAGTGGATCGTACAGAACGGGATATGAGTTATAATCATGATTGGCTAATCTTTCATGATTTTAACTCATTTTATTAAAGTAACAACTGAAACTTAATCAAAAATTTAAATCTTTAAAATTCTTAAATTTTTTTTAAATAAATAAATTGCCATTTTAAGTAAAGAAATAGTCCTTCAGTTAAAATTTTTCATCACTATTTGCTTTAATGTGTACAAACCACATTCCCCTCTTCCCCACATACTCCAAGACTTATTTGTTAGTGTAGAATTGCATTTGTGCCTGATCGTCTCAATGGATTTGTTAGTTAGTGTTCCAAAATAACCGACCTTAAAAGGCCTCTTCCCTCGCTATCTTGAAATAATTGTTAAATGTTTGTTTTCTGTTGTTAAGATAACTTTTGATGTAAGACGATCATTTGATAAACCTTTTAAAAAAATGAAATGATAGTAAAGCGTCGTTTTATGAGATTCGAAGAAATTGTGCTTGATCATTTGCACTTTTCCAAATTTTTCCTCAAAAACATGACGCAATAAAATGATGCGCTTAGTAACGTTTGATAAATCATTTAATTCTGTACATTTATCTGTTTAAGACTTTTCTATTTTTTCTGATTATTCTTGTTGAATTATATGTTGATGAAAGCCGATTTGGGGGACAATGAAAAATTCGTTAAGAGTAAATGATACAAAGACTGTGGTACATTTGTCAAACATCTAAAAACAGACTATCTTTTAAAAAATACTGTTTGCAGAATTACATTGGAAGAAAAATTCAGTAGAGTATCTAAAAATCTTATATCTCAAATTCTGATCGGTTGACTGCCTTACGAAGAATGTTGCCCAATCGAGTCATTATGAGTTTTTTTGTGAAAATTAAATGGGGAAAAAAGTATATTTAGAATTTCTACTCTCCCATTCGACAATTTTGAAATGGGTCGGGAGGAAAGAAGCCTCTTAAGATATTTCTTTTGCATTTTTGCAAAAAATGAAATCAATCAATTATGCACGTAATGAGTACTATTTGCGGGGGACAACAAATAAGTGATAAATTATATTTGAGAGCAATAAAGGAGAGATCAATAAGAACCTTACATTTTAAAGATTACGACCCTCTTCCTTTCTCTTCTCGACTCTTAGAATGTAAAGAGCATGATCATATAGTCTTTCTGACTTCAGTGGCAAGACAACACGATCTCAATTCGATATTCTCTTATTAAATCTCGTATTAGTACGTATCGGAGCGTAAGGCTAGGGGAAGCTCTTCTTAGAATACGTATACTATCAGAGATCCTTCACTGGTTAAAAATAATAAAAAAAATTGTTTGTTTTTTTTCAATTAAAAATGGACTTGCGATTCTCAGTGTGCATAATTTAATGGCTTCATTTTTTACAGCATTTAACCAATTGCATATTCAGAGTGGTTACACTTTATCACTTTGTACAAACAAAAGTGTCACGTATGAATGGTGCCTAAGAGTTCTTCCATGTACATAATTCCCTCCTTGTAAATACGCCCCCAACTCTCATTCTCTTGACTGTATGACTGGTTGTGCACATTTCACGTGTCGCACATACTCTGTGAAGTTCTTGGGAGCTTTTTTTTTTCTTCTTTCCTTCGAGCTTCAGAAATATCCACGACTTGCCTTTCACAGAACTTTGATCTCTCTCGTTTTCATTCATTATTATTATTTTGTCTACAATAAAAGTTTATTTGCTATGCTTTTCACTTGTCATTTTTTTTCTATTAACTCGTCACACATTCACATTTCCACAAAATTAAGAAAGAAAAAAAATTTAAATTATGTTTTTATATCCAGAGAAAAAAAAAACTAGAAGTACAGAAAAAATGATCACACATTCGCATATTGTGACAAGAATGAAAATAATTTTCTACTGAGTTCCTCCAGGTTTTTCAAATTTTAAAAGCAGTGAGAAAATAGGAGCAAAAGTCAATATTCTAACACATTTGTGACCACCATTAAAAAGTCATTTTTAACAGAATATCGTTAGAAAAATTCAAAGCTGAGTCACTTCAATCACAAAGCGTTAAAGCAAGAAGAGTCCTGATAGTTTTAATGGGATAGTTTCATGAGAACTATATGCCTGATAATAAAAAGATATTGAAGCATGTGTATATAATTATGGAGATAAGAGTAAAATGGTTGGGTACCGTTGAATATTTCAGACATTAACTTTTTCTATTCCTGAGCATTTTTAGGCAGTTTATTTGGATGCAAAAATTGGTAATAGACAGCAAGAAGTGCTAGTCCGATTGCAAGAGACAAAACCACTGAAGCTAAGAGAGGAATTCTGTACCACAGATCATGATCAGCTTTCAAAAACCATAGAATCACCAGAGCCACATTCTCTATCCATATAATTATATAAAATATTGTGTACTTCCATCTATAAAAGAAAATACGTTTGCACATAAAATTGTAAAGAGTGTATTTACAAAACATATCTCACTATATATAAAAATATATTTATAGTGTCGCATTTTTCCATTGTCAAAACAATTTTATTGGCCGGATAGTCACATGGTAGGATCCAGTTTTCCCAGATTAATTTTAATATTGGTTTGGTTGTTATCAGCATAAAATTGATACAAGTCATAAAGTTATTGTTTTCCTACAAATATTTTGTTTCCGTAATTTAAAGGTTATAAATACATTATTTCTAAATTATGAGTTTAGGAGGATTTTTTTGTAATTTTATTATCATTAGAATAATGTAATTGTACGTTGCGTTTTAAAATAAAGTTATTTAAATCGGTGTCTGATCTTATTAACCGTTTCACAATTATTATTTTTTAGTGCAAATGACATTAATATACTATTATGAATGATGGTTGAAGATATTCGTTAAACGATTTAGAACTTAACTTTCATCTTCTTGCACAAATTGATGAATGCAAACATTGTATTTAAAATATACATCCGTTTGTTTGGTAAGCAAAAATATTAAATGACCGTTGTGAACTCACCAAATGTGCTATAACACTATACTTTCAATTTTAAATGCTTTTTCAAAAAATGATTACTTAGGAAAATGATTTACGTTCACTTATAAATCTTAATTGTATCATGAGGGAATTATTTGTACGTGGAAAGTGGAGGCACAAGTGTTCTTTTACGTACATACATTTTTAGTAGAATAATTTCAAGTATTTAATGCCAAGAAACAGCAATTATTGTGAAGCAATCATTGGAATTGGTGAGCGTCAGCATACGGGGTGCTTAGCCCCCTAGAATATCATTAAAATAATAAGTCGATGTTACAAATGTGTAAATGAAATAGTCAATCCTGCTTAGTCACATTAATCAGTGAGTAAGAAAAGAGACTACATAATTTCACTTAACATCATGAATGAAAAAAAAAACCGCTTTCTTTATTAACATTTAAATCTGCAACAGAATAACTATTTATTAAATATTATGAAATTATTGTTTTAAATATAGTATATAGTTTTGACATACTATGGAGTACTTAGAGAATATATTTAGATGATCAGAGATGTTTAGGTCATGCGATTTATCATACATACTAATAAAGTTTAAAGCTTTCAGAGGTTTGAGGGACCACTGGTCATAAACTACAAACGATAAAAAATGTTTTCGAAAACTATGCCAGAAAATATAGAATGACTTACGTAACTGTAGCGATTGCTTTGGTTATTTATAAACAACAAATACTTAAGATAAATTTTGAAATATTCAATGAAATCTAACAAAATTTTTAGAGTAATTTTCAATGAATTAAAAAATTATCATTTTAAAATTTTAAGAAAAATTATTGAAGATTGCGTTAGATATGAACATTTAAAAATTAGTTCTTTCGAACAGCACATGCGTGGAAAAACGTTTAAAAAAAATTTCATAAATTTGTAGTAAATCGCATAAGGACACGAATGAAAAAAGTCCGATTCGAATATAATTGAAATTTAAAGAGCTTCGAGCAATTTTTTAAGAAACTTTTGTAAATTTTGAAAGAAAGTTCTGAATGGTAAGAGGTTTTTCACAAATTTCATTTTGTATCATAAGTAATAAGATAAAATTTATTGTAAAATTTATAAGTAATAAGATAAAATTTAATAACAAATGATAATACCTTGCAATAATAGTCCGTATACCAATGTTATGGTATAAGAAACGAAAACATACTTTTAAGGGGAATGATCCCCCATAATGCTGGTATCATTTTTAATAGATCTTTTTTTTACAAATTAAGAATTGCTCTGAAAATTGTGTTTACTCTCATTGAATTTTTCATTTAAGTTATGGAAGAAAATTGCAAGACAAAAAGAGTAGCTTTTTTTAAAAAACTTCCATATTGTCATAAATATTTAAGCTAAGCATGCAAAATTTTATGCAATTGTTGCATATTATAGCCAAAATAATCAATATAAGTTACAAATTTATTGATATATATTCTGACATAATTGTTCAAAAGCACTTTTTTCGTACGTAATTTATTGTTGTAATAAATAAATATATATGTTACGGGCAATGTAATTATTTACGTCAGTATTCATAATGCTTAGTAATTATGAATAATGACCATTAAAATTGGGCAATTTGATAAATTTCAATTACTTTACGATAATTTCTCATATTGCCCGGTCATTATAAATACCGCTATTACTTCTTTGGGCACTTTGATTAATTGACAGCAATGGGACAACCACGTGCGTGTGGTGCGATTCTGGCTGGCCTATGTTCACCGGTGAATATTAACAATCAAATTACTCGCCTTGGTGAATGTCCGAAATATTTATTACATTCGATTTGATACTAATTTATTCGTGGATATAATTACATTCATTCGATATTTTAATACTTACTGACGATAGATTAAAACAAACATCAGTGTTTGGAGTATCGGGCAAATATATACCGGGCAATGGCACTTGACCTTAAAAAAACATCAGTGTAGGGCATACCGGGCAGTGGCACTTGACCTTAAAAAACATCAGTGTAGGATATACCGGGCAAATGTATACCGGGCAGTGGCACTGAACCTTAAAAGAACATCAGTGTAGGGTATACCGGGCAATGGCACTTAACCAGACCTAGTATGACTAGACCGATGGTAAATGTCCGAAATATATACTAGGTCTAGTGCCCCTTTTGCTACAGCTTAAATGTTTAAAAAAAATTAAACAAAGTGTTTGAATCAATTTTAAACTGATACCGAAATTATTGCTTTGAAATTAAAAAATAATAATAAAAACTGCTCCAAATAAGAGTAATTGAAGTAGTTGCTTTATACAGCGCATGTGCGGGAAAAATTTTTAAAAAAATTATCCAGGTGCATCTAAAAATGGATGAATATCCCAAGACACCCTGTGGCTGTGTGTGACACAAATTGCCCAATTGACTTTTAGCTTTATACATAATGACCAGGCAATGTAATAATTGCAACATAATTTATCATTTTGTCATATCCTTTTGGGCACTTTTTAAATTGCCCGGTCATTATAAACAATGCCCAATTATTTACATTGCCCGTGACATTTGTTTATATATATATATATATACAAGCGTTAAACATTACATAGTTTCCAAAGTTTCTAATTTAATTGTATCTGCATTAACATCAATCTGGTAAAAAGCTACAAGTACAAAACTGTACTTTTTATGATGAATACTTTTCTGACTTATAAACTATTAATTCTATTGACTTGTTAGTCTCATTCTTTTCAACACAAAGTAAAATGCATAAGAATGAGTACCTGACTTGTCTAGATAACAATGTCAGGAGCTAAATATGTTAAAATACACAATAAATACTTCTCACTCATAACTTTAATAATATTTAAACTATTTGTATTGATAATTTCCGAACCTATCTGGAAAGCAATGTTAAACTCATTAACAAGAAAGAGTACATTTTAGTGAGAATAGCTCTTGATATTTTTCTCACCGACCTGCATCGAAACTTGTCTAAATATTTTTACCCCAACCCCTACTCGAAATAGTTCAACCTGTAACCAAGGAAGGTTGTCTGAATGTAAACAATAACAAACTTTCTAAAACCGTAAGAAATTTAGAAAACTTCCGGTGTATCCTTCCACTTATGTTATGTTTATGAGGCGATGTGTGAACAGGCTTAAAAATCCAGGAGGTTTAATTATCGTGATTTGTGTTCGTGTAATTTTACCATTCATAAGAATTTTCTATAATTTATACAGTCTAACAGGTCGTAAGCCTGAAACAAATTTAAGAAAATTAATATCACAATTAAAAAAAAGTATAAGGTTTGCCATGTTTTGAACTTAATCTCTTATAGGCTATATTAGTGTAAAATACCGCCATTTGTTATTTTTTGTACAACGCCATAGCATGCTTGTGGAGTCTTCCGAATTCATTTGTTGCTTGTTTGTTGAAAATTAGATTGAAAGAACGCTTTATATTGTAAACACTACGAGTATTATAATATATTAGATAAGCTTAGGCGTAAAAATGAATCTAAAGTGGTAACTCGAAAGTTTTACGACGAATTTTAACCAACAGCGCCATCTGTGCTTTGCTTTACACGATCAACCATCCATAGTTAGACAGTGTTCCAAGCGTAGGAGAGTTCTCTAGATAGATAGACAGTACTTTACCTTGTGGGTTCATCCTTAACATTGACGAAACAGAATACGTAAATGACTCCGATGACTACGTTGAAGAAAAGTTCTTCAATGGGCCTAGGCTGACCAGAAGCTGTCGCACACGAGTTTGTTCTCAAAAATATCAACCAGATGGTCATGAGTGCCCAGTGACCTGCCACAAAAACCACGATCCAGTGTCCATAAGCAGTGGCGAATACGGCCAAAGCAATCACTCTAGAGCCGATGACGCAACAATGGCTGAAGAGTTGGATGAAAGCGCCCACTTTGTTCATGTTCTTCTTATAGGGTGAGGAACGGCGCAGAGCTCGATGGTAAGAGCTCTGAGCCAGTGACAATTCCACCAATGACGTCACCAGGTTGATTGCCTGTGCTCGATCTAAGAAGAAGAACAATTTTATGTGAGAAGATACTTACGTTGATAATCCTCAAGTACTATAATTTATTAAATTTACGAGACGAGATAGTTGAGGGGGAAAAAAAAGTGTGCTTATATTGTGCCAACTTTTACGCATTTTGAAAAAATTCACATTAAAAGAGGGTATCTAGCATAAAACCCACAGTTCTAAAAACCTTTTCCCTTATTATTTACATATTCAACTAAATCAGTCTATTATAAAATATTCATTATTAAAGAAAAAATATTCATAAAAGTGTGAGTCTTTCTTTTCTTTTTTCAGATCATAAAAAGGGTCTCAAAGACATTTGCTCTGAAGCAGTGGTCGGGAAAACTACATTATTTTTTGTAGTTTTCTACAACTACATTGTTACAAACATAAATAACTACAACTGCAACTACTTTTTTGTTAAATGTAGTGACTACAAACTACTTTGGAAATGTAGTAACTATTTTATTGCTCTAAGAAGACGGACTAACATTAAATGTAAGAGAATAATAATTACAAAATATTTACTCATGTTTACATAGCTAGTTTGTAATTCCCAAGCATTTTTTTTTTCTTTTTGAATTGGTCCATTTAACCTTCAAGTTTTTATGCCTCTCTCGACAGTGAATATTTATTTTAAGAAATGGAAAATTATTAAATACTAGAAATTTTTTAATTGTTTAATGCTCTTTTATTTCCTGTCAGAAATTAAGTGCATCAAAAATACATTCTTTTCCTTTTAAATAACATCAATGTTTCACGAGTGTACATTCACATGTGAAAGTGTGTTTAAAGTGATTAATTATTTATGTTTCATAATGGCTAGTTTAAATATTAGTTATACATGATTCTAAATACGTCATTCATGTTAACGCTCAGCTGCAGCCACAGGGTCATTTTCATTGCATACACCGACAGATCCGCGAAGTGTACCTATCAAATTCGAAAAATTAGTTAAGTTAGAGCCGTGTTTCTTTACTTAACTATCGTTAAAAGTAGTTTCCTGAAATCGCTACATACTACTATCGTTTCTTTTGTATCGCACTACTCACTACATTACTTTTCTTAAAAATAAAAAAGTAGCTCACTACATTACAAACTAACCAACACTTCACTACTTGTGGTACTCTACTTTCGACCACAGCACAGAAAGCTTAAAGGGTGATCTAGAAAAAATGCTTTTCTCGAATTATTTCAAAGAATCAAACTTTTAAAAAGACTTTCCACATAATTAACGACATCTATTAGTTTAAAATTGTATAGAGTCTGAAAATTTTTTATTTTGGGTACAACTCAAAATGCGTGTCTAAGAAATGAAACATGGCGCTAAAGGAAAAAAATTTTTTAATTCTTTAAATTATTTTAGAAAAATTCGCTTCACATTTACCCTAAAAATATATTCAAAAAAAAAAATTTCAGGAATTTATCTTCATTATGTGAGTACTGTATGAGATATTTTCGAAAATATTTACTGTTATTTTCATTTTATTTTCGTTAATTGTTTCTGAAACTGAAATGAGCAAATGCTTATCTGAAATAAACCATTATTTCCTGGTGTGGCATTTAAATACACAAAAGGGCGTCATAAACACAATATATGCATCATGCTCATGATTTTGATATCATTATCGAAAAGAAATATGTTGATAAAAGAAATTACACACACTGTGATTACTTTAAAAATAAAAGCAGATAAAGAAGTAAAATTGTTTTCACATTGGATTTTGATATTTACTTTTCAATACTTTTGCATCATTAACTGTGATAAATAATAATTAATGCAAGTTAAAATGAAAAAAAGACCATAGATCATTTAGTCGATCTTAATAGAGCAATTTTTACAAGTAATGTTATGTTAAAATATTTTTGGGATTGAAATTGATTTTTAAAAAAGAAATTCAGTTAGCTTATTACCTAAAATTATTTTGATATTAAAGACCATATTCATTTTAGTGGGAAAGTGGGTGGGATTATTAATGTCAATAATATTTCTCAATATGAATAATAATAATTTCTAAGATCCAACAGATCAATTGCATTCAGTTTCCACTATGGTAGACATCATTCCTTGTCATGTGTTATTAAATATATTATGTTGTAATCCTTTAAAACCCCGAGGTCATCGTATTTAACAATCAACATTTTACCTACTGTGCAGAGTTGGTAATAAATTTCAACTTCAGCTCTTATAAATAATCGAATTAATAAATCGTGGGTTTATAACCATAAATAAACTCGATGAGAATGGATGCATAAGAGAAATCACTCCACAGTTTTAGCCTCCAAATTTGTTTTCTCTCTTTTCTTTCTACTTTTATTCACATTTATGTTAAGAAAGTCCTCTTATGTTTCTTCTGAAAATATCATCAGATTCATTCCCAAAATGTGTTCAATGCTCAGCCACATGAAGGTGGTAATACGTATTTGTTTATTCCAAGAGGATTTTTCTTTCTATTATCAATTACTTCTCACTTTAAAATGCTATTTAAATTTTAGGATGAAATATAACGACTAATAATCACAAAGTAATATAATATCGAAATATTAAAATACAAAAATTTCAAAGTGGTGACTTTTGTCATGTCATTGTATAATTTTGTCACTTAAAGAAAACTCTGAACCAAAAACAAATATTTGCATAATTCTGTCTTTGTGAAATAAATTCGAATAATTAAAACTTAAAAAGAAGTGGAAAACGAATTAGTTAGATTCAAAACTTCATGATTTTATTCTTAAATGAGAGTCAAAATAGATGACAGGTTGTGAATTTCTTAAAGAACCCTAACAAGGAACTTATACATAGTACTAAACAAGAAACTTTCCCAGCAATAATGTTGGAATTTAGAAGAGGGAATAAAGGAGGGGGCAACATGGGCATTTCAAGTCACTAAAACAATAATGAAAGACATTTACAACTTTAAAACTGATAATTATTATTTTAATTATAAAACTAATTTTTCTTTTAACAAATTAATAATTTGTACAAGGAAAATATTTCAAGATGAATCTTTTAAAAAATAGTTAATTATGAAGTTGTAAGGAGTTAAAAATACAGATAAATGCATTCCATTGACTATTCCTTACGTTTTAATGTTGTTATGTTTTATGTTAAATATTCTTTATGCTTATGTTGCTTCCTTATGTTTATTCTTCATGATAAAGTTAAAAGATTCTTTATGTTTAAAAAAATAATGTCATTTCGTATGACAATATTTCAATTTTATCACATTAATTTCCGCTTGCGGTTATACGTAATGTGGGTTTAGATTTTTCTAAATTATATATTTTTCGAATGATTTCCTTTTAAAAAATTTTTTTGTAATTACATTTCAATTATGACATTTTAAAGGATTCCAATCGAAGAGTTTTTTTTTACTTATTTTTACGCTTATACAGCAAATTTATTATTATTATTATTAATCTTTTTCGTTGTGCGTTTAAATATTGAATTTTTGAAATTCCTCAAAAACATTTTACCTTACATCAAATAAAATTTGATTATCCCTATTGCGATAAAATCAAATAAAATTCGAATGATAGAAATCGACTAACGTTTGAAAAGTATGGATTTTGTGGAGAATGCATTTTTTTCATCTATTAAACTCTAAATTTCTGAGCGAAGTAACGCATTTGACGTTGCATTGCCCTGGCGATCTCTGTTTTAGCCAAGATAACCCAAGTAGTAAAAAGGATTTTTCTGGATTGAGTAGATAGGAGCAGATGAATGCTCTGGTTTTCTGAGTTGCCGTCGATTATGTCAGTCAATTTGTTAGCTATGAAATCTTATTTAAAATTGATAAACCTTTTAAGGCTGATCCATACTTTTTGACACTTGCGTCACGAAGAAGAGACAATATTTTATTAGTATTTTATTTAGAAGAGACAATATTAAGAAGAGACAATATTTGATATATTTTTTTAGAAAATATAAGAAGGAAATATAAAAAGTTGATACTTCATCATCATGTGTGAATTATGTAATGAAATCTTGGAGCAATTAATCTTATACATTACATGAGTGAGAGAGTGGCATGAATTAATGAAACGACGTTGATTTTTCATTTCAACTCACTCGCAGATAAATCTATGAAGAAACTGTTCTGCGTGAGGAGGTACATCTGGAGGACGAGAAGGGGTGCCGATTTGACGAAACTGCCCACCAGCGCTAGAGTGGACACATCTCGGTCTTCTTGAAGGAACATCAGACGATATTGGTTGCGCTTGGGATCACTTTTGTCACACGTGTGCAGTCCATACAAAAACAGCTCCCAATACCTGCAAAGAGAACAGTTGAAACAGTGCCTCTTCATTTTGGAGACAATACTCGGTTCAATACCTGGTTTGTTTTCATAAATATGGGAAAATCATTTCAATATGGTAAGTGTATGCAGTGTTTCAATTTAGTACCTTAATTCTACCTTTTCATCGCAATTACTATATTTATTTTACTTACTTAAAAAATTAATGATTATAAATATCCGAAAATCTATTCAACACAGTGTTTTTGTCTCTTTAAATTTTTTAGAGTAATTCTAAGATAGGGTGAAACCGAAATCTACGGTGGGGCACCATAAGGATTGAGAATAAATTATTATTATTTTCGAACTAAAGTCAACCCGAGAAACATATATAAAGCAGAAATTCCCAATATTTTTATATAATTTTTTTTTTTAAATTATGTTTATTTATTGTAATAAAGCTATTGCGAGTATTCAAAGTGTAGTCAGCATGAGTAATATTTTATGCGTAACTTATGAAAGGGTTAATTTTTAAAGAAAATTTATTCTGCTTTTAAAAATTGAATCTATTTAAGAAATATAATCTTAATGTTGCTCTTTTTTTATTTATTGCTGTTAGCCGACTTTTATTAAGTTGGCATTAAAATTAAAAGTATTAAAACTGTAATTTTTAATAAATACTTTTGGTTTAATTATTATCTTGATTTCATGGTTGTGTATTTCGATTTTTATTTTTTTATTATATTTTGTTTCAGCATTTTTATTCTTAATCATTGCATTTATAAGAGTTTAATGCGAAGTACCAAGAGTGTTGATGGTCATGTACTTACCACAATATTGTTAACTATTAACTTCACTTACGTATACATGTGTACATATTTTTTACACATAACCCGTAATTCCAAAATCTTTATAAATACAGAATCACTAGTGAGGAAGGAGGAATGAAAAGCATCGAAATCAGTTTTATTGTTTGGTTTCTAGCAATTGTCTCTAATTTTCTATATCCACAGGCAATCAAACAGGTTTAGTTGTTTTTACTCCAGCTTCTTTCAGTAGTTATTCCTCACATTTTCTTATTTTTACTTGCTTAAATATAAAATTTTTTACTTTATATTTAAAAGAGTTTCAATAAAAATATCTAATAAGAATATCTTTTGTTTGTTGGCTTATTACTAGGTATTCCGCAATTTCTGATATAAATATTACTGATCAGGGTATTGATTAAAACATTGAAACCTGTTTAATTGCATGATTTAAATGTGAAATAAAGAAATATCTCTAAGCTCCGTCAGGCAATCAAATTGGTTTTAGTCATTTTTACTCAGATCTTTTCACGAGTGATTTTTCAAAATTCGATAGGGATATTGCTTTTCTTTCACTTATTAATCAATTTGTGATCACTAATTGTGATCATTGTTTTGACAATGATACAAAAAGTAAATATTAAGGGCGATAAAAAAGCACCCTGTCTATAGAAAAGTTGACGGGTTTTTTCTTAACAAACTTTTTCAGGTTCTTTGAAACGTGAGTTTACAATCACTTTTTTGAATCTTCAAAAACCTTATGGATTTACACTAACTTATCCGACTGCATTGCGCTAATTTTTCTATAATTTCTCCAGCTTCTTGAGTTGCTAGCTATAGTTGTTTATAAATCTTACTTTTATTTTGTTTTAATATTATTTTGGGCATATTTCATCAAAAGTGATAAATGATTGATTTTGCAGAGTTCAATATTTATTTAATTAAATTAAATATCGAAATAAAACGCAATGTATCTTATAACACTAAACATATTGTTGTATAAGTTTTTCTTTAAAGCATGCATAATATGACACACTCTTAACATTTTATGAAACAATTTTTATTTCAATTCAAAGAAGGAAGACTTAAATATTACTATCTAGACAAATTAAATATACTTTCCGATTTCTCCCCCGGTGCATTGAATGAAAATCAATACTAAGTCTAATATATATTAGTATACTAGCCTATAATACTACTGATATAAAAGTTACTTTTGATTTCCATTTGCAAAAAGTACAGTTTTGAAATTATGTCTATTTATGAATCTGATATTGTTGTCGGTGAGATAAAGTTTTTTAGGATTTTTTTTTCTCACTCCCAATCGGATGAAACCAAAATAAAGTTACAAAAATTGCAATATAGACAGGAGAGATATAGTTTCTTATTTTTTGTTAATGTTAACCTTAAAAAAGAAACAAAACCTCACTTATCTAGAAAGCAATGCGTAAATGGGTATAAATGAAAAATTATACTTAAATCTTTATAACTTTCGGACAATCAACTTTATGGACTTGATTTTGGTTTCAATTAATTCATTGTAGAAAATAGATAAATATCTCACCTGGCTAGATAGAAAAGACAGGTCGAAAGCACAAAACTGAGCTTATTGTAACTGAACACATTTTAAATTGTAATGAGATGTTGACGTGGTTTTAGTTTCATTTGATTCAGTGTAAGAAAGAAAAAAATGCACCACTTTCTTAGATGTCAAATGTGTAAGAGAAGGTATTAACGCAAAACACATTTAATACCGAAAACCTAAATACCTTCTAAACTACTGGTCTTATCGTTTCGATTTAATTCAAAGTAAAAAATAAATCGGAGAGAATACCCCACTTGTCTAGATAGTCTTTTAAAACTTATCATCACTTTTACCCTGCTTCCCCCCTCTCAGTATAAACCTTAGAGATGGAATATTATGGACCTTAGTATCTTAAAAATGAATATATTGGCTGAAAATTTATATTTAATTTTCATAAATTATAAGCACAAACTACGTATGTGTGACCATCCTGATTGTCGACTATGTGATTCTAAAGAACCTATGAACCGAAAACTTCTCCATCGCTGTAGATCACTCCACGGACTTGACTCCGAGACTGCTAAATATTGGCGCGCGAGAGGGCTTCTGATGAAATGACTTTGATCTTTCTTTTACTTCTTATGATTCCTTCTGATGTTTATTGCTCTTCTTTGTTGTATCTGATTGTTTTTTCCCGCCATTGGAAATAAGTACAATAATATTAGTTCAAAAAATATTTACCTTCGAAATTTAAACAATTATGCAAACAGAGGTAAATTTTGAATATAAGCAGAAAAAAGAATTTTGTTTTTTATTTTATTTGTCTAAAATATTAGTCTATTTGTCTATCTATTTTATTTGTCTAACCTATATTTTTCCTTTTTTCGTTGGCTGTTTACGTTTTCAATTCAAATAGCTTTCGTTTCTTCACATTCACGTCTGGCAAGTCTTGAAAATGGGCGCCTATTTTTGAAGTGCTTGAAACATGTCTATTGCTTTTTTCTATTTGTATATTCTTGAAGCGAATGAAGTTTTTAATAGGGGTTTACGATATTTCCATTACCATCACCAAGCAAGCTTATTTTGTATCGTTAAGGCTGAATTGTGCCAAGTCACCAAGCGAATCCCGATGCATGGAGAATTGATAATACGCACTCGGGACCAATGAAGAAGAAATCTAATTGAACTTACCTAATGAGTGGGCCTAGTAACATGGCATGGAAAAGTCCTCTCATAATCCAATGACTCGGCGTCACTTCCGGTAGGTAGGGCTTCTCTTCCTGATGATCGTGAATGTACCATCGGATGCTGAACATGTTGACGAGGAACAGAGAGGCAAACAGGAATCCGATGGTCATCCACCACCACCACCTCCCGATATCGAACAGCCAGAAACAGAGGGCGACAGAAGACGCCACATCCATGGCATAGGTGAACATGGTGATGGACACCATGGCGACGGATATGGGTACAACGGGCTCCTCATCCTTCTTCAACAGTTCACTTTCGATTTGCGAGAAACAGGGTCGGTCGGTGCTGTCATGTGACAATTCTGTGTCGTCCCTCTTCACCAGGGGTTGCCTATGAAGCACTTAATAAGGAACATGATAATGAGTTTCAGTCAGAAAGCTTATATGTTACCATGAATGACTGAAATCAAGAGAATGTCGACCATCACATAGTCGCTTTGGTGAAATATTTGTTTTATACGATTTGATATTAATTTATTCGTTGATATTATCATATTTATTCGATATTTTATTATCTGTTGAGGATAGATTAGGAAAAATATCAGTGTTCGGAGTACTAGTTAAATGCATATTACCTTTAAAAAACATTGATGTAGGGCATACCGGGCAGTGGCACTTAACTAGTCTAGTATATATTTCGGACATTAACCAAAACGACTATGTGATTGTCAACATTCACCAGTGGAAGTCAACAACCACCTATTTCGGTCATTTATAGTAACATACATAAAGCGAGACAGGGTAGGAAAATCTTTTCATTTTAGCTTATTTTTGGGAACAGATTGTTAATTATTGTTTTTTTTTATTATTTTATTTATTTATTTTTTTCAATTTTAAACAGTCATAGTAACAGAACATAAAATTTCAATTTTATATTTTTTCTCACTACAAGTGCCTTGCTAACAAAGAAATTTATGCATTTATTTATTTTATTTTTTGACGAAGAGCGAAAAAAAATTGCATAAAAGAAAAATTGAAGTTTTTTTTTTAATAGAATGATTAGTTTTCACAGTAATATATCTTAATTTCTAAAAAAATGGAAAATAAGAAATCTGAAGGGGAAAACTTTTTTTCTTTCACATATTTAAAAAGATTTTTCTTTCTTAATTAGTTTTCCCATTTCCGTTTATTATATGATCTAGAAAAAATTACGAATTTATTAGTAAACTCTAAATTGCATCGTTAAATTTTCGGAAACCGAAGACGGCAATCTGACAGTTCCTGTCAATGATATAAGACAGATACCAAGAAGAAGACTAAAATCATAATCAAAACTTACCAAAATGCTTCATCTTTAGTGCTCGTTACCTGAACAAACAATTCCTTTTTTTCCTTATCGTTAAATTGTCATATCTTATCGCTTTTCAAATAATTTCCAACTAACCTAACTCGTGTTTTCATTTTTTTTTCTTTTTCAATAAAGGTGAAAGAGACCTAAATCATGATAAGTTAATCACGCAATTTCCATTTCTCTGAGATAAAGTGTTGATACACTCTTCTTTTACGAATTAAATTATTCCAACATCAAAATTTCAAACGAGCGAACATCATGCAGGGAGGAGTGGCACGTCTATAAAATTGTTAATATCAGCAATTTCTACGATGCTCTCTTTGGGCTATTTTTTTTAAAAAATTAAGTTCATTATAAGGAAGTGCCAAAATAAATATGATCAATATCTCTTTTATCAATTAATCTAATTATAAATTAATTTCCGCTGGCTCCTAAATTTCTAAAATGATTAATTTTCGTCTGTCCATTATTTTATGAGGAAGTTTGAGAGGCTAAATTTTTTACGGTTATACTATAATAAAATATTAATTAAAAATTGTATTCAACTTAACCGACCTTTGTTTTTCTAGACACTCTTTTAATAATTACTTTTGTATAACAATAATAAACGAAATATAATAACAATAAACAAAATAAGATGACAGAAAAAATTTCGGTAGAAAATTTTTTTTTGCTCTACACCTATTAGCGATAAAATTAACCGTAGAAGGAAAACAATTCTTCAGCGCAACAAACGAAGATTTTCCCAGATGATTGCAGGAGGAGGAGAAAATCGCTTTCTTCTTAAAAGCTGAAATTGTCCCTTCTGAAATTACCTGATTAAAAAGGTGAAGTAAAAAAAGAGGAAGCTAGTTATCTTTTTGGAGAGATTCTTGAAAAGATCCCAAACGTAATATACTTTCTTTTAGTATAATAAATGAAGTTCTTTAGGAATTTGAAAACTTATTAACCAAAGAGGCATTACTGAAATAGTTAACGATTCTGTTACACTGTGAATGACCGAAATTAATACTTCTTGGCAATCACATAATGGTAAATGTCCGATATGTATATTAGATCTAGTTAAGTGCCACTGCCCGGTACTCGACACCTAATCTATCCTCAGCAGATATTAAAATATCGAATATAATAATATCAACGAATAAATTAATATCAAATCGTACAAAACAAATGTTTTAGACATTCACCAGTATGTGATGGTCGACATTCTCCTGATTTCGGTCAATCACGGTAACATATGCATAAGTTAAAAGCAATAAACTGAATTATGATTTTCACTAAAAAGAACTGTCATCATAAACCATTGAGGGCCGAAAACTGACGTAAATAACAAGAACTAAAATGTTGCGTTATTGGCGATCGAAATGGGCTGCAGGTGGCGTAGAGCAGAACTCTTTTCCTATGGCAACACTTCACATGCTTTCCCCATGCGTGTGGAAAGTCATAGAGGAAAGAAGTACGTTAGTTTCTCTCTTGATTTTCATAGAGATTAAAATCTTTTAACTTGAAAAACTATATGGAACTGAAAACTACATTAAACATAGTTCTAAAGAAAAGTATCACGGAAATTTTTTAAAATATTTTTATTAAGTAAAAAGGAAAAATATTAAAAAAAGGGAAAATATCGTAGTACATTCCTATATAACTGAAAATAGGAGGAGAGGGAAGGGCTAAAGGCATGAAACCGGTCTCTCCCCAGATGGCGTATTCGAGTGTTGCGATCGCGAATAAAAAAGAGGTGCTAAAACATCCCTAAAGGACCTCAGCAAATGATACGCCTAGAATATCATCTTTCAAGAAACTCTGTTGTTGTTGCGCCCGTAAATGTTGTTTTTTCCTTTATACGAGAGACCTTGGGGGAGAACTGGTTTACATTATGCCAATGAAAGCTTCTTCCCATTTGTCTCGACACTCTCATTGAATCAGTGACGTGTTTTTAAATGTTGAAAGAATCTAGTGCTGATTTATGTATAATGTTACATAACGAAAATGTCCCTAGCAGCAAAGTAACTTGGGCCCTCATTCATGAATCTTGGATCAATAATTGTTCATAGGGCCCTATACAGATCTTTCCGATTCACCGGATATTTTACAGCCACTTTACAACCAATATCGGTTCTACATGGAATTGCCAGATTCCCCCAATATTTTATATCCATTAATTAGCCAATATAGGTTCTATATTGGCCTATTCAGGTCATTCTAGGACCCATATTAAAAAATCTAGACATCCCAATATGGGTCCCTCGGTGCATGTTCTCATAGGACCCCATAGTGAGCCCGAGGTAAAACTGTTGCCAGGGGCATCTTGAAATGCATTCTAATTTCTGATTTTCATTTCCTTAAATGAAGCATTTTTTAAAGTCGCCATTTTTTGTACTTGTTTTAAGTTGGATTAATTTGTTACTCGTTTCTTCGTGCTTGTCAGAATGCGTTAAGATAAATTAAAGTAGGGTTTTGAGAAAATTCATACAAAGATTTCTAATTTGAAGCAGGTTGAAAACAACAATTTAATCAATGAAATCTGCGCAAAATTATTTAAACTTAATCCTGATGACTCCTTCAGAAAACGACGCAGACTTTTATCTTCTGCTTACGCATTGTCCTTCTTTGAGTGTTTAAGGCACACAGAGGGGAAAAAGTAATACAGAATGCAATTAATAATTTTTTTTTATTTAATAATGGAAGTTATTAGACATTAAACAACAAAAATATAAACAGTCATACATAAAAATAATAATTGCTTATATTGAGTGAGCAACTCGGTTTCCTCTGTTTTTTATGTAAATTTTAACATTCCGCTCATCTTTAAATCATTTTGGCATACATTATTAATTGGTTGTTAATTTTAATTGAAAAATAAACTTTTTAAATAAACGGAGGAAATTTAATTATCCCAATAATTATCGCAGTATCAAGAAAGCTTCAAATATGAACAAAAAATAATTTTTTTGATGCACAGATAAATTTTAAATAAATGATTTCAAATCATCATAAGCAAAAAAATAAAAATAAACAAACACTATTAAAATACAAAATTAAAATTTTAAATATAAAAATAATATTTTATCTCTGAACAATTTTCTTAAATGTCTCTATGATTTTCTGATCAATGTGGATAATAAAAAAATAGACATCTTCTAGGACTGTTCAAATATTTGTTTAGGGCAACTTTGAACTCACCCCTTTGCCAGTAAATCACAAACCGTGCTTGCCCAAGAAAGTTGTAAACCTCGGCTTTTGCTTTCTCTTTGACTGCTAATATTAGGATTAAATTCAAATAAAACTAAATTTTATTTGAATTTTTTTAAAAAAAGCGCAAAACAAAATTTACATTAATTCATTTCATAAAATTTTGAACACAATTTTTTTAAGAACTTTTTGGGTTTTCTTTCTGTATTAAAAGATTTCTTGACCTCTGAAACTACTCAAAAAAATTTTTCCCAACTTTATCTTTCCTTGCACACTTTAGTCCAATTTTTTTTAATTTTTCCATTTGCAATTTTTTGCTTTTTAAGTCTCAGGCAAGCATTGCTCTGTAGTCAGCAAAAATAAGCAAATCACAAATCCCCATTAAGTAATATTTAAAAAATGCGTTATTAATAATTCAATTGCATAAGAATAATAGAAAATTCTGAAATGCAAAAGTCTAGCACAAAACATTTATCAAGAATAAGCATCGAACAGAATTTCACTTTTGAAGTATTCTAAAATGGAAATGGCTTTTCGAGTGGATATAGAACCAGCTTTCTTCAAACTTTCCACAGAATTGTTCAAAAACATGCCCACTACAGGAAAGTGGTAGGCAAAGCGGAGGGCGCAGATGGGGGTAACGTGAGGGCAGCTATGATAAAAATCAAACAAGAGCTGAGTGGAGGGATTGAGAACAACTGGTACGTCAATGAGGAAGCCATTTCTTTGCTCTTTCAGTATAATGTCTGACAGGAGACTCGCACTTTCCTCGAAAGAACACGAGAACAGAACTCGAGCGGATGGATGGAGATTCACATGCAAACTGAATTGCAAGTATTTAGAACTCAGCTTGTTAAAACTCGACACCCGCTTCCTACAATCTGTCTGTATGATGACAAAGGACTTCTCGAAAGCATCGCACATGAGTTTCACTTTATCTGTCACTTTGACAGGCATATTGGAGGCAGAAAACTCAGTGTCTAAAATTCGTTCTACAGCTAGTCTGTTGCTGATGACGTAATCTGCAGAGGTGAGTTGCATGACGACTGGATTCACACCGTATTTATTCCTCAACAATGAAATAATTGGCTTTCCGCCCGCCAGTTCTTTAGAGTCGACTAGAATCATAGGGCGATCGGGAAAGTTTACTTTCTCACACAACGCAGAATCCGATGCTTTGTCAACAGATTTTGCATGTCCATGCATTCCGGATGTGTAAGCGCTTAAATTGCAGGTTTCGTCAGATACAGAGTTTTGCATTTTGAATCTAGAGACAGAGTTGTAACAAGAACTGGTGCTTGGTTCGACACGACTAGCACCCTTAAAAGAACTTTCTACATTTTGCTTCTGTTCTGATTGGAACGCATCAAGAAAATCATCATTCCAATTAACATCAAAACTAAAATTGAAATTGTTCTCTACTTCCGTTTCCTGTTGATCAACCTTTACTGTATCAGAATTGTTACTATTTTTTATAGGTGTCACCATTTTATTTGCATTATTGAAAGTGTCTTTATCTTTTCCCACTAAATCGTCAATTCTATTTTCCATAACGTTTAATTTATCTGAACAAAAGGACGAAATACTTTCTTCGCTTTTTCTGCATTTTTGATTGAGAAAAGAGTTATTATTACTAGATATCTTCGTCACAAAATCATCATCTTCATCGGATGAGTCCTCACCCAGCGTTATACTATAAAATTTCTCATTACTGGGTACTTTTTTACTTTTTTCAATCAATCTGTTTTCCATTACAATTTCTTCATCTGAACTAAGTACAAAATTACTTTTTTTTCCGATTGGTTTCTCTATTTGCTCAAAAACAGATTTATCGCCAGATATCTTTCTTACAAAGTCATCATCACTAGAAGAACTGTCATCCATTGTCAAAATGCGCTTTCGTTTCTTCCCTACTTTCTTTGTTTCCACTTTTTCTTCTTCGGAACTGCAAAACTGTACGTCCTCATCACCAACGCAAAAGCTGTCAAACATGTAATCACTTTGCTCTAAATGAGAGGAGATTGGTACATCAACGTCCATCTTCAGTTTAAACCTCTGGGGCAAACCAGCACAGTTTTTAATGGATTGCAAGTACATGGCTCGCTGATTGGGTGAATTTTCCCTGACACTCGCGTCATCAATAAAACTTTCTTCCATGCACTCTTCTTCGAAGTTCTCTTCATCATTCCCATCTGAAGAATCTGATCCAGAAACATCAGCTTGGGAGAGAATTAAATTGTATTTCTTTTTTACTTTCCGCTTTTTAATGGCAGACGATTTTATTTTTTCAGGTGATGAATCCTCACTTGCAGAGTGCTGCCTTTTTAATGCAGACTCAGATAGAAAAGAAGCGGATTGTTTCAATTTCTTAAAATCAAAATCTTCGAATTCATTTTGACTTGACTTTGGCAAAGTCACCTGAATAGTTTTCTTCTGTGCACTTCGAGAAACTTTTGGGGCCGTATTAACAGAATGCTTTGATTGTACTTGGAAATTCTGATTTTGTTTACGTTTAGATAATTTGTAGCCTGTAGGCTGTTTAAATGTGAAATTATCTTTTCTCGAAGAAGTTGATGCTGCAGTTCTGCTGTCAAAAAAGGTCAAAGAGTCTGAACGTTTAATAGATTTAGGCTCATCAATTATGTCTTCAAATTTTTCATGATTTGAAGGGTGAAGATTCAGATCCATTTTCTTATTGTCAATTGTAAGGAGATATTTTTCTGAAGTCAATTTGCAACTGGGTGGCTTTTTAAACGTGAAATTATTTTGTTTCGAAAATGTCGATGGCTCAAACAGAGTTTTTGGAACAAGTTCACCTCCACAAGAAGACAGAGACTCTGAAAAATTGTTAGGTTTAATTAGGTTTGTAGCCTCGTTGGTTTTTAAGTAAAGTTCTCCATTATTTGAAGAGAGAAAAGTCAAGTTACATTTTGTATTGTTACTAGAAATGGAAAATTTTTCTGTAGATAACTTGCAGTGCTCAGTCTGTTTTGATGTGACATTTGAAGTCTTGGATAATGAAAATCTAAGCGATGCCTTTGTTGCAACTCTTGTGTCACAAGAGGACAAATGCTGGGAAAATTCAATTAACTCATGCTTATTTATTTTATTGTTGGATTTGTTATTATCTGAAGGGGGGAAATGACTGTCTGCAATGGAACATTTTTCATTTACAGTTTTAAAGAGTTTCTTAAATGGATCCTGATTTGAAACTAATTCTGTTGATTGCGCAAAATCAACCTCTTTTTTTAGAAAGATTTTACCTTCTTCAAGCTTGTGACTCAATGGAAGAACTTGCACAATATCATCCCCAGGTTTCAACTTATTAAGATCCTCAACAGAATGATGCATTCCAGTTTCTTCGTCTGCTTGATCAAAAGAAATATCGAAAAATAGCTTGTCTATGCAATCTGGAGACAACACAGTCTCGTGAGTAGTCTTTTCAGTCGATATGTCGGCAGAACCCCTTTCATCAAAAGATGAAAATTTGATGTCAGACAAATCAAAGGATAATTTCTCACAAAATGCTTTGTTACAATCATCCATTTCCTCCTTGGAATCACACACTTGCATGGAATTAGAGTCCTCATTCAAACTGTTATTGCGATATAGGAATCGAGACGCACTTTCCTTCGGAGGAGTGGGTTCGATTTCTTCATCTGAGCTTTCAAACAAATTGACTTCTATAATATTTTCTCCCATAGGTTTATTATTACTATTATTTTTCAACGATTCAAATTTTTCTGTACTATCAATAAACGACAACATTTGAGTTAATGAGTATTCAGTGGTTTCTGAATTGTTTCTTTTTTCCACTACAGATTGTAGTGTACTCTTGTTTCTAATACCAGTCTGAGAAACTGTTTCAGCTACAGGTGAAATGCTTTTATCAGCATTGCATTTTGTGGAATTTTTATGATTGTTTGTGTTGAGAGATTTAGTATTTTTCATTTGGTTCTTAAAATCTGTTCTAGAAACAGAACTCAAGGAATCAATTTTACAATCCTTTTTGTATTCTTTTTCGAGGACAACCTTTTTGACAGTCAGAGGTTGAGTAAGTGAGCTTTCAAAGGAGTTGGAGGGAAGCTTATGATTTGAAGACAACTGATCCAGAATAACAGATACATCTTTATTTATTTCAGTTTTTGCTGGTGTGTTATTCATTGCAACCTCATTTAGATTTTCAAAATCATCTTTGAAGAAGCTGTTATTTTGAAACATATCAAAACTAACATCAAATTTCAATGCCTCAGGAGAATCAGTGGAATGTTTTACAGAAAAAGTATGTCTTTCAGCAGGATAACCCTCTTTTAGTGGTGAAGTGTGTTTCTCAGCAGGAGGTTGAAAACTATGGGTCTCTTTAAGTGGTGAAGTGATTCTCTCGGCAAGAGGTAGATAATTATTGATCTCTTTTAGTGATGAAGTGAGTTTCTCAGCAGGAGGTTGAAAACTAACCTTTTTTAGTGGTGAAGTTAGTTTTTCAGGAGAAGATAAAACTTTCAAAGGAGAAATATGTTTTTCAAAAGCAGTTTCAAAATTATTGGTTTGTTTCAATGGGGAGGTCTGTTTCTCAAAAGGGGCTAAAATACGCAGGGCAGAAGTCTGCTTCATAGCAGGAGAAACATAATGTTTAGCTTCAATCAATGGAACAGTAAAATCTTCATCGAGAAGTGGTGAGCTGCTAAAATTATTTGGTGAAAATGTAAGCTTCTGTGCAAGGAGGGGTGAAGTATTATTGAAGTCCTTCATAGAAAAATTGTGAGGAGGTGAAGGGCTGAAGAAAATATTAAATGAAGCAATCGGTGGATTATGGTTGGTAAAAGGAAACTTATTTCCATCAACTTGAAGACTATTTTTAGTAGACTCCACATCTGGCCTGGTCATAAAAAATAAAGATTCATTAAAATTTTCTTTTATGACTGAAATAGAAAATTTCAAATCCAACTCCTTTGTTTTCTTCTTCAACTGAGCTTTCATTTTCTTATTCAAAATGTGCAACGTGGAAATCATTTTCCTTTCTCTCTCAGCTAAAGGTTTAAAATCAAGTGAAATGTTGCCGGCAGAAAGTTGCAGATCTTTAATATTAGGGGGTTTTTCAATATTAAGTATTGCAGTTTTAGTAGGTGGTGGTGAAGCAGAGGTTATGCCAAACAGCCTTGAGAGAAGATTTCTTGACTGTCTATTATTCTCTAACTGATTGAGCTCCCCTTCTACCTGAAAATTAATGTTTTCAGGGGGAGAAGAAACCGGCACCACAGGATCAAAGAAGTTGTCGTCATCACAAAGGTCCACAAAAACTGGGCTTCCAATGCCACAACGGGATGAACCATCGATTTCCTGATCAGTTTCCATTTTTGAATGGGTGGGAAAATTTATTTCTTCTATAGTTGTAGAAAATAACAATGTTTTAGAAGAATGTGTTACGTTGTGTATTCTCTGGGGTCTTGTTTGCCACAAAGACCATTTAGACAGAGAAAAAATGGGTTCTCTTTCCTGAAAGAAACAAAAACTATTAGATTTCACAATTTTTATACAGTCACCTAAGAAACAGTCGTCCAATTAACACTTTGGAGTAGGAAAACTATATAGAATAAGGCAAAAAATTAATTATAAAAGCTATTGATTTATTTTTTATTGTTCATAAAATCTTAGTACTTTATATATTATTAAGGTTATTAACTATTTAACTTTAAAAAAACTTAATTTCAGGTAAAAGTTTATAAGAACAAATACTCAGATTCCCCCCTCCCTAAAAATATTTGAAATGCTTTTTGATCTAATAATATTTGCATTTTAAGATTAGGTTTGAAGGGTTGATTTTTAAGATGCAAATTAATAATGCTCTTTAAAAATTAAGCTTTGAATTGCTTTTTAAGAAAAGTTTCTCACTATAAATGGTGTAATCACTGTAACAGTTATGTGTAAACTTAACTGCTTACCAAGCATTAGGATTTGGTTTAAAATTATACTGAAACTTCGATGCGCACACTACTTTTTTATTGAATAACATATGATGAATAAAGCTAAGACAACATCTAAAAAATATAAGTAATGTCACATTATAATAAAAAAAACTTAATTCAGTTTCAAAACACTGTGAAGGGTGCTTCCTTATAGTTCATTATTATAGTGCTTCATTTGTAATTCTTGTTTCCAAATTGCAAAGCATTACCTGGCATAAAATTTTCTGATTTTGAAAAAGAAAAAAAAATCTTTCTAAGAAATACTTTTAAGCTAAAACAAGTTTACATTTTTCTTTTTTTCAATGTGCCTCTTTTTCCTGACTTAATAAGATAAAAAGGAAATATAGATAAATAAAATTTTAACAAGCTATTTATTTTTCTTCGTATAAAAATACTCATTATAAACTTAAATATATTTTTTACACCATGAAATATTATAACATTCTTGCAATGTTTCAGTCCAATATCAGAATTTAGTGTCTCATTCTGCAAAGTCTTGGAAGACAACTATGTCGACCTTTTTTTAAAAATCAAAGAAAAGACAAAATTCACATTTTTGAAACATTTATTTATTTTTTAATATTCATTCACTAAATCATTCAAAACTATTTTTAGTTATCCATGTAAGAATTTTCTTACCTGTTCATCATCATTAGTTTTCAGGCAAAGAAATTTTGACTTTGGTAAAAGACAGGAGTTAGATTTTGTAATTTTGTAAAATAAATTATACTCTGCTAATTCCTCTTTACTTAAGTAGGCACCTACGGCAGATTTCCCTAAAAAATTATTTAAAATTATTAATGATCAAGTACTTTTTAATGTTACTCATTGTCACACAGAGAAGATAAAGATATCAAAATTTACAATTTAGTAAGCACAAAATAAATTTACAATATTGAAGTTGGTTGAGTAACTGCAATGAAGTTATCTAACACAAAATAATTATTTTCAGAAAAAAAAATCTCACCTAATTCTACACATGCTTTAAAAAATACACTTGAAATATAGAAATGAAAACTTTTATATTAAATTATAAAACAGCACTTAATTGATAAAACTTATAAAACTTTAAATAGATAAAACTTTAAAAGCTGTCAAGAATTTTTGACCTCCAAAATGATTTATAATAATTTATATGGTTAGATTTAAGAATAATTCAATGCATAATTGTAAAAAAAAATAAAGGTTTTTACTTTGTTTTGATTCTTTTTATTACACTTTTTATTACATATTTTTACATTAAAATTTTTTATTATTATTATTATTGATTGATAAATTTAAAGTGTTTAGAATTATCAAACAGGTCTTTATCCAACAACAAACAAGTCATTATCCTTGTGCAGTTGCCGTCACATAAATTCGTTTAATTAAGATTCCAATAGTTTTTGGATAGTTCCGCGATGTCAAATTTACTTGCGTAGTCAAGGTTTACACAGTAAATATGATCAAATTTGCGGTTATGGACGTAGAAGCTACCTTTTGGCGATAATATCGGGTTTGGTGAAAACGAGCGAAGGGATAATCCCAAAGTACGAAAATGGTCGCCGGGATTATCCCGAAGTACTGAAAAAACTTATCCTTGGTTTAACACATTTTAAGATTTTGAAAGTTATTTATTAAACTACAATTTCATCCTCAATTAATTAAACCTCTCTAGGTTTCAAAGTTGATTTAAACAATACAAAAAAAATTTAATTACAATTTATTGTTGTAAGAAAGTGCAAGCAAAAAAACATAAAACTATTGTGTGACAAATTTCATCCTGAACCGCATGAAAATAATGTCAACTGCTCTGCTTTGGGCAAAAGATTTTATTAAGTGGTAAAAATTAGCTAATAAAAATTGCAGAGCTTCAGTTACTTCTGAAAAAATTTTAAATATGTGACCACAAAATAATTTGATCTAAGTGACATTTTGCATACATGCTTCAAGGATTTATGTGCAATGTAGGGAAAAATCACTCCAAGTCACATTTTCTAAACCAAGAATTAAATTATATATAGATGCTACCAAGATTGACCAAAATCAAGAGAATGTTGACTTTCACCGGTGAATGACAAAAATCACATGTCGCTTTGGTGAATGTCCAAAATATTTGTTATATCCGATTTGATATTAATTTATTCGTTGATATTATTATATTTATTCGATATTTTAATATCTACTGAGGATAGATTAAGAGATACATCAGTGTTGGAGTACCGATTAGATGCATACTGGGTAGTGGCACTTGACCTTAAAAAAACATTGAAGTGGGGCATACCGGGCAGTGACACTTAAGTAGATCTAGTATATATTTCCGACATTTACCAAAGCGACTATGTGATAGTCGACATTCTATGAAAGTCAACAACCATCAATTTCGGGCATTCACAATAACATATCGTAACAAATTTTACAATAACTGCAAAAGTTTTTCTCCACAAAGTGGAGCAAGTTGGCATCTTTGTGATAGTAATGTCATAAAAATTTAATCTTTCATGAATTTAAGAGTATTAAACAACATAGCAGACACTTTTAAAAAGTTTCTATGCTGGGTTCTATAAGGATGTTTTTATATCACACATGCATAAAAATATTTGTATAAATTACATAGAAGAACATAAAGTCAAGTCATTTCAAGTTATCATGAACGGTTACAAATATCATAGGAGTTGCAATTTTCAGATGTGTTGTCTGCATCCAAGTTTTCCAATTTCTCTAGCCAACACCTGAACTGTGATCGTGAAAAAATCTCTAAATTCTTGGAACCATTTCCTGTTTTTTTGTAATTTCTTCTTGTTTTTCAAATAGGTTAATAAATTTGTTTTTACCCTGACCAAACAACTCTGATATGGTATCACAAATTCTGATTTCAAGAAAAAACAGAATACAGTTAACATTATTGAATGATTTGGTTGAATAATCAAAGAACTTAGTAGAAGAACCAGCCAAGTGTTATTTTTTTTCTTTAATTGTGATTTCCAGGGGGGGGGGTTCATATTTTAGTCTTAATTAAACATGTAATATTCATTTATATTGCTGAAACTATTAATTTTGAAGATACTCAATGAAAGAACCAGCTAAAAACATAATTTGAGATTTCTTTGGATGGAAGAATTGACTAAGTGACCTGCAACAACAAATAGTAAACAAACAACCCTAGAACATCACTTGCTTGGCATGGAATGCTAAGGTGCCGGGAGAAAAAAAATTGGTAAAAATTTATAAAATAGCAGCTTTCATACATTACGGAGGAATATATATAACTTTTACGAATCAATAAAAAAAAGACAAGAAAAAATAACCCTTAAATAGCTTTAACATATATTTTTTTTCGTTACTAGTACACGTTAGTTCATATTTGAAGCACATTGCTCTGGTAATAAATTAATTTTTTCTTCTAAGCAAAATCCGGTTGAAAATTAATATTATTTCGTGCTTATGCTACTTTTTCAGTTAATTATTGTTACTGACTGAATACTCATGAGTTGAAATAAAACTAAATAATCAACAAATCAGTAATGATCAATATTACGAAAGCATTCACAAATTTGTAAAAGATATGCGGACAAAATTAAATAATTTTACAAAATACCAGTTTTTTTTACTTATTGTTATTTTTTGCTTTTCCTGATGGTTTTACGTTTTTAGATTAAGCAATACATGTTTTTAGAAATTTGTCCTCTCAAAATGACGATTAACAATGTTCATCATCATTTGGTATTATTCAAGACCAATAATAGTCAAAAATTACGATAATCATCAATTTTCTGAGGTACTTATCCCATGCAGTAGGCTGTAAAAAACTGATTTCCCCAGTTGGTATCGTGATAGGTATATTACATAATACATATGAAGTAATATAATATCAGTAATACCTCAAAAACTTCCCTATTTTTTTTGATTATTAGTTTTCAATTCAAAATAAGAAGGGTATCCTCAACAATCTTTAAGATTAAAAAATTAAGTGTTCAATCCAAAATGATATATTTGACAAAACTAATGGCAACTTTTTTATAAAAATTTGTTTCAGATAAAGTCGACATAAGAAGGTTCCGTGGTTGTTAAATGCATTTTATGCAAATGCTGATTAGTTTCACTTAAAAGAATTCTTCTTGAAGGTGAATGTGACCATGTTCTTTAAACAGATGTTTTCCTGTCTTCTAGTTTCAAAGCTAAGAAGTTTAAAATGAAAAAAGCTGCCACATAGATCGGTGTTCAACAGTGAAAATTCGTGAATTGGTTACTAAACAATGAAGTAAAATGAGAATCACGTTAGTAATCATGATTGCATAGTTTTACCACGATAGAAAAATACCCAAGACTGTTTTATAAACATTTTTATAAATTAAAAAGCGCTATTGCTTTGCATGTGTAGAAAATTTATGTTTTGAATTAATAGATGGCGTTGCCTACTCTTTTGTTTTGGCTATTCTAATGATTACTTTTTGTTTTGTTGTTATTAAAGAATATGAATTCTTTACCTCTCTGACGCTTTTTTTACATGGTGCCGAAAATCACAAGAAGATGATTAAAAATATTTATTACTGAAGAGGGGTTCGTTTGAATTTGATTTTGAACTTTTCATTGAAATTATTTCTTTTTTCTTTATTCGATTAATTTGTTCTGAATTTGAAAATGTCTACTGAACTTTCAAAACGGAAGCAGAAAAGAGGTGCAGTCAGAGCATGGACGACTAGATTGTTGGGCGAAATCGAAAATGAAATAAAAAATGAAATTCCGAACATTGAAACTTTAGATGAATTACTGGCTAAACTTATTGAAAAGGAATCTTTATTGAAGGAACTGGATTTTAAAATTAAAGATTTGATTGATGCTGACGAAATTGAAAAGGAATACGAACAATCCGAAGAATATTCTGATAAGATTATTCTTTTAAAAACGAAAATTTCAAGAATTTTATCTTCGTCATATGTTAAGTTGGATATGGAAAACCGAAAGAACGATAACGAAAGTATTTCAACCGAAATTATATTTGAAGAATTTCAAAATGTTCACGTAAAATTACCGAACATTAGTATTGAAAAATTCTATGGTGATGTTAAACTATGGAACAACTTCTGGGAACAATTTAAATCGACTATTCACGAAAATAAGACTTTGAAAACTGTCGATAAGTTTGTGTATTTAAAGTCATATCTTGGGGGGAGCTGCTGCAAGAGTTGTGAATGGACTTTCGATTTGTGATTCTAATTATCTTGCAGCCATTGATATTTTACAAGATCGCTATGGAAGAAGTGACTTAATTATTAATGCTCACATGAACGAACTGTTAAATTTAACTGCAGTAAAGGTTTCTAGCGATGTTGATGCGCTGAGAAAACTTTACGATAGCATTGAAATTGAAATACGAAGTTTAAAGTCTTTAAATGTGATGTCTGAAACCTATGGAAATCTACTCTGTCCAATATTGATGAAGCTGATTCCTGAAGATATAATTTTGGATTTCAACCGTCAAAGAACGAAGGATTCTACTTGGAATGTTGAAGAATTGTTAAAATTTATTAGAAACGAAATTGATTGCCGTGAACGATTTACTCTCAAAAAATTCAAGAAAAGAAAATCTTAACGAAAATTTTAAATTCACTCCAGAATCGAAAGTAGAAGAAAAATCTTGGAATAAAAGAAAACCTTTTATTCCAAGCCTTATTCCAAACCTTTTATGAAAGCCAAGTAAGCGCCTTTGCTTTATTAACATTGAATTTGAAATGTATTTTTAGTTCTAAGAATCACGATAAATTTAAATATAATGAAGTTATTATTTATAAGAAAAGACAAATTTTAATGAAAAGTGGTAGATGCTTCAATTGCTTTCAAAAAGGACATTTATCTATATCTTCGGATTGCATTAAAAAAAATCTTGCTTGTTTTCACTGTTAACGAAAGCATCATTATTATATTTGTATTAAACAGCCTGAAAACGAAAGTTCCATTTCGAATAATGATAAAGGAATGCTCGTAAATAAAAATAATGGATCTCATGTTGTGCAAAACTCTGTGAAATAAAATTCAAATGTAATTTTACAAACTGTTACCGCTGTTGCTGTGAACAAGGCTGAATGTTTAGTTAGATGTTTGCTTGACGGAGGTAGTCAAACGTCTTTTATAAGAGAAAAGTTATCGAAAAAGTTAAATTTGCCTGTTACAGGAGAAATTGTTCTTAATAATCATACATTTGGATCCAATAAAAGTGTAAATAGTCGTAGAAGGAAAGTGAGATTGAAACTTGTTGATCTAATTAATCCTGATAAGTTTGTTATTGTTGAAGCTATTGAGTATCCCATGATTACTGCTGCTGAAATTAAAATGTCTGGCGATGACTAAACTAAAACTTTGCATTCTTTGGGAATTAAACTTTCAGATGATGTGCCAACTGATCAACAATTGTATAAAGCAAATGAAACTTCAGTGCTAGTAGGAAGTGATGTTTATTGGAAAATTGTTACTGGAAAAATCGAACGAATAAATTAGTTGATGTAGAGACTAGATTAGGATGGTGTATTCAAGGTTCCGTTATGAGTTCTGATTTACGATCAATGACTGTTAGTTCAAATTTATATTTGGATGAAGAGCTATCTAATAATATTAAATCTATCTGGGAAATAGAATCGTTAGGAATAGCACTGGTCTTGGATAAAAAAGAAGAAGATATAAAAGCACTTTCTTTATTTGAACAATCTATTCGCATAAGAGATGGCCGTTATGAAGTAAACCTTCCATGGAACATNTATTAGGGAATTTTCTAAAATGTACAAAAACCAGGAGAAATTTTAATGAAACCAGTAAACCAGGAGAAACTGGCCTAATCCAGTAGTCTACTGGAAAATCCAGTAGAGTTGGCAGCTATGATGGAAGAATGATATAGTTGATTTACATGATAATTTTCATAATGCTGAAAACTGAATGAAAAAATTGATCAAGAGATTTATGTCCAATCCTTATTTTTTCGAACAGTATAAAAACGTAATAAATGAACAACTGAAGGAAGGAATAATAGAAAAAACAGAAAAGAATGCTTTTACCTCAAAGAAAACTTATTACGTTCTTCATCGGACTGTAATTAGAGAAGATAAATGGTGAAATTTTAGAGGTCTGACAGAGGCCCAAATATATTTTAATTTAAGAAAAAAAATTCCTTTACCTTTGATACCAATATACAAATTATCCCACCACAGGCGATTTCGATTTTTAAAAAAAAAAATCAACCCGAAATAATATTTATATATACACACACATACACATGCATTGATGCAGAAAGAAGTGTGCATACCTCTAGACTCTTCTTTTTTAATGTCAGGAGGAGTGATGACCATCTTTACACAGGTTGGTTTTCTGTCACTGGTTATGAGGGAGGGACTTTTGTAGAACATTTGTCCAAAAGTAAATCCCTTCATAATGGCCTTCTGCACTGATTTCTTCTTTCCTTCACAGCTACTCAACATCTACAAAAGATTCCATGCTATTTTTATCTATGATTACAAACTAGTGTTTTTCGTCAAAAGAAAAAAGAATGGATTTACAAAATCTGAGCAATTTTACATTTTTCTCTTTTTTTCTGCACATTGAACTTAAAATAACATAGAAAAATAATTTTTTATGTTGTTTCAATAAAAATTAAAATAAATTTAAAAAAAAAAAACGATTTTGCAAGAGTAATTTGTTTTTAAAAAATGAATTGCACAGTAATCATTAACATTTTGGGGGGGAATATCAAAAATCTAAAATAGCGTGCTTAAAATGTCTCAATTTATTGAGTTTTTAAAAATACTAAATTTTATAAACAATTAGCACTTAACCTGGAGTTTTTATTATTCAATAATAGTTTTAGGAAAAATTAATACTCTTTTCTGACTTTAAGAAAGTGTATACATGTGTGTTAACGTCAGAGAAGTTCTTGAAATTATTACAAAAATAAAAAGTCATACCTTTTCTTCTTTGCCTTCACCAATCAAAATAACAATTCTGCCTTTTCTAAGCCTGCCTGTACGACCCATCCTCTGAACAAGGCGAATAGGTGACTTGGGACAATCATAGCAAACAATCAAATCTACCTCTCCTATATCTAGACCTTCCTCTCCCACGCAGGTGGACACAAGAGTATTGTAACCACCAGAGCGAAATTGCTCCAAAACCTGAAAAATAATTCATTGGAGAAACTCACTGATCGTAAAATAGATAATTTGAATTGTTATTGCCATTTTTCTAAAACAAAATTGGAAAGAAAAATAATCCTACTACAAATCCATAACTACAAGTCCAACAATAAAAACATTCATTGATGACAAATTACAAATAAAGCCTGACAAATTGAAAGAAAGAGGAATATTTTAACTGAAGAATGACCCTAGGTAAAAGAAGCCATTTTTATTCCGACTGAACGCAATTGATAAAGAGGGAAGGGAAAAATTCTAAGTATTATGTTTTCCATCAATTTCATTTTCAAAATAAACTACTGTTTGTCTACAATAGGTACTCTGACAGGCATTCGTCTGGAGGGGTGGTGGTGACTATGGTAACGAGGTATGATTATTTCAAGTAGGGGTGCGGGTCCCTCTTTAAGGCTGGTTTTGGAGAGAGAAAATAAGACCATGAGACCTCTTTCTTCGGTCTATTGTGTTAGCTCTAGAGTGAAGAGAAATAAATATTCCCACCTGAAACATCGTTTAGATCGTTCGATTTTCTCTTTTTTTTAAAAGAGTCAAAATTTTAATAGCGGTAAGCACCCAAAATTTGAAATCATAATTTTTACATTTTTTGTTGTTTTTTAAAAAGTATATATTATACAAAACAATAGCCTAAAACGATTTTTTTTTAATTAATTTATTTTACAAGATATTAACAATTAAATTTTAAAGCTCTTTTTAATTAAAAAATAAATATCTAAGGATAGAATGAATGGATTTTAAAAAAATTTACCTCGTTTTACGCTTAAATAATGGAAGTTTTTGAAAAAATAATTATAATATAACAAATGCTTAAAAAATTTAATTTTCATTGCGAAATTATGTTGTAAAATGAAAAACAAAAATGTCGTTAATGTCGTACAAAGTTCAAACAAAACCAATTTTAAAGTAAATTTCATTCTGAACAAAATGGCTTTTCAAAAAAAATGGATTACAATTCCATAAAAAGTTATAGCTTTTTTCACGAAATGCTGCACTGCCGCGCGCTCTGCCACTCCACTCTGCTGATCGCTCAGTCGCGCTGTATCAGTTGATTTGGAGGGAATTTAAAAACCTCAACTAAAGTTTCACAAAATAACAAACATTATATTAAATAATAAATTTATAATTTTAGGTGAATAATATTATGAATAATTAGTTATTTATAATTTATTTACATAATTTTTTGAGTTCAAACTTGGAACTAGAAGAATATATTTTATTTATAACTATTTTATCAAAAACTTCAATTACTTCTGCGTAAAATGAGATACAATTTTTTAAAATCCATTTATTCTATCCTTAGATATTTATTTTTTAATTAAAAAGAGCTTTAAAATTTAATGGTTAACAACCTGTAAAATAAATTAAATAAAAAGAAATCGTTTTGGGCTATTGTTTTGTATAATATATACTTTTCAAAAAACAACAATAAAATGTAAAAATCATGATATTAAATTTTGGGTGTAACAGCTATTAAAATTTTGACTCAATGACAAATTAAAATTGTTATTTCTATGTAATGATTGATAAATAGGATATGTATGGAAATTGTATAAAATTGCTTTAAGCAAGCTCAATGTTTTATTAATAAATAACTGATCTATAAATTTATCATGCATAGTAAATTGGTTATAAAGAAAAGAAATAAATTTGCTAATAAAAAACTGCTAGAATTATTTTTTTTTAATAAATAGTGAGAAAAACTATACAGGTTACATTAAAATACAAGTAAGAAAACGTAATTTAAGCAACAAAAAAATTTCAGATGTTTTGATGGGTGCTGATAAAAATCATCGTTGATAGTTTTAGATTTCATCCTATTTGCGGTAGCTCGCTTTCAGTTTAAAAAAAAATTAAAAATAAATAATAAAAACAAAGATATTTAATACTTTTTCGGCACAGATAATGTGAACTATTTCCATTTTCAGCAAAAGTTTTATCTCCTTTTAAAATCAGAGTTAATAAGTTTAAGCACTTCACTTTTTCCAGAAAACTCAAATAATAAAATAAATTAACTGCTTTAAAAAATGTGCAAGCTTAGAAATTAAACCATCTAACAATCAATGAACATTCATAATAAATATCGTAAAATCAAAAAAACATGTACTACCCTTATTGTCAGAATTTGTTCACTTTTTTTCTTTTGTATTTAAAAAATAACAACCGATTGAGTAGAGAGAATCATTTCAAGAAAGAAAGAAATATCCAATGCGAGTCTTAAAAAAGTTATTGAATCAGATTAAATAAGTCTCCTACTGGTGGCTGAGTCAGCCAATCTGGTATACTTCCCATACAAGCTATCATCGAAGCTACCCTCCCTAAAATGCCCTCTTCTTGTTTCCATAGCACCAGACTGTCACAGACTTTGTGGCGGTCAGAGTACCTATCGTAGACAAACAGTAATGGTGAATATTTACTCCATTCAGTGGTCTTTTTCCATACTTGTAAAACACAATGCAATCACAATTTGAGATATATGGAGTTTTAGCTTTTATATTCATTTTTCTAATACATACCAATACAATTCTAAAATCAAAGCTAGTTTAGAATTACACATTTGGATGTTTTTAGATTTTTTATATACATGCTTGTTTTCGCATTGTTTCATATTGGAAAATTTTTTTAGCATCATCTAATTCAGGCTTTAGTTGCTTAACATGTAAAAAAATAAAAGTTTGAAAAACTTAAAAACAGACAAATGTGTAAATTTAAATGGCTTCCTCAAAATCACATATTGCATAATTTTACTGCCTTACATTAAACAAAAAAATTTACAGAAGTTGTAAAAATTATGAAGCACTGTTTCTCCTAATAATCTACTTTGGTGACACCTTTAATTTCAACTCATTTTGGAAGGTTTTGTCAAATGGCACTATCATCAAAAGCTTACTGAATAAAAAAAATCAAGAAAATACAAATCAAAAATAACAAAGGAAGAGGCTTAATAAAACTTAATAAACTAATCAGTGATCACGTAAAGGGATAAATTATAATTGCCAGCATCTGATTTCATGAGTGTCATGAATTAGAGTTTTAGAAAAGTTTGAAAAATGTATCATAAAAAGTTTTGTGAATGCAATAAATGTAATAAAAAATCAAGAAAATTGCTCAAAAAAGGAATATTAATAAGGAATCAGAAATATAAAGGAATAAGAAAATTAAAGTTCTAACAAATATTCAGAAAATATTTTTAAAATATGCAGAATTGAGACAATAAATAAAAATATGCAAATAATGATTCTGACATTAAAAAAATAGTTATAAGTAAACTATAGGTAGTAGTTACAACCATTAGTTAATAATAGTTACAATCGTAAATACAGTCTATGCTCTTTATGAATGCAACCCTTTATTTTAATGGAGTCCCGCTACACATTAATTAAACGCAAAGTTATTTTAATGTTCAACGGGATGTTCGCATTGTTTCAATTTTGTTTAAGTTTTTTTAATTCGAAGAAAAATCATCAAACCAAAGCATTTAAACATTTTTGAACTTTCTTTTCTGTGGGCAATGAACACGTCTTGAAAAATTTATTCAAACTGTTATTTATTTTAATGTTATGCCCGGATAAACCTGAAACATGACAGGACTACCATTATTTTTATAATTTTTCTTGTGTGAAAATTATATTCACTCTATTTTGAAATTGAGGTGGTTCGTTTTAAGAGATAAAACATGTGGTATTTACATTCTTCTTGTTTTTATTTTTTCTTAGATTTCGCAGTACTCTAGATGTATGTTACTAAGCAAAAATGCTGTTCATAACCAGCATAGAACAGAAATTGAAAATTTTGAAGGAAATGGATAATTGAATTATATTTTTCTCAACAAAAAAAGTCCAATTCTCATTAATAAGTAAATATTTGCTATAGTTTTGTTTTTTCTCGATTCCTGTTATAAACATACAGTTTTGTTTTGAAATAGGATTTGTTTTAAGAAGCATCAACTGTATAAGGAATTGCATTTATTCCTTTTCAAGGGTTACAAAAAATACAAAGAATATCTTTGCAATTGAAGCAGAAAAAAATAACTGAGCATTTTGAAAGCATTTAACTATAACAACTTATTACTTCTACTCCAGCTCTCAGAAACATAAAAAGATTTATTTTCATCTTTTTTTAAAAAACTTTCTTAAACTGCCTCTCTAAATATTAAAAAGCCATGATATGAGGGAAAAAACTTTAGTATGCATAATTAATCACTCCATCAATAATTGATAGAATTTTTTTCATATAGTCACCTAAATGCAATTTAAAAAAAACAATGAACAGGTAAAAATTTTTTTATCAGAATTGAAAATTTTAAAATTATACAGATACTTAATTTTTTTGTGGAATTGTGCTTCTTTTTATGATTATATTTTATGAAGTTTATTCATGCATTTAGTTACTAATAAAATGTGTTACGTTACTTACTAATACAAAGGGTATAAAAATGTAAATTACAAGTACATTGTGCAAACTTTAAGTCCTTACTTTCAGTTGCTGCTTTTGTGAAATTCCAGCACTGGTGGCTGATTTAGAAGCTTGTCCAATAAAACTCATACACTTGACCATGGGCTGATGAAGGTTTAACATGTCTACAATTTCGTGAACACTGTCTCGATACTGAGAAAATATCATCACTCTTGTGTTCTTATCATCTTAAAAGGAATGACTAGTTCAATACAATCTTACACATAGTTAAAAGTACATATAGAACAAGTTTAAGGAAAAACAAATCTAAAAATTACCTATGGTTCTAAAATGATTTAAAACAACTTCAAGTAGCTTCTTAAGCTTGGGGTGACCTGGAAGTGTTCTTTTGAAAACCTAAAAGGGGGAACGTAATAAAAGAAAACTTTTTATTTTGGGTTATATCAACATGATTTAAATCATGAAGTAAACTGATTTTTTTTTTTGTAAAAATCTTTGATTTAAATCAAACTATTGGTCAAATTTACTTTCATAAGATTGTTAATTTTTCAATTGATTTTCATAGCTCAATTTACTTTAAATACTTTCAATTAGAGAAATGACATAGGCACATGGTGTGAAATAAATTATGACACTTCTTAAATGATATTTCAAAATTTTTAAAATTCTTTTGGATTATTTAGAATGCAAGTAAAGAACAATGTGAAAATTTAATAGTTTTTTATACTTATGCAACTGTAAAAAGAGTTATTGATAATGGATTTAAAAAAAAAAGAAAAAAAAGATATGAGATATTATACTTATAAATTTAAATGATTTTAAACTAAAGTTCTGAAAATATCTCTTTAAAAACTATAAAAATCCAATTTAATAAAGAAATTAAAAAAATACATTAATTAGTCAAAATTAAAGTATTTGAATTTGTAATATGTTATAATTAGAAATTATTTTTAGTTATTCAGTTTAACCCCTTGCTTATGGCGTTTAGTATGATGAAGCCCACTATTATGCAAAAAACATTCAATCTATTTTTTATTTCAGGCTTCATTCATTCTTAAACATAATGGTTAATAAGTGTGAGTGATGGTCATAAGAATTGAATGACGATACACAATCAATGAGTTCCTTTAATTCATAACTGGTTTTCATTTTGATTTTTCTCATTCTGTTCTTTTTACCTCTGACCTTTAAACTTGCCTAAAAAGTTAAATTCTCATCTAAAGCCTTTTTGTGCATGGAAAACAGATTTGAAGGATTTATTATTCGTATACTATATATCTTCCAGAAACTGAGAAGAAAGAAGTATCTGTACAAGAAAAATATTTAAATTTTTCTTCATTTTTCAAACCACATGTTTGATTTTTTAAAACAATCATCATGATTATATAAAATTATATTTTAAGTATGTTTTAATAGCATGATGACTCAGTATTTTTCAAATTTTATTTTAAAGATAGCCTGATTTTATAAACCAGACAATTTTATCAGCGATAATGACTGAATTTGAAAACAACAACATCTGCAAAACCAAAATTTACAAGTATGACTACTCATCAAATTGTAGTTTTAGTACATAATATCAATGAATAATACCAATAATGGATTATGTAATACCAATAATTGCCCGCACCAACACCGATTTATAGTACTTCACAGTTTAAAACACTCACACTATATAAATATTTAATCACAGCACTGGGTTATTACTTAAAAGTCCAGCAAGTTATTTTGTTTAATTGTGTTTTCAGAGTAACAATCTGCCTTCAGTGGTGTAGTGAAACGGAAAGTTACATATATGACCACTCGGCAAATTGAAAAATTATGATTGCTATTCACTATAATTACTTAGGTATTACACCAATATACAATCTACCCACAAAGTTACTTTACAAATAAATAGGTGGCACAACAAGAATAAAGTATGTTGGCACTTAACATTAAAAAAACATCAGCATAGATTATACTAGGCTGTAACACCTCACTTTTTAAAAAAAACAACGTAGGGTATACTATGTTACATATACAACCAGGCTGTGGCACTAAAAGAGCAAAACTAAAAAAAAAAACACAACTATTACGAAAATGAATGTCTAATACACAGGTCAATCGCATATTGGGATATTAATGTTATTTAATTATATGCCAATTTTAATTCTTCAATTATTCAGAATCACACATTTTTGCAGTCAAAATATTTAGAAAATGGTTAAAGTGGGAGTAAAAGTTATCCTCTGATATGCTATCTGGAGTTTCCCTTCAACAAAAACTAGTTTTCCCACATATCTAATTAAAATGAAGAATTAGCTGCCGAACACTTAACAATGAAATTTAAAATAGAAAAATATAAGAGTGAGAAAAGAATAAAAATTCAAAATTTCATATAAACTAAATGATAAAAAAATAAATAATAGAAAAGCGTATGAAACTATTTTACATGAAGAAAAAAAACACTTAAATTATTTACATACTTATTTAAAGATTTTTCTTTCTTTATCATATGTATACAATGATAATCAGACAAACTGTTTTATATAAATCATGACTAAAATGAATAAAATAATAATGAAGTCATTTCATTAACAGAGCTTTTGAAATATGTCAATAATCTCTCTGTAGTAAAAAAAAGCCTAATTCTGTACTGAGAAAGTTACAAAACATGCTCTCGTGCATTGATTATACAAACAATCGCTTACTCAACATGGCATCACAACTCTAAACTAAACTCCTAAAACTAAACTAAAATTTGATAAACTAAACATGTTAAAAAAAATTCTAGAAAAAGGGGGAAGAAAGAAAAAACAATTTATAAAAAAATTATCAATGCAAATATTTTTCAATTTTTTTTTCTATTATTCAATAATTGTATCAAATTAGATCCATGAGTTTGTTTGCCCTCATCACCCCTAGTACTCTGTCAGAGATTGCTTTAAAAGGTCACCCAACAAAACTCAGCTAGCTACATATGCATTGCATTAACTTCTTGCTGCTAGATGAGAATCTGATGGTCCTTAAGTGACTGGTCTTTCCTGTATCCCTCAAATGAAAGCGCAGTACCTGGACCTTCACTTCTATGAAACAGTTGCCTTCGAGAAATGCCAATAGAGGCCTTTATATGAATCATTAAAATGAATATCAATAGCATTTTTTACTCACACTTATATTTCCATCTGGAACTGGATCTGGAATATAGTTTTCTTGAACGTCAGACATTAATCTTTCAAATTCCTCGTTTTTTTGCAACTCAGCTCTGGCATGAGGAATAGATTTTTCTCCATTTAATATTCCTAAAAATATGCATTCACATACATTTGAGATAATTACGGTAATTCATAACATTTAAAAATAAAACATAATGAATAAATATTAATTATAAAACATTTTTAATGCAAATTATAATTCCAAAATTAAAATATTATTTTAAAAAGCAATTATATAGTAATTGAATATTATTCTAGGCACTTTTAATGCTCGCTTTAAAGGACACTGTTTTGTTTCATGATTTGCTAATTCAGAAAGTACTATACTGAAAATTTCATTGTCAACCTAATTTATAATAATGATTCCGTTGTTATTTTATACATTACTTGAAGTATCTTTTTAATTTGCCCAAAATATTTCAATAGCTCTCTGCCGTTTTATTTTGGGCATTTCTTTTTAATTCACATGCATTTATGAAACATTATAATAAATTAATTTTGTATATGGGATAAGAGCAGAATATTTCTAAAATAATTCTCAAGATTTCCAATAAGATGATTCAGTTCTCTATCATCATACTTTTTAACTTGTTTTCCAGTCACTTTGATTCACTTAAGATTGAATTTTCTCTATTGTTGTTTTTTTTTCCTAAAAAAATATGGATTTATCTAATTTAAAATTATTTATTTTATCAGAGCCTGATTCTAGCAAAATATGCAACATGATTTACTTTGATGCTAACCAATGCTGATAATCACATGTTTGCTTTAATTCTCAGGCAGCCATGGAAAAAAGTTGCACTTTTCCTGGAGTCTTCGCCGCATTGATAAATCAGTTTATATTATTAGATGAACGAAATTATATTACAGTCAAACCCTATAGTGAATCTTCAAGGGACCGAAATTTCGGTTCACTGTAACCGGGAGTTCACTATATCCGTTACGCAGGCAATTTAACTAATGGTTCCCAAACTCCTCCCTTTTATTGCACATTATTAAATAAATGACTGAAAAATATTGTGTAGTAGCAAAAAATGTGTTATTTTTCATTACTCTTTGTCTTGCGTACAAAAAAAAAATTAGTAATCTTTTGCTGATGAGCAATCCTCAACATCAGATATGGAAACACTTATCGACTCTCAGATAATTTTTCCAGATTTCTGTTATTCCGCTTTTTAAACCTGTCTAACCTGCCATTCGAGCACATAAAAGCAGTTTCATAAAATCGCTTATTAAATTCATCGACATTTGTCCAGATACTGAAAGATTGCGGCATCTTCTATTGGTTAACCACTTCAGCAATGCTTCTTCAACATCCATGTGATCTGCTTCTCAACTTTTTTCTGCCATCTAATTTTTTTTCATGAGCAGAAATTATTAATTGCCTATTTTTTCATATGTTACAAGCTGCAGATTTGGATTGTTCATATTCCCTGCAAATATCAGCTTGATTGCATCCATTTTCAATTTTTCTCATTATGCCCATTTTATCATCAATGGAGAACGTTTTACGTTTACTGCTCGCCATTGTTAAATTTGAGACACTTGTCTGCAGGATTTTTTTAACTAAACTGAAAGCAGAAAAGAGTTGAAACGAGGGCCTTATCAGCCCATATTAGTGTCCAACCCTTTGACCAATAATGAATAATTACTAATTCCCTTTGACAGAAAATGCATGTTGATCCCACTGACACCTCACAGGTGCATCATCTGCCTGAGTTGGAAACATCTGCTTGCTTTGTTTAGGGATAGGAAAGTGAGATAAAAGAAGTAAACAAGGAAAAATGCTTATCTTTACATTCCCCTATATGGATGGTTCTAAAAATCGATTTATGTATTTATTTTGAAGTAGAAATTTCAAAATTATTACAAAAAAATGGAGAAAAAAAATCAGTCGAAGACAGAAAAAAGTTCACTATATCCAACTTCACTTTTTTGGTTTCTATATCCACAAAAGCAATGTATATGTATAGCAAGGCAAGTGTATAGCATAGCAAGGTGTAAGTGTATAGCAAGGCACGGGACCAAATATTTCGTTCACTATATCCAAGACTTCACTATAAACCGTGTTCACTATAGCGGGGTTTGACTGTATTAGAAATATTCACCCAAGTTTTTCGATTTCCAAAACTCTCAGAGGGATGATGGTATTTTTACCATCTGTCGACCACAACCTGGGTTATTCACTTCTCGAAAACTAAGAGAGGATTGAAGTTTCTCTAAAATAATTTTTATTTCTTTGAAGGCTACATACCTGTTAGAAAGTTATAAAACTGTCTCGCACCATGAAGTAGCAGCAGTTCATATGCATGATACAAACTAATCAGCAGCGAAAAGTCGGCCATCGAAAGACCGAAAGTGAACTTATCGATGGAGGAAGGAGGGTGTTGAGCGAAATCCTCTCTCATTTTCAGAATTTGAAATTTTGTTAAAGATGTCGGGTTACGAGATGAAATCACACCCCTTTGAGTCAGCCTCTTCAAATAGATATTGATGATCTACAAAAAATAATCAATTGTAATAAAAAAACTGCTGGTCTAATCATTAGACTTTCTAGTAATAAGGGAAAAAACTTATTGCTTCAAAGGGTTCAAGTATATTCATAGCTCAAGGCAAAACTTTAATTTCATAGGTACAGTTCCAGAGAGAGATCAATTGGTAAAAAGAGAAGAAAATTTTAAAATAGAGCACAAAAAACCAAATTAAAAATAAGATACTTTAACATGTTTTTCTAAGCAGTAGAAAAAAATTATGATGCGTTTTATCTTTGATAGTACTGTGCTTGTTTGTGAAAATTAATTTCTAAACTTTAGTTTAGAGTTACAATTAACAATAAAAACAATCTTAGCATCTTGAAATTTGAAAATTTGGCAGAAGATCCAATAATATTTAGCCAATGAAAAATGAAACACTTATTGATCAGATCTTTTTAGTATTCCTACCTGATGAGGGGAAACTTATTATTCTCAAAACATGCAGCTTTATTTTTCTGTTATATTGTTTTGATAAAAATAAACAAGTGTGCAACATACTAATTTCAACTCTCTAATCAATTAAAGGTTTAATCCATCAAGATGTAGCGTAATCTTTTTATATTCATATGATTTCCAAAAGATTGATTTTCCAAAAAGGTAAAGGTTTTGATAAATAATGATTTTAGTAATAGACTTATTTTATCAGGGACAATCACTGTATCTGCTTTATACAGAACTGGATCTACCAAAACATCAATAGAATTCATTTATAAAGAATTGAAAAAGTAAATGTAAAATTTTTGCTTAAGAGCAGTATAATATTTTTTTAAATGTTTTTTACAATTTCAGGGATGAGATTTTTCCTCTTTTTAGCGGATTTCCGCTTTTTTCACTTTTATCTCTTGAATTTCAGCTTTTTTATCAAAAATTCAGATTTTTCTAAAAATTTCACCTTTTTTTTTAATAAGTATTCCGCTTTTTCAGAAAATTCACCGATTTTCAAAGGGAAACAGAAAATTCAAACTACATAGCTACCAATCCTTTCTCATTTTACTTATTTTAGCTATTTTCTCCTCTTTTACTCGCAGCAGAAAAGATTTTTCCGAATTTTTCACCCGCCCTCCAGATAAATCCGATTTTTGTAGTTCAAACGACGCTGCTTCTGACAAGCCTTTTAGAGGTCCCAAGCCTGGAATCTGCTAATATCTCGATTCTTATTCACACGATTTTTATATCAAACATAGCTTTTCATATTTGCGTGTTGTGATTCTTATTTACGAGATTTAAAAATCCGACATTGTGATTCATATTTACGCCTTTTTAAAAAGCTATGTAGCGATTCGTATTCACGCAAGTTTAAAATTCAATGTCTTGATTTGCTCATGCAGTTTATAATATCAAACATTGATTTTCGTATTTATACGTGATTTTAAAATAAGGCATTGGGATTCACATTCACGCATTCTAAAAATTATGCATCATAATTCTTATTTATGCAATCTAAAAATTACGCATCATGATTTGTATTTACGCGATCTAAAAATTATGAATCATGACTTGTATTTACGCGTTTTAAAAATTCTATATCCCAGTTTGTATTCTCTCATTTTCAAAATCGTATATCTAGTTTCATATTCATGTGATTTCAAAATCCATAATTGTTATTCATATTCACGCAATTTTAAGATCAACTATCGAGATTCTTGTAAGATTCGAGATTCTTGTCTTTCTAACGACGATTATTAGTATATGTAAGTGTTACAACATCAGAGAAACTGGAAGGGAATATATTCAAAACTTACATTCTGTGCTTGCAAAGAAGAAAAAATAGGATTTGTCACAAGATGTTTGAAGATGGACTAACGACTAAATATAGCAAACATAAAAGATATAGCAAACAAAAGCAATCACTTAAAAAGGGATTTAATTTCATTTTTTTTTTTTTTGGAAAAAGAGTTAATTAGCTCATCATCAAAATTTTATTTAGAATTGCTGTTATNAGTTAATTAACTTATCATCAAAATTTTATTTATAATTGCTGTTATTTATGCTATAAAATGCGGAATTCTTATCAAATAAAAAACAATTATCTAAACAGTTGCTGATTGTCATGTAATTTTTCAAACTAAAATAGCAATTTTTGTATGTTAAGGAGTTACTATATGTTTCTACTTCTGTTATTGATATGTTTCAAAGTGCTCTAGTTAGATTAGACTATAATATGAACATAATGATTTGGTCCATTGTTAAAGTTTTTTTTTTCCAATTTAGTTTAAAAAGTAATATTACTGATATATTTGCAATAAATCACATAATAGTATTTATTAAAAGAAATGAAATATTAATGTATATTCTCAGCAGTTTTAATTTGCTAAACCAGGTAGTTTTTCAAGTAATAATTTTCTCTTATGTGAACTGAGGAAAAATATAATTTCCAGCTTTATTTTTCAAATGGTAATTTTTATTTTTACTAAATGTTAAGTATCAATGCAATCATTTATATAATAATAGATTAGTACACAGTTGTATGTCAACACATTATTTATTACCTTAAACTGTCTGGAATTTATTATTAAAGGGTTGCGCTTGCGTAAAATTTACTATCGTGGAAATTCAGATTTTTTGCCTTCTGGCTAATCTCATCCCTGAATTATAAAACATGCAGATTTATTCAGTATATCTAATTATGATAAAAAATAATGATTTAATAAAAAAAAAATATTTATTTGCCTTGCGATTTTTTTTTAAAATTATAAATTAGAAACATTTTTACTACAGTTACATCCAACAAGTTTAAATAAAAATTGACATTTTTTGTAAGACAATCTTCCTTTTGATTAAGTATACAAATTTAATTTTTTCGAAATGCCCCATTAAAAAGATATTTTATTAATAAAACATCTAGCAGATATAGAATTTAGTAAAAACTAATGAAATGTAATTAATCAATATTTTTCTTTAAATTTTGAATTTTCCAACATTATATCTTCCATATTTGTTTAATTGTTTTAAATAAATTAATTCATTACGATTTTGCACATTAAATTTTTTATCGCAATTGTTTATAATATTGTTTTGTCATCGCATTGAAGAATATCAAAGTAACAGAAATCTTTTCAAAAAATTTTATTGTAAGTAAAACAGTAGTATGTTGGTCAAAAATCCAGCCCAATACCTGGGTTGCTGGGTACCTGGCTGAAATTACTATTAGGTGTAATAAAATATGCTCAGTATCAAGGTTTAATTGGCACAGTTGATTAATATGAGAAATGGTGAAATCTTGTCATCACTGTAAACTCAGTCAACGATCACAAAGTCTGCTATAAAAGCTGCTTTAAATTCAAATTGTGGGGTATTTCTAATTCAGAGATTTTGAAAAAGTGAATAAACTAAATCGTAAGGGTGTATCTTTATATAACATAAAATCATAGAAGTCTGACTCCGTTTTCCATTGTTGTCGGCGCATTTTTATTGGCCGGAAAATCACGTGGTAGGATCCAGTTTTTCCTCATTCATTTCCATATTGTTTTGGATGTCATCAGCACAAAATTAACAAAAGTCGCAAAGGTATTGTTTTTCTTTAAATATTTTTGTTTCCCTAATTTAAACTTATTTTCCAGTACTGCTACTATTAGCGAGAGTATAAAATTATGGTTGTGAACTCATCAAACTTGTTTGAACAATACAATGCTATAAGAATATAAATGTTATTTTAAAAAATGATTACTTCGAAAAATCCCTTCCGTTCACCAAAAGATCTAATATTTGGGTAAAGTAATATTTGAGAGTAATATTTAGACATGGGAAGTAGAGGCACAAGAGTAAGTAAATAGAATTCCTTTCAGTACATATATGTTAAGTGAATAATTTAACTTTAATATAAAAACTGTTTTCTGCCAAGAAAAGACAATTATTGTGAAGCAATATTGCAAAGCAATAATCGGGGTTGGTGAGTGGCAGTGAACAGGGGGCTTAGCCCCCTACTAATACATAAAAATCTTAACATTTTTCCTCTAATTCATACTTATTGCATTTTTAATTAGAAACATTGGCACAAATTGGTTATTTAAATTTATAACAAGCCAAACTTCAATTGCAAAGCCAAGTTTTAAAGAAAACAGAAAACAAAGGAATATTTTGAGCTGTATATCATAACAAACTTGCTTTTTTAATGATCTTTTTGGTTATTTTTTTTAACTTATATTTGATTCAAATGAAGAGAAACTCATAAATCTCTCACAATGACCCCTTTATAAAACACATTTTAACTTATCTATAATCCAAAACCTGCAAAGAACATTTAAAAGTTATCTAATACAGCATAGCTACCAGTTTTCCGTAAAATTTTACTTTTATATTTAAAGTGGTAGTAAAATGTGTGGTTTATTTTTTAATTGATTTTGAATACAATTTTATTCAAATGTTATTTACCTAGCACTTGGCAGAATCCTTTCTTTGGAAGGAGCAAAAGTTAAGAGGTCTAATCAGATTTGGTAGTCTGTGTGATCGAATTAAGGAGATGGAGCCATATTCCACAGATAGAAATAACTTTCCTTTTTAACAATATTAGTCATTAACTTCACCTTACTAAACTTAGCTGATACTTAATGCACTTATTTGTTACACAATGCTTTCATTTGAAATACTGCATACAATAAAGTACTAAGCACTATTGATTAAATGAAACTGATCCATACCCTTCTCAAGCACATAGTGTAAATGCTTAATCTTTCGAAGTGTTTACAATATCTGCTTGTTCAGCTTTATTAAAATCCACACATATAAATGAAATTCTAAATGTGACACATCAAACTAAAAACAAGAAATAAATACAAAATTCTCGAGATCAGGATCATCGATAGTCTAGATCATTTTCAAAAAAATAAAAGTCAGTATTTTTGGTAGCAAAGCACAAGTAAATTTACTTATTTTTTTAAACAAAAAAATGGTCATTCCTAAAATAAATTAAAAAATAACTGTTGGGTTAACTTGTGCTTGGTAAACAGTAAAGTATTAAAAAGTCAAAATGATTTCAAGTCAAAACACATTAGTGAGTTAGATTTTAGTGGCAAGAAGTAGTCAGCAGTAGAAAAAAACGTTAAAACGGAATAATTGGTATACAGCAAACAATATGATAGTCATTCATTTACTACTTTATAATTATAATTATTAAAACCTATTTTTTTTATTAAATAGATAACTTTTTATCAAATATTTATTTGGCATTTATTTATCTAGATATTCAAAGGTTTGACTAATATTTAAATGTAAAAATCCTACATCTAAAAACCTGCTTTTAACTTCATTGAGTTGGTCACCAAGAGGAATCACAATCTTTTCTATGTCACGGATGTGTGTGTACTGCTTCACGTCTTCACTGTCTTCTGTTCTCAACTCAACATGAGAGATGAGAAGATTGGACAACACCAACTTCACAGCCTGTGTTAAAAAGAAATAATCAACAATTCAATACCAAATAAATATTGAAAAAACCAAAAATCATGTATTTTTCAAATAAAACTAATTAAACCCTGTATTTTTTTTATTTTTTTTTCTTAACTTAGAAAACCTCACTAGCACTGTCTGAATAGTTTATTCAAAAAAAAAAAAATTTTTCTCCCGGTAATCAATTGTTTGCTGTGGTTCAACAAAAACAAGGGCACTGACCTTAACTTTGCTTCGATACTTAAAATATCTGTTTCAAAACAGTTTTAAGTATAGTAGAAGGCATAGGGCAAAATTTGGAAATTTTACTACTGGCCAATGTCCAATTTAGTGTGTTTAAAGCATTTTTTAAAACATGCAGCCACTTTTCCAGGAACTGAAATTTCTTTTGAATCATTTATTTTGTTGATATCATTTATTTCTTTTGAATCATTTATTAAAATATGGTAAACTTTACTCGGTTCATTATTTAAAATGAAGAAAAATTTTCATAAACAAGTGTGAAAAAAAGCAATTTTCAGGATATAAAATATTCATAATAATTCTATATTTATCAAAAATAATCTTAAAAATGCACAAACAGTGCATTTTTGACAAAAAAAAATGCCATTTGTTATATTGATTTAACAAATTAACCGTTAATTTTTCCCTATGGATAAAGCATAAAACAAGTGTAATTTTTATTTATTTATAGAAAAAAAGGACACATTTAATTCATTGACTAGATATTGAAAGATGAATGAAAATTAGTTTTTAATTTGTTCATAATAAGATAAATGTAGATGTTCTCAGATAGGAAAACTTCAACTCGGTCTAAAATTAACAAGAATACCCAATTGCATAGACAAATATTCCACACTTTTGGATTGCACATGATGTAATTGTTTTGCACATGATGTTTTTAATGTAAGTTTATAAATTTCTAATAAAAATATAATTAGATTAGTTTGTTAATGTGTAGGACTTACAACTAATATTACTAATTTAATTTACTCATCCAAGTCAATTTGTAATTTTTAATCAATTCTTAAAACATTCGGAAAAAATGTTTGAAATTTAATTGTTAAAATATTAAATGAAAAATTACAACTGGAAATTGTGGTTGTAATAAGACAAACGCTAAAAGTAAGAATAAATCTAACAAAATTAAAAATAACCTGAAAAGTAACATTAGAAGATTCAATGTAAACTTGGAAAAAAGAAAAACAGAAATTCGGCTTTTATTGCTAAAAGTCTGATTGAAAAAAATAATAATGATAGTAGTAATAATAAGAAAAACAAAAATCTTTTTTTCAGAAAAATGATTCAATAGAAACAAGTAATGAAGAAATATTAACGAATTTTAGAGAAACTTTTGGGAAAGTACATGGCATAAATTAAATCTTAAAATAAAAATGAACATCGCATAACTCCATAGTGGACCAACAAAAAAAAAATAATGGGGCAACATTTTACAAAAAAGTGGAAAATTTTTTGAAATAGTATACATACACCAGACTAATTTTAAAATAGACAACCTAAAAATGAGCATAATTTGCTGTCTGCAAGAAAAACAAATTTTATCGCAAAAGAGTAATAAAATTTTTTTTTTTCATTTCAAAATTACTTTTTAGAACAGAGAGTTTTAAAAGTTTCAAATATAATTTTATCAATACTGAAGAACTCATAATCAACAGATAGATAAAACTGAAAATCAGAATAAAAGATTTTTCATTAATAAAATCAAGAATCAATTATTAACCCTCGCTTCAGCAAAAACAGATTAAGACCAAGAAGGAAGAACGGTTTATGTTCGTAAAAGCTGATTTGGAGAGTTAACGATTTTGTGCAAGGATAGAAAGGGTTTTTCCACAGTATGGCCTATCTTCACTGGGTAATAACACTGGGAGAGAATGGAGTTTTCACTTTATTCATTCATCAAAACTTGGTTATCTTAAAATACAACTTGAGAATGGTGATCCAACCATCACTTTTGAAAAAAATGGACATAAATCATTCTTCCCTCTAGATCTTTAAATTCTAAAGAAAATTAACACATAATCTTGCCTCGAAGAAGTTTCGGTTAAATAAATTTATCATAATAATTAATTGCAAGTCTGATTTTCTCTATTGCCAAAACATAGAATCAGCAAGAACCTTACAGAGAACAATAATAATAATAAAATAAATTAACTTTGAAATAGTTGAAAGAAGGTATCATAAAAATAGGAAATAAAAATAATGTATCGATAAGTCAAAATAAATTATTAGCAAAATTATAATGAAAGATTACTTTATTTTTCTTTTGTTTTAAAATTCTTAAATAATTATTACAACATGGATAGGAATAAGTGATTTTTACAAATTAACTAAAGAAAAATTATAATAAACATAAGTTAGTATAAACTACAATTTAATTGCAATAAGTAAACAATAGCTTTACTACAGACACAGCTTTACAAAAAATATTTGATGTGAAATTCTTGGCAGTATTTAAAATGTAAAAAATTGGTAATAGATAGAAAGAAGGGATTTTGAATACATTTTGCTTATTTTTAGAATGAAAGTAAAATTATTTACCTGTATATCTCCCCCCGGAGTAGCTGTTAAAGCCAAAACACGGAATTGAGAAGTAAAAGCCTGAACCTCTTGAATCACCTGCAAAAATAATTTTAGTGGAAATTTAAAAATAAATAATAAAAACATTTTGTATGCTTTGATAATGATATTTAGTGTATAACAGTTGCTAGTTCGATAAAATACAATTAAAATAAAAGATAAAAATGTGTGAAGTAAAATGTCACAAAAAAATTTAACACAAGGCTATTTTGCTTGCGCTAAGTTCATCAATTAACTATTTAAATGTCAGTTTGCGTGATAAAATTAGGAATTGTGCAAAGATAATAGCAAATTATTCTGACACAGATTTGTATGAGCAATCAAATGTGAATGCAGTAAATTCAGCAAGTTACTTGACATAATAACTTTTATTAAATTTTCCCATCTTTCACATTTTTAAGACATTTGACAATGCATGACAAATAAGACTAATAACCAGAATGAATTACAATTTGTTACATAAATTTTACTCATAAATTTAAAAAGAATGCTTTATTAGTGATGTATGTCAGTTATTTATACTTTTTTTTTTTACTCGAATGCGATCAATTCATTGCATTTCAATATTCCCAACATGCATTAAGTAATCCAAACGCTTAATCATCTCCTAACTTAACTATTTAGACCAGGGGTCGCCAAACTTTTTTGATCATCGACCCCTATATAATTTTTCGAAATCCCCATCGACCCCCACAAAAGTAATTTTCTGTTAATTAAAATAAAACTCTATTAGATACTGTGTTTGTACATTTATTTTATGATTTTAAACATTTATTAAAGTAATAGTACATTATGTAACAATAGTTTTATGAAAAATATATTAATATTGAAATTTAAATACCTTATNTTTTTTTTTTTTTTTTTTTTTTTTTTTTTTTTTTTTTTTTTTTTTTTTTTTTTTTTTTTTTTTTTTTTTTTTTTTTTTTTTTTTTTTTTTTTGCATATGAGTTAGAAACTTATTTCAAACATAGCACTCAATTATTAACAAGTTAAAAGCGTTTTCTTTCAGTTATTAAGATTCATCTAACATCTAAGATAACATCATAGTAAGGAAAATCTGATCATTAATAACAGTTTATTGAAAAAAATATAATTTTTTAACCACAAATTTTATTGAACTCGAAAAAGGATTATAAAACACAAAAATAATATAGCCTTGCACACTAATCGTTTTTTAAAAAAATCTTAAGTGAAATAACTATAAAGCTTGTACCTGACAGTATGCATGGTTACCCAGTGATTTGTGGGCTTCATCTATCACAATGCATTTAATATTTGCAGCTGGGCAAATGTTTCTTGCAATGTCATTGCAGAGTACTTGAGGTGTCAAAAAGAAAACCCTCTTTCTCAACCACAACCGCTTTCTCTCCTCTGGCTGAGTCGCTCCTACAACAAACAATAATTGAAAATTAAACAAAACATTTAAAATGCGACATGATTTCCCTTTAATCCTATTCTATAATACTGATAATATATTAAAATAAAATATTACACTGCTCGTGGAAATATCCTACATGACAAATTATTGCTAAATCAAGCTCACCACCATATCATCTAAATTGATAAATGTACAGAGACAAAAAAAGGATACCCTGAATAAATTTTGATCTAATGATCTATCCTAATACTTTGAATGGTATGTTCATTCAGAAAAAGTACAGTTTTGTATCTGATTTCATAACTTAAAATTAATGTTGTCAGCATACTTAAGGTTAAGCTCTTAAACCATTAAGATAAGAGTCCTAGTACATGATAATTGAACAAAGTTATTTAATATGTTCCCTTTTTTGCCTACAGTACACATAGGGAGGACTTGTGGAAGGAAACACACTGACTCGAGAGAAAAATTCCAGGTTACCATATTATGAAGACCGGAGATTGTAAACAGAAGTGATAGCTGTTTTAGTTTTATAATTTTGCTTTCATTATTTGGTCTGTGTTTTTGCATAGAATAGTAATTTTTGTTAAAATTCACTTTATTAATTTGCTTTTTTAAAACAATCCAACAGAGGTATGTAAACAGACCATTGAAAATGTGTATGGGCTAGTAATGCTTTCTAGTTACTGGTCTTTCGAACCAGTAACTAAATTTTCTTAATTCCGGCCCTATTTCAATAGATCATGCATACTAAGAATCAATATACATTTACCTGGCTTTTATGAGCCTTATGTACAAGCGAGTAAACTAAATGAACTCCAAAACTGCAGATTGCATACTTCAAAAGAACACAATGGAGTTCTTATTTCTTAAAAAGCAAATGAACAAAGATGTTAAATAGCAAATGTGGGTAATTTACCAGTCATCTGAGTAGTATCTTCTTTAGAAATTCCAGTAATCTTAAAGCAGGCATCTATTTGTTGCGCCACCAAGGGCCTCGTGGGTGCCATGAAGATGACCTTTCCTTTTGGGTACCACCTGTAAATGTTGAACATGACAACAGCAGCGATGAAAGTTTTCCCCAAACCAGTAGGAAGTATAACTAGAGTGTTCTTGAACAACGCTTCTTGCACAATCGAGAACTGATAATCTCTCACAGGGTAGTTGGTGGGGTAAATCCATGTTTTGCCAGCATCTGCATCAAATCCAAAAGAATCCAGCAGCGGATCTCTTTTGGATGTGGAAGGAGTCTGAAATTCAAAAGGAGAAACATTTATTAAATAATTAACATAGATTTATTTTTTTTAAATTAATAGGGAATTCATACAAATTCCATGAAAACTTTTTCAATTTTTAAATGACTTATTGTAATTTTTAAATCTTTGACTGGAAATTAATTTATTCATATAACGACAAAAGAATAATTTATAAATTTCTTTTGCCTTTTAAACATTTTGTCCCTTTGCGCATGTCATTGAATGAGATTTATAATTTGCTGTAGTTGCTATATGATTTAAAATAATATTTTATTTTGATTGTTTACATTAAAATTGTCTCATTTTGAATCATATCATACGATCTTTTTAGTCAACTCAGTATAACTAATCTACACAACAAACTTTTTTAAAAAAAATTAAGAACTTGAAAGTAATTTCTAGTTGAAAGAACTTATTAAGAAATCAGAAAGATTTGTTTAGAATTGTCAAGAGAGTGGGAAAAAAGGACACAAAGTTTGAATACATTTTATGAATCCTATGCTCAACCTGTTCTAGATTAGGATGGAGAAGTACTGGCTACGACACTTGTTAGTCCTTTCAAAAATTTGACGAGATCAAAAATAAAGCCCTAAGACTTATTACCACTGCAGCCTGCTCTAGACCAGCACATAAAATTTTCAAAAATAAACAGAAATTGCTGCTACTAAATTAGAGATGCAACATGCAAATATTTGGAATTTAGCCTATACTGCTGAATGCAGAATATTCATTTAGGAGGAATAAAGGAAGAAGCGTCTGCCGAAGACAAAACTTAGTTCGTTTACATCCGTCTTTTTTGGCCCCCTCCCCCCGGAAGGGTTTATTCGATTAACAAAACAGTAATGAAGATAAACAAATTTGTGACGGGTGCGATTAAAAGATAAATTATTTTGTAAAGGGTCTGATTAAAAGATAAATTATTTTATGAAGGGTTCGTTTTTAATTTAAAATATTTTGTGAAGGGTCCGTTTTTATAAAAAGATATTTTGTGAAGGGTCCATTAACGGACCCAAATTTCTTCTAAACAAACCCCTGATGATCATTTTAAAACCTTTTTATAGAATATGTAAATTTAACTGAGGAATTAATTTTAAGTTTAATTATTTCTCTTTGAAAAATAGATTTCTTTTTAATCAAAATTAAGGTCCATTTTTGGGAGATATAATGCTCTTTTCAGTTTTATCACCCTGCCCTACTTAGGATCAAGATCTAGAATGAACCCTAAAAATGTTTTGATTAAAAGTTATAAACAAAAGTGTAAAAATTGTGGTTAAAAATATAATTTTAAAGTTACCCCTTGCTGAAAGGCTAAAACTAAGAAAAAATATTTAGGTGCCATTGACACCAAACTGTTATATTCTAATTTCTAACCTTGGTCTTCACTCACTACACAAAAATATCTTTAACTTACTTAACATAATAAATAAAAACTACCTTTAATATCTTATCATTAACGAAAATTCAATGATAAGATATGAATGAGTACCTATACCAATTTTAATGAAATCATTGAAATTGGCCAAAAATTACTAAAAATAAAAAGGAGAAATTTAAATGTATAATTATTTGTTAGTAATGTTAATTAAAACTTGTTTAGAATTTTATAAATGTCTCTTACCTGAAAAGCATTTTGGTTGTCGGGGCTAAAACATGTAGTTATCAAATTGTGAGTTTTAAGAGACGTCAAAACAGCCTTATCATCATTAGAAGTTGAGGCGCTTTGAGAACTTTTATTCCAACTTTCAAATAGAGTCTTTTGTTTTACATTCATGATTTTAAGTCATTTCAGATAAAGTTACTAGAAGAAGAAAAAAAACATTCATTATTTTCAATGCATTTAAAAATATTTAATTAAATCCATTTATTGTTGATCACTGAAATTTTTATAAAAATCAACACATAAGTTATGTCAAGTTTGTCTTTATGTTCTGCATTATTATAAAGCAAAAATGACCACAAAAACAAAGTGGTTTTTAAAAAAATAGTGAAAAGAACCAATATTAGCATCTTTAAAAAAGAATCCTAGAGGGTGAAAAATAAAGATGACATCCCAAATAAGTTTTTGAAAAAATAATTAGCAGCCCTATAAACATAAAAATAGGATTTCCATTTGTGGTGCTATCTATACCTCTTTATACAATGATATTAATTAAGAGCTATTTAATAAAATGCTAATAGTTAACAAAAACAAACAATTCTTTGTTAGTTAAAAAGTAATAAAAGATGGTAGGTAGGTACTTTATTTACATCGCACTAGAGTTGCACAATGGGCTATTGGTAACGATCTGGAAAAAATCCCTCAGGATCGTCCGAAGACATGCCAGCACAATTTCCATCCTCTACAGATGGGATGGTTCCCATGCTGACCACCAGCGCACAAAGTCTAGCACTTTACATTAGAAAAGCGCATCCTCGTTCCCTATGGAGACTGATCTAAGTGGTCACCCATCCACTTACTGACCACAGCTCAAGATGCTTGACTTTGGTGATCTACTGGGAACCGTTTCTTTTCGATCAGTCCACAGCAGGACGGTAATAAAAGATAAAAATGATCCTAAAATATGATTTCTTTTAATGTTCATCAAATGTACTCAAACCATGCAATCTGCGCATAATAATCATGTAATGTACACAAATCATATAATCTGCACATAATAAACATAGCTTTATATAATGTAGTTTATCAAATTGATTTAAAGCCCAGTAACTTTACAGGCGTATTAAACAATGTAAAATATATATATATATATACATATGTTTTTTTGGGGGGATAGAAGAGGGAAGTGGGAGATTTCTGTAATAAGTATCTATATCAAAAAATTACAAAATTTTGCAGCCTTTCTGAGCAATCATATACAAAAAGCTAATATACGGAAATCATCCCAAAAAAACACAAATCAAAATAAAGCTCATATACTCAGGGCCAACAAAAAAATTCATATTCTTCTTTCTATTACTTCAAATTAAACATAGCAAATTTATTTCGCACCAAGGGAATAAGCGTGAAAAGGTAGCGAGACAGAAATATTTGCATAAAAAGTGCTAAGCCAGAAATTTTTTTTTTAATTCAATTAAAATTTGCAATATATTGTTCTCACATGCAATATAATATACATAACATTGTATCAAATCTAGCATAAAAGCTAACATATAGATTCATGAGTGAAAAAACATACAACACTTCGAAAATTTATTTTTACTGACTCAATTTTTCATTGTTGAATATGAATCAAGCACATTTCGTCAACAATGGAAAAGTAGAGGACCATTGCAAGCAAATTGGGCTTTAATAGGTATTTTGTAATAATTGACAACAAAAAAAACATTCATCAAATTATTCTTAAATCCAAATACTAACAAAGTGAACTTAAATAAAGATAAATAGTTATAAAAGATTATTTAAAGCAGTATATTTGCAAAGCATTTCACTATTATATAAAGTTAAGATCTCTTTTGTACGAAATTTAGCCTCTTATAAATTATAGCTAGTGTTGACATGAGAAAAAATTTTGACCAGACATTCGAATTTAGAAAACAAGATATTATTTAAACTAGATTAGAGATTATTTACTACAGATAAATGATTCCTTCAATTCAAATTTCTCCTTCATCTCTAAGGTAAGGTTTCAAAGTTTGAATAGTTTGTTTATTTACAATTTCAAATTCATTTATAAGTCAAAGTTGGGGTTAATCAGAAAACCACAAATAAACAGCTGAGTCTATCTATAAGCAAGCTATAAGCAAATGCCTCATTATATTTAAAACTATAAAACTGATCATCATAGCAAACAGATTGGGTACCGAAAATATTAAGCTAATTTGCCTCAAATATTAAGTTCTAATCTGTTTTTAAGTGTTTCTTTGAAATAATGCTTTTGAAATCAATCGAGTATGAGTAAAGATTAAGGATATTTTTTTCCATTTTACCAAATAGGTAAGAGATTGATTATTTTTTGAGAAAGTGAAATCAAAACCTTTTAAGTTCATTAAAAATTAACTTTAGCACAAGTACTTTATGTGTTTACTAAGTATACAAATGTAGAAATTCTCTTTTGTATACTTAGTTAACACTGTTCTACCCTGAAATAATTTTTCAAAACTTTGTGGAATAAATTGTGATTCTGTCCTTCATATGTAAATGTATAATTTTAAAAAGAAGAAAAAAAACGACTGTTTTATGTTAAAAAATTTTTAAGATTTTGATCTCTTTCTCTATGTATATATATATATATAACTAGATATATGAGAACCAGACGGGATTTCGACAGGACGTTTTTTAGTTAAAAAAATTCACTTGGTATAAATCATGAACCAAAATTACCACAAAATCCAATACATTTGAAATCTCTCTGTACTAATCTTGATTTGACTCAAAAGTAATGCGGGCCCTTCTATTTTGAGAGCCCTTACTCTCAAAGAATTAAACATATTTTACCCTGAACCAAGATGGATCCCTCCTGTATCATAGCTCTTATGCAGGTGCCGGAATTTTCTCAGACATTTTTCCTTTCTAGGTTCTTGTGGAACAGGATACTGCATTTGACGGAGAAATTTCTATGATCTGCACAGCTCTGTCCTAGCTGCAACGCCACTTGAAAAAATTCATAGGAGCTATTATCCTCAGTAATTCTAGAACTGTTATGTTGGCAATCGTTTCTGACAGCAATCCCATAACACAGGGCATATCGGATTGCCATTATCATCTTAAAAGCCTGTCATCACTTGAGAAAACTATAGTACTCCAGTGGGTTCCGGCCCACTCTTAAGTTCCAGGCAACGAGAAAGCCGATTTCTGACTAAAAAGGGTGCTATTATTCTGCAGTAAATTTCTCATTCTATGCCCTTCCATACTATTAAAAATCTTTTTAAAATATCTCTTTAAGCCTATGCTAAAGACCTCTATAACCATGTTTTCCAAAAGTCCTAGAGGAATGCCATCCCAAATTTGTATAATAGCCCAAGCCATAGAGCAGTTGCTAAATTCCGCCTAGTTACTGGACATGACTACCTAAGAAACCATAGACTCAAGATGATTCCTTCCCCGATATGTATTCTGTTCAGCTTTGGAGGGGTTATGGACTTTGCACTCCCCTGCTCTAGGCAAGACTTTTCTTGTCAAGCATTATTGGGAAGCTAGAGATATGTTAGATTAGAGAACTCTGTTTCAACATTTTTTTTCTTTTTGTACTCTGTGTTCTTTCTTTTTACTTGTTTTCTGCTGTAACTATTCATAATCTGTCATATAGATTTTAAACTTGCAAATTTTTTTTAAAAAGAAAGCACGTAAATTTTTGCCAGAAGTAGCTACGAGTTATGCCTTTCGAATTGGTCCCTTTCTCTTATGTTTTTTTAAAGTTTTTCTCGGGCTGCTGCCAAAAATTTTTCAGGGCTTGGCGATTATTCTGCAACAAATCATGATGCGGAAATCTCCCCCTATTTTTTTCCAGACATTGACTTTTAAAATTTTGGCACACTGTTAGAAATATCTTTCTTAACTTTTTGATTTTAATATAAAGTGTTGCGTCTATAATCGATACTATTTATAATCCTCAACTGTAGGCAATTGCATAACTGATATATTTAAAAGCTGTAAGCTAATATTAATATAATTTTTAATTTTAAATAGGCTTAACTATTAAACTCTAACATAAAATTTATTCTTAATAATCTCTCTTTTCTTTTTCATTGAATGGCATGGATTTTATGTTAAAATTCTCTCTGAGTTCTGTTTTTTTATAATTCATTATTTTTATTTCTTTTATTATGATTTGTTTAATAGATTGCTTATGAGTTCCCTCCCTTCTTTTATCACAAAGCATTTTTCATAACAAATGCTTATATCAAACTTTTTTATCTTCAAAATCTTAATACTTGATTTATTTTTGTGATAACTCTATAATCTAAGTATAAACTGTTTGTATCAACTTCTTTAAACTGTTTCCTATTAAAACTTGGAAATGAAGTGTAGCATTGATTCTGATAATAAAGATATAGACGTTCCATCATGCAGCAATAGATCACACATTTGATGTTACATTAGAGGTTACCTCTTCCCATAGTTTGTCAAGGGGGCATTTGATCACAGTAGAAAATTATCACATGTCTGTACAATAATTGTTGCGAATAGAAGTGATTTGCATCTAGTTATTTTCTTTATTATTTTATGTGTTAAGTGATTAGCTGTTGGCATCAAGTTTATGTAAATAGACTCATTGGATAAATATTTCACTACTTCTTTACACATTAGCTGACTTCTTAAAGTCATCTGCCTCACATACTGCATCCACACAGTTGCTTTGTAGCTTGTGCTAGACACAAACATCACTTCTATGTAAGGCGAGGATGCTACTCCGTGTGATGATCCTTCGGTGAGCCGAATGTGTCCGCCGACGTGGATCGACTGTGATGTGTATCGTTGGGAGCTTATCGAATGCTCTCCATGGAACTGTTAGAGTTAATACACAGGATGCTAAAGATATTTATTCCTTCCTGCTTAGCGAGCTTGTTATGTCTGTTCCGTCCTGGCCAGCTGTGAATGTATAGTAACTGCCCTTACTATGTATTTATCAGTTTGTAGCTTGTGCTCTCTAGATAAATACTTACATTTTTGAATAAAAGTTATTTGCTTCCCGTTGATCTTCTGAGCCTTTCATATTACTAATGGACAGACAATACAGAAAGTTGGGCAAATTACACTGACAAGCTGCATGGGTGCGTTACAAGTGAATAGGACTGGGCTATAAATCGATTTAACGCATATATCGGCAAGACGATACAGCGACTAGACTAATATTTAACTTTTTTCATTTGCCGCAAAACGTTATAGCGATATAAGACACGCAAGGAAAGAAGAAAACGATATAGCGATATAAGACACGCAAGGAAAGAAGAAAACGATATAGCGATATAAGACTCTTCTCTTACGTTCNTGCGTGAGTATGAAGTTTTGATAGAAATCTGACTTTCTCTTCAAGTAATTGAAATTCAAAAATACTATATCGCGATACATCGCTATATCGCGATGCAAAACTGACGATGCATCACGATATATAATTTCTAATATCGCCCAGTCCTACAAGTGAACATAAAAAGTAAGATAGTTGCAACTTATGTGATAGGGGGAGATTTTTTATAGATTATTCAAAAGCTATTAAATTTATGGGTCCCTCAAAACACATATTAATTTAGGTTTTGCATCCCACGTTTCCATATTTGAATGTTTGACACACTTTAGCATATGTGGGAAATGACCCTAGTGTAGGTTATAAGAACACCATAATCTAGGGATTTTTTTCCACTTTATTGTGCTATTTCAAAAGTATTTTTTATTTTCAGATGATGGAATTTAATGAGCAGTGGTTTGATACTTGCTCTAAAGTAGGTTGCGCTGCCAAAGTTGGAAACATCAAATTATTAAAGCAACTCATTAAAGAGAACTGCCCTGTTGATGTTGCTGACAACAGAGGGTGGAAACCCTTACATGAAGCTGCAGCCATACCTCCCACTGAAGAATGCTTAGCAGAGCTCTTAAAGCATGGTATATATTGTGTAACTTAAAAATTTTAAATTATCTATAAGTCTTAAGAATTTTTTACTTGCTTTTAATTCATGCAGAAAAGAATTATTGAAACTATTAATTTGTAATCGTAATGATTACAAAAGTTCTCTTTTCGCATTGATCAATAACAATTTACCCGTACCTGTAATATTTTTTTTTAATTATCATGTTTAGAATGATGATTAAGACTAGGATTTAACAAGACAATTTTCATTAACTTCTGGATAATTATTATGGGGAAGATGTTGGGAAAAAAAAGTTTATCCAACTTAGAGTAAAAGTTTTATTCCTATTAAAAAAAAAATCCGTGAAATCTAAATTGCTCAAAAAATGTCTGTTGTTAAACAGTAAAGTATAACTCAGATCTCTTAAACCCTCTCCGAGCATCAATTAAGAAATTGTGTGTAATCATTGCAATAACTAACGAAAAATTATCTTGCTATATGCCTTATAGTGTTGCTTTTAATTGACATTTGTGATTAGTGCAAGGAGCTTTACACAGAAAAAAATACCAAAGTTTTACAAACATACATAGTGTCCTCTATAGTTTTGACACTATTGAAAAACAAAAAGAAAATTGTGAAAACATTATTAACTATTTAAAACAAATGTTTGAAACAGAGCAAGAATGATGCTTTAATAAAACGATTTCGTAATGTATGAATACTCCATGAGTATTGTGTGTACTGCAAATGAGTAGCACAAAATTAAATCTTAAAAACAAAAATGGGAAATAGAAACAATTAAAGGTAACAACCTTTTTATCCATTTTCTTAATTATTGTTTTTTTTTTTTTTTGCACTATAGTTTTTATTTTTGGTAATTTTGACCAACTGTAGTTTAATGAGTGAATTACCACAGTCCCTTATTTCTTTCTAATGTCACATTCATGTGTAATAGTCTTCAACAAAAAATTAATTATGAATAATGAATATCTGTTTCGTTAGATTTAAAGCTAAAATGTTTGAATTTTGGTAGGATATTTACCATGAATATTATCAAATTTATGTACCTGAAAATAGATTAACTATCTAAGAAATCAGGGGGGGGAGGACCTGTTTTCAATTAAATATGATAAGAATGAATAATATGTAACCCCATTTGTTTGCATAGCATTTCTAGATATTGGTCACTGGTCCTAATGACAATTGATTATTTACCACCTATGATTTTAAACTCTGATGAATAATTAAAATTAAATATTTCTGATCAGAAATATGAAAGAAAAGTTGTTTAAATTTCAGAAATTTTATGTTGCTAATTAATTGTAATATTATTCTTCCTTTTTAACTTTTATCCCTATTTTTCCAGAAAAAACTGACATCAATTGGCAAACGCATGAGGGAGAGAGCGCTCTGCTTTTAGCTTGTAAAAGAAGACAAGGAAGTACTGCAAATGAGTTTGTTAAACTTCTTTTGCAACATGGAGCTGATCCAAATATTCCAGATAATGAATCTGACACTCCTTTACTACAAGGTTAAAAGCGTTTTTGGTTAAATAGTGTTTAAATTATCTTGTATAGAGAAGATAAAATTAAAGCTGATAATATATTTTAGTTATTGGTCCTTTGAACCAGTGACTAGATTTTCTTAATAATTTTCCTTGTAATATATTTATTACCATTTTTTTGGTGTAAGTGCCACGACTCTTTCAAAGAAAGTTAATTTCATTTTCTAACTGTGATGTTTATGAGGAAATAATTTTTCCACTTGTCTCACAGAAAATAAACAACTGAAGGACGATGAATGTTTTTACCATCTAAAATTACAATCCTGTCAAAATCCAAATTGTAAAAATTGAAACTCAATTTTGTTTAATGCATTGCTTCTTGAGAATGTTTAGTGTGTGCGTTATTATTTCTTTTTATTCCTGTTATTATTATTTCTTCAACAATAGATAGGCACCTGGAAAAAATAAATCACAGAAGCAGAGATTTCTTTTTCTCAGTGTTTCATAGATTTGTTAATGCATTTTGAATTTAGAAATTAGAACTATGTTTATTGAAACATTTAAAACGTATTTTGTAACTTTTAAATTATTATTTTATTATCATTTTAAAGGCATTACTTTTATTTTTATCCTATTTTTTACCATGCATGCTTATTCCAGTATTGCCTATACAGTATACTTGGTGCTGCCTTTTTGCCGGCCTGTTAAAGGATTTTAACTTTTTTGCTGTTTAAATCATTATGACATAAAATCTTTGCTTATTAATATAGATAAAAGCATTTTTTATTCTACAAATGCATATATATTATGCACACTTTTTTAAGTGTAACTCATGTTAAAATTAATACCAATATACACTGTGCTACACTATTGCGCCATTTACACTGGAGACCACTTCTGACAACTCTGTTTTATCGCACTATTGTACCAGGCTTCTGCTATAAAAATCGGTAATTACATTTTATTTTATTTATTAATATTTGAAAAATAGATATAAAAAGTTTTATTGGAAACTGATTTTTGATCCCTTGAAAGGTACTGCTTCACTACTGCATGCCTTGAAACTCAGCTGACACTTCTTCTTTTATAATCATTGTTCTTTTCTTAGCCTTTGGTCACAGTACACAACCTTCAAAATGTTAACAAGAAAGTTTTCAGCATCGTGCATGACAATGTAGTTTTAAATATTTGTTTTTAATCAAAATAATAAAAAGCTATATAATTAGTAGAAAAATTAAACAAGTTCATTCGGATGAAATGTTATAATTTATTTTATGTTTATTTGTTTTAAATATTAACAGCTGCATTCTTATATTTTCAGCACTACGAAATAAAAATGAATTTCTTGTTGAAAAGTTGGTGGTCGCTGGAGCTGACGTCAATGCGACAGATTGCAGTGGCTGGTCCCCTCTCCATCAGGCTGCGAGCAGTAAAAATCCGACCCTCGTCAATTTCCTGCTCAAAAATGGTGCCAACATCGATGCCCGAGATGAATGCAAATTGACTCCTGTTTTTTCTGCTGCTCAGCATGGTTGTGAAAAAAGCTTGAAAGCCCTTCTTGATGCAGCAAAAGAAAAAGGTAATTCCTTCCCTCCTCTTTATTTGTATGTATGATTATATTAAATACAAATAATTTATCTGTTCATGTCTCTTGTTATTGCAGCAAGAGGGCGACAGAACTAGTAAAAAAAAATTTTTAATCTGTAAAAGTAAAGAAAATGACAAGAAATGTTCATTTAAATTTGTGGCACCTATAGGTTTATTTTTGTTTCCAGAAAATTTTTAGAAATTCTGAAAGACATTTTTCTGATGCTAGTTTGACTTAAAGTTGAGGATTTTTTCGTCATTATATTTATGAAGTTATAAGAAAAATTATTATTTCAAAAAAATATTTTTAAGCATAAGATTGATATGACATTTATTAGAAAATCTTGCACTATCGAAATCGAAAATTTTTATCTTCAGTATTAAGAAAACTGTATTTCATTACAAACATTGATGTTAGATAATTCACTCAGCCACTAAAAGTGAGTTTTGATCAGTTCTATATGACATGAAATGTGTGTTGTCCATTATATCTCTTTAATATTATTTACACTAATATTGAAAGTATTTAATATGTTGTTGTTTTTTACTTACCTTATAATATCATGAAAAAAAATTTGAATGTTTTATGGCTGCTTTGTGCTAAAATAGTATCTACAAAAACTGAAGTCCCCATTTATCAAATTTTACTCTAATTGCATTGAAAAATGTACATTTAAGATTAAGATTCCTTTATATAAAAAATGTAGTATTTTTTTTTTTTTTTGAAGAAATAAAATTGATTATTTGTTTCTATAGATGTGATTTGGGTATTTATCCTTTAGTAAATACCCTTTAATAAATACCCAAAATCAGGGTATTTATTATTTTTTGTTATATTTAAAGCATGCAGCATGATTTGTGTTGCTTATAGTTCTGGAAATAATATAACATCTTGAATTTTCGAAAATAAACTTTAAAACTTAAAATATATTAATTCTTAAAAAAAATAATAATAATTTAAAAACTATAAATACCTAGCGAAGAAGCTGCATTGTTATATTACAAAAGCAATGGAAAAAAGTTTGTTTGCATTGTGCATTATCACAAACTAAACATTATAATAATTCCTGAGACAATTGTATAAACTAGAGGAAATGAATAAGTCTGGGCCAGATTAAGCGTATGCGGGGGCCCTAGGCCTGTTAAATACGGTGAAATGATCTCGGGAGTTTAATCATTACAAAACGGCTTTAACAAAATATATTTAATAACATACACGGATGATGGTAATGATACAGTGGCATGGGGGAAACTGATTACAATTAATGATATGATTTCACATTACTGCACAGAGCGCAATCTGTTTAGTTTTAGAAATTATTATTATTTACATTGAGAAATGTTATTAGCACTTCCCCCTGATGAACTCTTAGTTCATAACAAATTAATCATTTCAAAATATTAACCAAAAATATAATATAATCTTACCTTTTTACAATATGAGCCATTCTTAATTATATAAAGATTATAAATTAATAATATTAATCGAACTCATAAAATACTATGTTTCATCAGCATTAGTTCAAACCTATAACAAATTATTGCATTATAAATGAAATTATTGAAATTTAAATAAATGAATAACAATTGATGAAATTAAATTACCACATCATGAATAATAAATCAAACAATTTTCACAACACAAATTCTTTCACCTGCGAAATCTTTTCATTTTAAACAAACATCTAAACAAGAAAAATATATATCTATGCATATTTTCTTTAAATCAAAAAAGTTTAAATAATATCTTAAAATAAACTTAATTTGTAAATTAAATGTTTATCTTAAGCAGTATTGTCAAATAAAATGTTCAAATAATAATAAATGTGAATTTAAAATTCAAATAGAATATTCATATTAATTTAATTGTTCACTTTTAAATTATATAATAAATTTATAGGACGTTTTATTATTGACGTATCTGTTTTCAAAGTTTTCAAAGCACATGCTCTTATTTTGTTATCACGTCCTTGAAATGTTTCCACAACTTTTCCAAGTTTCCACATGCTCCTTGGAAGTTTGTCATCATGAATCAAAACAATATCATTTACCTTAAAATTTTGATTACCTTTATAAGTTATTATTTAGAGAGTAGCAATTTTTTTCTTTAGCCGAAGTATCAAAAACTATCCGTAACTTTGTAGTTTGTTTATCATTTCTAATTACTGGATGATGAGGTAAGTAATAAACCATATCTCTTTAAATGGTAATTTAACTACGTATCAGCCATCCTGAAATTTTATATTTTGTTCAAACCGTTTTAAAGTTTCTTGTTCAAAAGGTGTATTCTACATTTTATCATTAATGTCTAAGCTCTCAATATCCCAAAATTTACGTAACTGTAAATTTATATCATAACAAGAATTATTTTCGGAAATTAATTCCTCACAATTAAATTTTTCCTTACAATAACATAAATTTTCAATAATAGAATCATTTTTTAAATCTGAATGAGTAATCCCAGTTATGCTTCCTCTGAGTAATGTTTCGAGATAAAACAAATATTTTGTCAACTCCTTAAGTACCCAGTGTGGAGTTTCCAATAATAATCCTCTCGAGTTAATATATCAATTGAATGTATTCCTTTCGAAAGACATAAATCAGTAAGCCCAAAATCCTCAAGAAGCAACTTTATTTTATTATTATGCGGTGGGAAAGATGCACGTGTTATGGTGCTTGAAACCAATAATTCAAACTCTGACCTTCGAGTAGGATATTTTTTATTGCTTATTCTCGTCTTTATGATATCAAATGTTTTTTCTTGCGGTTCATGGTTTCCAAAAGTATAAACTAATAAATTTTCCTTTGCTACTTATTGGGAGATTAAGCTTTTGAGCTAATTCTCTAGTAATGAATGACCTCATAGATGCGGAATCAAATAAAATATTTATCTCCTCCGTTTTGTCTGCCGAATGCAATTCCGCAACACATGTTTGTAAAAACACTGATTGAAATTCCCCTTTCCGCCCCTCTTTGACATGAGAAATGCTGGCTACAACTGTATTTTTCTCTGTGGTTTCTTGCGAACTTTCGTTTTGAGTTTTCGGAATTCCAAAACAAATTATTTCGTGATGAGATTTACTATTAAATTTTTTATGAGGGCTAATTTTACTCCTACATAGTGAACTTAAATGTGCTTTGCAGAAACATTTAAAGCAACGACCTTCGCGCATTAATCTATCTCTTTTTTCAGAAACCGACATTTTTTCACAAATAAATTAATCATGTTACAAAACACACAATTAAATTTTACATTAATAGCCAATGCTGAAGCTGTGGGAATATTCAATCTGAACTGTTTTTTATTTATTACTTCCCTGGAATTATAATAATTATAGTGTTTATTTTTCTTAACATTATCATGGAATAATGTAGATGATTCGCGGACTTGAATTTCTTCCTTAATAAATTGAACTAATTCAGAAACATTAAATTCTGGTTTTGATTTTCATTTGCTGTTGTATGCTAAAGTTAAATTTTCTGGTAATTGTTTTAATAATATAGGGCATAATAAGTGTCCATATGTTCCAGACACTACATTTAAGCTTTCTAATCATCTAATGTTTACTTCTAAATTATCATATAAATTTCGCAATGCTCTGATATCACTAGAATTTGTTACGGGATCAAGATTTAATAGACGATTCATATGACTATTAATCACTAAATCTTCCCTCCCAAATCTATCTTTTAACAATTCTATACTTTTGGTATAATTTTCTTTTGTCAAAGCAAACTCTTTAATAGCATTTAATGCAATTCCACTAAGTAAACTCTTTAAATAAGTAAATTTTTGTATCTCTGTTAAACTTTCGTTTTCATTAATAGCAATTTGAAATTGATTCCAAAATTCAAGCCATAATATTGTTTCACTGTAAAATTTATTTATGGTTAGTTTTGGAAGATTAACTGCATTACTTTCTGGAACAAATTTAGATTTTTCATATTGTGCGCTGTTAAATGATTCATCTCCTCCTCTACTTTCTTCAACGTTTTCTTTCAAAAATCTTGCGATTCGAGATTGCCACTTGATTATTTTTTCCGAATATTCTTCAATTCCAGTAATTTCAGTTTCTATTTCCTCACTTTTAATTAGTGGTTCAATTCGATTATTTATTGCTTTTAAACTTCTATTTTTATCAATTAATTGCTCTTTACAATCTATTAAGTCTTCGATCTTTTCTTTAGTTTCAACATTATCATCATTCATTAAATTTTCAATTTTTGTTGTTAATCGAGTTGTTAAAGAGCGAATTGTTTTTCTTTTATTCTTCAAATCATCATATGAATCCATTATTTAAATCAAATGCACTCACCTTTTTCAAGTTCTTAGTCCTAGGTTGGTGCGCCAATGTTAAATACGGTGAGATGATCATTACAAAACGCCTTTAACAAAATATATTTAATAACAAACAAGGATGATGGTAATGATACAGTGGCATGGAGGAAACTGATTGCAATTAATTATCTGATTTCACATTACTGTGCAGAGCGCCATCTTTTTAGTTTTAGAAATTATTATTATTTACATTGAGAAATATTATTAACAAGGCCATTCAAATTTTTGGGGCCCTTAGATTAAATTTTCTTCTCGTATATTTTTTATTTATTCAAATAGAAAAGTATTTATATATCTTTCCATTTAAGAAAGCATATTTAAAATTAAAATAAATAAATAATTTTACTTTATTTTATTAAATTAGAACTAAAAAATAATCATAACATTTTGAAAATATTTGAAAAATCATTGCTTTCTTAATTTTTCAAAATTTATTTTCAAAAAATCCACTTTAAGGGGGCCTCTAATCATTGGGGGCGCCAGGCCATGGCCTAGTCTGGCCTAATGGCTAATCCAGCCGTGGAATAAGTATAGGGAATAAGATTGAAGTTTATGAAAATTATTCATCTACATTAATTTAAGATAAATGATAAAACTGATACTAGAAATTTATCCAAATTTTTTTAATTAAATTAGCCATAAAACTATTTTATTTTAAGTAAATTAATTTTTTATGATGTAAATTTAAAATCATTCAATATTTTTTATAGTTTTTTTCTGCATTGATTCTGCATCTTATTAGAAACAATAAAAATAAAAAATTCAAATGTCAATGACATTTTAGTAAAATCTTAACATTTCGTTTCAATTAAAAAAAATACTGACCTAAGCAATTTAGTTTTAAACTACTATTAAACAAGAAGGAGTTATTGTTTAAAATTTATCACACATGACTGAGTTATATTTATTAAAATCATATTTACTGTTTACCATTCTATGTAAAATACTGAATATTAATATTGTTCCAAGTTTTTATTTTTATTTTACAGCAATAAGTTTTAATTAGTTTCTGAAATTAAAATATCTTGTGATTTGTTATCGATAAATATGAGAAATTTCATAAGTTTTTATTGATAAGTTTTTCTCTAATGTTTATTGATATAAATAATTAAGGAAGATGAACTTTATGAATTCTTAAACTATCAAGTCTTATTTGATAGTTATATTAGTTAGGAATAAAAGATATTTGCATACTAAATTTGATTCAGATAAATTTCTATATATTTGTGGGCTTTTGTTATCAACCTCAATTGCTATGTCCTAATCAGACTTAAGTTCATAGCGTTTAATTTATTAAAAACATCATTTTCCAAATCAATCTTGTGTATTTAAGTGACAAAAATTAATAATGCTTTTTTTTCATTCCTGTAAGTATTATTAAATTTCAGTTCCCTAAAAAATTGGATATAGTGAAACTTAATATGTATTTTATTTATTTATTATATTTGGCATAATAAATATTGTATGTAAATCTTTATTTAGAACTATAAGTTTAACATGCAATTTAAAATATAGAAATAAAAAAGTAGTTTTTTTTATTCTCTCAGAACAGTTTTTTTCATAAAGGAAAAAGCATAACAATCCCATTTAATCTTGTATAATAAACTTTTTAAAGAAAAATTACTTAAAATCTGAAAAAAGGTTTTGCATTTTCTGGAAAAACTTTATCAAAAATATTGGGTTATGAATAGAATCAATTATATGAATAGAAATGTGAATTTAAGACAATCGATGGAATTTTTCATCTTAGTAAATAATTAACTATTGATAATAAAAGCAAAACTTAATTTTTTCTTGAATATATATAATTTTGTAAAATCCAAATGAAAAACATGATCACTGAATTTTCAATAAAATTCATAAATACCCTGGTATTTATAAATTTTGGGTATTTTCCCCCAAGTTATTAAAACCTGCATATTTTATTTCTTAAAAAAGGAACCTTTTTTGTACTAAAATTATAAAATTGATATATCAGTTCATTCTGTCACCCGAATTAAGTGAGTATCATTCATTTTGTTTTTAACCCAGTAGGCTCTCTTCTTTATCTATTCATGACCATCTTTATTCCTTGGCCTGGTTAAACATTTTTAAATGAATTTGGAGAAAATAATTTACAGAAGTCTCAATCTTGTTTTAACCCTCTCCTAAATTCTTTATTTCTATATTTTTAAATGCCACCCATGATAGAGTAAAATTTTCAGATGGGATTTTGATTATTGAGACAGTAATTGCAAATTCAGTTTGAATGTTGCTTCAAAATCTACACATTCAGCATTGTTCTTAACATTAACGCAATTAGGAGATGACCTAATTTTGCATTCATGAACCAGAAATCTGACTCATCTGGAACAGTGGATCCAGGTTTCGACCGTTTATAAATATTTTTTAATGTATTATCTTCATTATTAGAGGTTTTAATGTTTTAATATATTCAACGTGTGCATTTTAAGCATATCTTGGCGTTCAATTAAAAGAAGCTTCTTTATTTAGTTGAAGGTTAATTGAAGGAATAATCATGTAATTATTTATTTGCTATTATGAAACTTATTAAGGATATGGTCATCACATGTATTTCAGGCAATCTGCATATTGTTGTAAACATGGGGGCTGAAGACTGGGCTACACCTCTCATGATTGCAGCCCAACAAGGTTTTGAAGCTTGCGTAAAGCTACTGCTAGACTACGGGGCAGATCCAAATTTGAAGACTTCAGACAATGCGACTGCTCTACATATGGCTGTTCAAGCTAACAATACTACGTGAGTCAATTCTTTGTTTCATTTATTTTCTAAATAATTTAAAGGTGTGTATACCTTTGAGCTAAATCTTACCAATAATTGGACTTGAGCCTTGATCGCTCAGGGGATAGAGCTTTCGCCTTCCTATTAGGGATGTAACGAATATTCGTCTGCTATTCGGTATTCGGCCCTTTTGCCGAATATTCGGCCGAATAATGAAGTTATTCAGCTGAATATGAATATTATTAGATATTTGGCTGAATAAATTCATAATAATAAAGAAAGATATTTTTTTAAATGTGCTTTTAAATATATTTAATCTTGAATATTGCAGAGTTACATTTCGCTGCATTAATTATTAGAAAATCTAACATTTACTTAATTTAAGTTGTATAATACATAAGTGTATTTAATAATGTTACATAAATGAAAACGTTTTCTTGTTGCAAATTTATCATCATATGTATTTAAACAAGCATTGGAATCTTTTACATTAAAATACAAATATATATAGTTTGTTAAATAGAAGTGTGAATACTATCTGAATCGGCAATTAAAATTTATTTGTGATTCCCTTAATAATATCTATTTATCAATAATATGCACTAGAAATATATGATTATATACTTATTTATTATAAATGTAAAACATTAATTATCCATTTAATGGATGTCTTGATACTTAGAGAAACAAGCTACATAACAAGCTTAATTTTCTGGGTTTTAATAATTTTTCTGACAAAAAAGAAAGTTAAGAATACATTTAACAGTAGTAATGAGTTCTTATTTTAAATAAAATAGCATATAAATTACAAGTATAACTATAACTAAAATATGCTATTATTAATTATTTAGATTTATAAAAGCCATATTGCCTTGTTATTGGCATCAAGATATTTAAATTATTACAAAAAATAAATCAAGTTGTTAAAATTTTTTTAAATATACAAAGATTAAAAAAGCAATTTTGTTAATATTTATTTCATTTTTAATTTAAAATTTGAAAATTTCTTTAATTACAAAATTACAATCAAAAGAGAAATTTTTAAAAAGTAAGTATTCGGCCACATCGCTATTCGTTACATCACTACTTCCTATGAGGTGAACTGGGTTCGAATCCCAGCGATGGCTGGTCGATACAAACTCTGTACCCGGCTTTCACCAACCATAGTGCTGATGTAAAATTTCCTCAGTGATAGACAGATCATGGGTTAGAATCCTCTTGCTGTCAGGCTGAGAGTGGGAGGTTTTCGTCACCATGTAAGGCAAATGTGGGTTAGTCAATTTTATTCTCTGCGAATTACAATTTACACATCACACCACTCATTGAAATGTATAATCTACATACCATATCAACTGAATTTTATACATAAGTAAGTCATCCTGATTCATATACCAACAATTTAAACATATCGTGATTCGTTTTAATGCAACTTAAAAACCAAACATTACTATTTGTTTTGAAGCAATTTAACGAAAAAGACATCAGCATTTATAATCCCGTGATTTAAAACCAAATATTCAAATTTTTATTCACATTATCTTAAAATCAAAAATTGCTTTTCATTTTTACAAGATTTGATTAAAACATCATGGTTTATATTCTCGCTATTTTAAAATCGAACATCATGATTCTTATTCACAAGTTTAAAAAAAATCTAATATTGGTATACGCGTATGTACTCGATTTCAAAGTGTTGATGAACAAATAAAATAAGTTTTCTCTCTGATCTGCTCATAATTCAAAACATATTTGTGATCTAAATTCAGTGTTCATGCAGACAATTTAAAAAATAATAATTTTAAAATTTTTATATAATTTTCCCACAGGTATATATTTTTATGTTTTTATTACTCAAGTATAATCGAAATCTGTGTGAAGAATTTAGATCTGTATTAACAATATTGTTAAAAAAATATAGGTATTTTTATTTCTTAAAAAATATGGTTTATAATTTTGATTTTTATTCAATTAAGCTTTAATATGTAAGCATCAAAATTTCATAAAATAAGAAAATTTATTTCTGAAAATTAGAATTTATAGTTTTTTTTAAATGCAAAAAGTTACACAGGAGGTAAAAGCTGGGCAAGGAAAAAATTAAAAATGACCAATATAATTGTTTGGCGATAACTGATAATTTGTTTTAAAAAATAATTATTTTCATATTGTTTATTTTTGTTCTATACAAAATTCTAAACTCAGTATAAATTATTATGTAATTTATTTTGAATATGCAATTTTGTTATCCTTATCTTCCTAAATAAATTTTTACACTTATATCTAGTTAAGCTAAATGAATTTATATTATTTTTAGTTTATCGAAGATTTTGCCTGAGGATAAAATTACCATTGCAAATTTTATTAAAGCTATGATATTTTTTAGTGATTTTAGATATTATATTTTTAATTAATTTTCTATTTAATTTTTTTTATGCTATTTAGCAATTAAAATACAAGAACTAATTTTTCCCTTTGAAGTTATAATGTTAGTCAACTCTATGCAGAATACTGTAAAAATACATGTGGGACAAAAAAAAATCCTTTTTTTTTTTAATATTGGTATTTGAAAACTTACAGGTTATATCTTTTAAAAATAAATATCTTATAAATGGAAATGCACTTAACGAATTATTTTCATGATTTCCAAGCGAGATATAGAAAAATCTTTAAAGTTGTTAACCACTTTTTTTTTAAATTTTATATGATTAATTTCGATTTTGAATTTTTATCTTTTTATTCCTTTTCATTTTATTCACAATATTTTTTACAAAAAGATAAAAACAATTTTTTGCATTTGAAGCAGTATTGGACTTAGTAAATGATCTATTCTAGTACTTTATCTAGCTAAGTTTTAAATCTTTGTATTGTACAGTTATGTTATGAGATAGTTTTTTTAGTTAGTTTATTATAATAGTTATTCAAAACTCTACAATACAGATGAAACTAGCATTGTAATTATTTCTCCAAGGAGACTTATTTATGCTTCTATTTTTCATATGTAAGGCTGCTATTAAAGCTACTATTGTCAAGGAAAATTGAAGTGTAAACAATATATATATATATATATATATATATCTTTTCAGGCAAGTAATTTTGGATAATAAAACTTATGTAAAAAATTTCAAATAAACTGAAATTTTAAATTAGTATGCTTCTACATTATTGGCACATGATAATTTTCTTTTATTCAGATTCTAATAAATGATATTTTTGTAATCATTCATTAAAATGGAAATTTCTTACTTTAGCTGTGATTAATCATAAGTGAGTCTATTTAAAGCTCCTTTTAAAGTAATTGAGTTATTTTTTTACATCTAAAAATTAACTTTCTGATGTCATTCTAAAATGTTCTAAAAGCCACATATTTTTCCCTCAATTTGGTTTTCAAAAGATTTTTTAATAACATGATTACATTAAAAAAGGACTCAAAATATTTTATACTGTAAAATATTTATTAATAAATAATAAAATAATTATAATTCTTAGTTTCTGATAAAGTTATTCATTCCAAGAGTCTGAGTTTTTTTTTTTTTTTTAAATTCTGGGATGTAAAACTTTATTTTTGCTTGAAGTGGAATCAACTTTATTTGATAACAATGCTATCTTCTAGTTGTGTGAGCAACACAACTATTTTTCTTCCCTGTCAGGTAAGTTGTACATCTGGCGTCATATAGACTATGAGATCCCGATAGGGGAATCGTCTATATAACAGGTTGTGCAAATGCCTGAGGTCTGGTAAATTCCATTTTTTGCATGCTTGTGAAGCACTGTGTCTTCGTTCTTTTTCACATCGCACTGTGTGTGCATGTTGTCTACATTATGATATATTTTTTGATAAAACTTTATTTGCCAGTAACTATTTTTGTATTTCAAGTTTAACAAGCAACAAATCCAAATAATTAATTAGGTATTCTATCATCATAAAAATTGCACACATTTTAAACTTTTTTAACAAAAATTACTGCTTGAAAAATTTAAAGCTTACATTATTTCTATTTAAAAAAAAATTTTATATTTATAAGAGATGATAATTAAAATTCTCCTATATACTTAGTGTATAATCCTATTCTATGTAGTTAGTGACTATGTAGTTAGTGACTAATGACAATTTTGTCATTAGAAAAAACTTCTTTGATGTTACATGAATTATTATTTGTAATTGTGTTTTTCTTTTACTTTGTTTTTAGTTTCAACTGAAAAATATTTTTATCTCAAGTCATGACAAATTAAATTATATGAGGAGTAGTTATTAAGAATCACCAGATTGATGTTATGTGTATGCTTAATTTGAAGAAAAAAAACCTGCTAATCGCCTGACAATATTAAATTTTTTAATAACTGTGATTGTAAAACTAAACAAAAAAAAAATAATATGTGTACATATTTTACAATTTGTTACTTTTTTGTATTTTTGTTGTGCCATTCTTCAATGAAAGTGTAGCTCCAATGGTGCAATCGGTTAAGATATCAATCACCCCACTGGGATCGTGAATTCAATCCTGCGAGTGGGCGTATAACAACCAGCGTACATATGCAGCAGAGTGCTTTTTAAATCAGCTGTTGCTGAAAATCCTTTCGCTGGTTGTGATGTGGATGTTTGGAGAGAAATGTTCTGTCAGCTCAGCCACTGTCCTTTTTGTCTGACACGAGTCCATTCTGACCATGATTCTTAAAAGATAGAACTCTTGGAAAAAGGGCACTTGGTTATGGTTGAGTGATATGGTGTGATAAAAGTGTAAAAATATAAAATCATTATTTTATAAAATAAAAAAAATAGCAACCATGAAGAAAGAAAATTTTTATTAAACTTTTAGAAGAAGTGTCATTTTATCCTAATTTAGTTGCAAAAACCTATGTATATTTCTGTGCATGAAGAAATGGAAAAAGGATAGAATATTAAATTAACACTTTTAGAGAAGGAAAACCTAAACATTATTTTTTTTCTTCATGGAATGTTACAGCTTTTCTTATGGTTCATTTTTAAGTGCAAAACTGACTACATTTTCTCTATTTCACTTTCAGTTGTTTAGAAATTCTGTTACAGAACATGTTTCTGAAACCCATCATCCAAGCCTTCCATCCAGAAACATACATCTACTCAGGAATGATTTGCCCACTGCATTTAGCAATTGAATGGAAAAAGTAAATTGTTTTTTTTTTTATTTCCTCTCTTTTTTTCTCATACTCAAAAAAAAAAGAAAAACAGTTATTTTTTTCTTCATGAAGTTGAAGAAATATTTATTTTCAAAACAAGATCAATTCATTTTTTCACAACTCAAACTTTGTCCATTCTTTAACATACATGAGCAATTCTGATGATTAAACACTTTTTTCATTCCATTCATTAAAATATGTAAATGTTTTAACTTTTTAAGAATGTGGTTATTTGACAAGATTTTTTTTCTGATTCAAAATTTGATAATGAAAAAAAAATGGCTTTTTTTTTCCTTTTCACACCACAAGTGATAGTCAATTAAAAGCATTGATTGGTAAAATAATAAATAATTGTTCAACATGAAAAAATACTTAGGCTGGGACATTAATGCAGATACCATTTTGGATAACAAAGTGCTATCTACATTGTAGGTTTGACTGGTGTTTCTGCCATGTTGCATTATGGATTGGTGTGGTAACAATGAGTTTAACCTAACCCAAAACTTGACTATCTAGGGATTCTCTGGGTCGAGTTAATTTTATTACTGTCACTCTCTACTAACATCTTACACTAAGTATTTCAACTCATGTGCTAGAAATGAAAAGCAAGTTTATTCAATATTTGATAGAGTCCCTCCGTGCCATGATAGCTTGTGTTGTATTTATTCCACTCAGTTTTCGCATCCCACTTATTGGCAACCCTAATTGGCCCAGAGATTCTCTAGATTCTAGTCTCTAAGTAAGTCAGCCTGCTTGGCCAACTCCATTGTCGCCATACTAATCTGTGGTGCATGGTTTTCTTGGAAGTTTAAGGTACCTAAGGGTCTGATTTCTTTTCAAAAAAATTTTCATTTTCAACTTTAATGGCATATATAATTGTTTTATGATATATTTTATGTTTATGAATATGGCATTCATACCTGCCAACTCTTCTGCATTTTGTGGAAGCAGAGTTCTCACTAGGAATAAAAAAGGGCAGGGTGCTACCTCACAAAAAAAGGCACTCACTTAACACAGTAACAATTTATCAAAATGTGTAATATCATGTAATAACTGAATTTGATCCTTAATGATTTTTAAGTTACCTTGTTATGCTATTTTATATGTATATTTTAAAAAGTAATTTTCATTCATTATCTAAATGAGAAATAAATTTGTAGTTTATAAATTATAATTAAAGGCATGGTAAGAGACAATCTTTGTGAATACATTTCTTTTTAAAAAATAAGTGAACTAAAAAAATTATTTTTTTGAGAAACAGCTTAAAAAAAATTTTTCTATAATTTATACTGAAAATTATTAGAAAATGAACATTTAAAAGTGCATTTTTTTAAGGAAGGTATTTATTTACAAAATAGTTTTAAGGTTTAAAATTTTTTTAAAAAGTATTATGGATTGAAAAAACAGAAACTTCTAAAAATTTTGCCAGCTCGAATAATCCTAACAAAATAAATATAACTAAAAACACGGATAATATTTGTGTGTAATTATTATTTTTTTAGTTAATTAATTTTCTTGAAAATGGAATGTGAATAAAAAAGGCAGTGTTTTTAATAGAGGGTGGGATAATTTTACAAAAAGGACACATTTATAGGTAGGTATCAAGGGGCAGGCAGAGCGGACCATCCTTCTAAAAACTCTTCAGCAGCAGAAGATTTTATATATTTATTGTTATAGCAAAATTTTACGTTCATACTTAATTCTTGTTTTATCAAATTGAGTTTAAATTGATTTTGACTACCATTAAGTTTAAATAGTTTAAACATACTTATATCTTGCATTGTAAGTGTTGGAGTGTCTACTTCAATATTTCTTTAATTGATATTTCAGTACCACTAGGAAAATACTTTTTTGAAAGCATTATAGTTGTCAGGTAGGAACATAATAATAATAATGAAATTTAACTTACAAAAATGGAGAAAATGTGATAAAATCAATCTAAAAAAGGTAGGTGTTTGTGGAAACCCTATTACTATGAATTTTAAATTATAGTTTTTGCACCACACCTCCATTGTTCCACTTTTGGGTGACCAAATTCATGCTAGTGTAATTTCTGTGATTGTGAAATATTTTTAGAGAATTCATGAATGAATAATTTTATTCCAAATCAGCCATGCCTCTTTGAAAGTTCTCCTAGAAGCAGGATTTGCCCCAGACAGCTTGTATGACTGCAGGGATTCTGTGCAGGTGACCCGCATACCCTACCTGTGTTTCCCAGAGTGTGAATCTGCCCTCTCCTTTGCTTGCTTCAAAAAAGATACCATGTCCATAGCCGTTCTACTCAGCTCGGGTGCAGACCCTAGCCCTCCAGTTGAGACAGCATATCATCCGGCCATGAGAGGTTTGTCTTTTTTTTTTTTAAGAACCAGTTATGTTCACATTTTTATTAGAAGGTATTGCTTTAAGAATGTTCTCTAAATGCTCTCATGTGTCATGATGCTTTTTTGCAAATAATATACTGTTATCTTTTTAAACTGTTGTGATTTTGTAACAGTTATTCATAACTGTTAGTTTCAGTTTTGTCTCTTTCTGGCCAGCGTCTTCTTGGCTGCTTATGAAAATGGTGAAGAATTCTAGAAAAATGAAGAGGAACCTAATTTTTCAATATTTGAAAAGTTTCACCATCATTGCATTTTTAAAGTCTTAAAAATATTCAGAATTGTTTCTTAATTTACATCTTCCAAAGGAAATGGCTATTTTCTCTAAAAAGATTGAAACATTTGTCTGTTCTCAAAATGGGAATAATTTGACATTTAAACTTGTTTATTTTAATCTTAATCGATATCTAAATAGTTTATTAATTATGCAATAGCATTAATATTTTTTGCCATAGTACGTAAAACAAATTGTAAGTTTTTATGAATTGAAATACTTCTTACCTATCAAAACATTTTTAAAACCTTTTGATTTTTAACAAATATATTATTCAGTATTTATTTATTTTTTAATATTTTTTATTTTATACTGTGAATATTTTGTTTAAAGGTGCGATGTGTTTTTAACAAAAAGAAGAATAAAAATCTTCCCAAACATTTCCCTGCTTTTAAAATTTAGGAGTTTAGTTTTTTTTTTTTTTTTTAATGAGTTTTACTTTAGTATAATTTCTGGGAGAGACTCTTTTTAAATATAATTGACTTTTATCTTTTATTCAGAGCACTCTGTGCTGTTCTTTTCGTTTCATTAGAATTAAAAATAAATTAAGCAAAAATAAAAAATTTGAAAAATGTCTCTGTATTTTTAAAATTATTATTTTTTGTTGTTAATTTTGTGCCAATATGTATTTTGAAATAAGTTTAAAAAAAACTTTGTTTTTTTATTTCCAATGCAGCTGGCGATATAGACATAGACATGTACAGAGATCAAAAGAAAAGAAAAATACAAATACAGAAAGATATGAAATATACAAAATACAAAAACAAAAGCAAAACGTCAAACACAAAAATTAAATCAAGAACTTAAATTGAACAAAAGTTCTCTGGCCTCCCAGTATCGGGAGTAGATGCAGTTCTTTCTGAGAACTGGGCAGTTGAGAAGATGTTCAGCATTCATCGTCGCACCACTGCAGCAGAGGGGGCAAGCAGGATTATCCATTATTTTAAGACGGAAAAGATGGGCGTATAAGCAATCGTGCTTTGTAGCAAGACGAAAGGCAGCTACAGCACTGCTTCTTGGGCAATCGGGGGAGATTAAGGATGTCATTTCCCCACGATTTTTCTTTTGTCCATTCTTTTAGCAATGATATATGTGTTGTCTTAATTGCATGATTAATCATTAACGAAGTGGATTTATAGCTAGCCAAGTTATTTGGGGCTTGATTAACGAAGCAACCTTTTTTGGCCAGTGCATCAGCTTTTTCGTTGCCGGCGATACCACAGTGGATAAAAAACTTTGTTACGGCAATGATTTAATACTGGTACAATAAATAAAAAGGGCAAATTTAAATAGCTATCAAAATTAATAAATGTAAACAACAAAATAATATGATGGAATAAATAATTACTAGGCTACCCCGGTCTTTCCTTCTGAACTGTTGGGGAAACAGAAATTCATAACATTAAGTGAGAGTTTTATAAAAATAGAGATGTTTGTTAAATGCTTTAATTTTTATGTCATTAGCAATAAATGTTCACAATATTGAGGCTCTCCAAATTCTGATTGAGAGCGGGACCAACCTCAACTATCAAAGGAAGGAATTTCCATCGAACGAGGTCTTCCTCTCTGCCCTCCTCTCCACCCAAGACATCCTCCGCCTCCTCCTCTACCATGGCTGCGACCCAAACCTCTGCTTTCAGATAAAAAACGACTACTGCTTCCAGCGCTGTGCTTCCAGATACATCAAGAGGAATGGACTGACTCTGAGAGAGTTTCTGAGAGTCATCCTGCCTTACCTGGTTGTCTCACCCCACATGCAGACCTCACTCGATGCCCTCAGTAAGAGATATCCTGAAAATGTCAGAGATATTATAGAAGAAATAGGTAAGCTATTTTTTTATATTTTATAACTGTCGTTGAACAGCCGACCCAACTTTTGGGTTTAAGACTACTATTGTTCAATGCCATAGCCTTGTCATTTTGAACACAATCCGGAAGGCAAAGGAACTCCTGGAGCAAGCATTGGGAGAAATTTTTGCCTTCGTTTAGGACTTTTTGATGGGTCTAACCCGCATTTGCGTTACATGGAGTAGAAAACCTCCCATGGTTAGCCTGATGGCAAGGGGACTGTAACCCATGATCCGTCTATCACTGAAGATATTTTATTTCAGCACTGTGGTCAGTGCAAGCCGGATGCGGACTTCGTATCGACCAGTCATTAGTGGGATTCGAACCCGGTTCACCTCATTGGAAGGCAAACATTCTATCCCCTGAGCTATCACGACTCTATATAAATGACATTGAATTGAAAAAACTTCCAGACTAGTAAAAAAGCTATGAATATTATTAATGAAACACATTTCGTTTGAAACATATCTTAAAATATGATAAACACTTCAGATTTCATTTCTAAAATGAAGAAAAAATTTCCAGGCCTCTCCAAATAGGTTTATACAAAATCTAAGTAATGTGTAAAATGTTTTCAACTCATAAAATTTGATTTTTGAATGCAACTAATAATGCAACTTCAAGTTAATGTTCATTAAAAAACATAAAAGAAATTAGCTATGAAATATGTCTGAAATAATTGTAATCATAATTATAGAATTATGTTAAATATTATTATTACTTTTAAATATTATTGACCATAAAAAAATTAATATGAAATTAGCTTTAACTTGAATGAAACTTTTTTTAACCTAATCCATTCCATTTGAAATTTTGAATCAGTGTAAAATAACTTTTTCAAAGGATCTTTCCTATGTAATAAATAATACAAGAAGTACAAAATGTTTTGTTTTGATGGATGACATATTTTTGTTCACAGGTCAGCCATCCCCCCTCCAACAATTGTGTGTGATACAAATTCGCCAGCATCTGTATTCTGTTCATAGAAATAAACTTCCATTTGTAATACATCAGCTGAACCTGCCTCATCTTCTCACACAATTAATATCCTGCTCATCCCAGTAAATATCTCTTCAAAACACTTTTTTGCATTCATGAAAAATTGTAATTTATTTACTGCTGTTGAACTTCTTCATCTGTTGTTGCATTTAGAGATGAATGAAAGTCTATCAAACAGAATAAAGAAACAATTCAGCTGCTGAACATGCATCGTTTCTTTTTGAATGTAAGCCCATCTGTGTTATAAGCCAAGAATATGCTTCCTTTTTTATCAAAAAATAAAAAAATTTAGTTTAACTTGGCAAAACGCTAAAGTTAATTAGATGCTACCAGCGAGAGCTAGCATGTTTGACTTTTTTTGTCTGTTTGCTATTTTATTAGAATGAGCTGTAAAAGAAAATTTTATTTTAAAAAAATATTCCTTTACTAATTATCATTTTTATGTGTTTATATGTTCCGTTTGGCAATATTTAATGATGTATCATTAATGTTTGACCGAGGAAAAAGAATTAATAGACTGATTATAAGCCAATTCTTTGAAAAATTCTGAATTTGATCTATGTTTGGAAATATACTTGATGATCTTATTTATATCCAGTTCCAACATTACTAACAAACATTGTTCAAGAAATATGTTCACATGATTATCATATTCAAGTAGAGAGACATATTTCGTTTCATAATAAATATTTAATTGACTAGTTTGATATTTGTATTGAATTGTCTCCCACATATGATTTATGTTTGATGCACTTATTCAGCTAATTCATCTGTGTGTTTTGTATAATATGATGAGCGATCAAAACTTTGCTTTAAAATTTTTGTTTTTAATCAAACAGCGAAAGTGATACTTTTGCCATTTTTTAGATACAAAAATGAATTAAAACAGTTTCACAAGCTACAGTTATATGGTTAATAAAAAATGAAAAATCATGTATTGCATGCTTTGGGGAAAAAATTTAAAAATAAATTAGTAAATAAAAGTGTATTGAAATGAATGTGCGGTATAGTGTATAGTAAAGAATAGTGTGCTCAGTTCTCAAAATTAAATTGAAAACATTTTTGTGTTTTATTCTTTGACTGCATTCATATTTGCACTGCCTGATATTTGTATAATATTATTTGTATTAACGAATATCATTGATATGAAAAATAAAGTCGATGTTAACGACTTCTTCAATATTACAGTAAAATAAATTTATGTTTTTTTCATTTATTTTTTTAATACATTGATACTTTTTCTTTTTATACATGCAGATTTGTTTGGTTATTAACAAGTACAGCTTGTCTTGAAATCTGAGTAAAAAATCTATGCAATCATACTAATAAGTAAAATGAACATACATTTATATTTTAATATTGAAAAACTTGTTCTTAAATAAAAATTTGATAGAATACGTAAATATTTTTTTTCATCAGAGAAAATTGTAATCTTTTTTTTTTTTTTTTTTTTTTTTTTTTTTTTTTTTTTAGCTTATTGAAACTCAAGTGTCTATTGTTTTATTTTCCAAATAAATTATAGATTTTTACTTATTTTATGTTATTTTTGGTTTTACTTAAAAAAAATGTTGACTGCCATGTGTAGAAAACTTCTATAAAGATATCTTACCTTGGATCAATTTACTTATTTATTTATTTATTTACATAAAAAGGGATTTTCCTTGACTGTAAAAGTGAGAAAGAATAAGCATTTCCTACCTGTTTAATAGAACATGAGCATGTTCTATTTGACAAATGTTCTGATTTTATAATGAATTTATATCTTATATTTTGAAATAATAATAAAATTAGCAGTTATCCCTGTATGAATTTATAGTTTATATTGCCACAAGCATATTTATTATAAAATGATTTTGTAAATCTTGAAGAACCAGGTTGATGCAACAAAAAAATTAAACACCATAATTAATACAAAATTAAAACAATTTGTTGACATTAAATTTTTGTGTATAATTATATCATACGAAAATTTATTATGGATGTTAGCTATATTTTGAAATCCTATTGATATATTTATTATATTTGTTATCTGTACAAGTTAACAACAATTGTTGTTAGAATCCAAGAAGATATTTTATAGCTATGTTTTAAAAAAAAGTGGTATTCCTTTTAATTATTATTTTGTATTTTTCTTGTTATGTTTTTAATAAAGCATTTAAGCAATAATTTAAAGAAATATTTTGTTTCTACAGTAACACAATGTGTTTTAAAGATCACTTTGAAAATGTAAATTTAAAAGGTTGCCTATTTGGTACAGTTTGGGAAGAATTTTATTATATTTTATTACCGGTGATGGACAGCTGACCCATTTTCAAATATACAACAATCAATGTTCAATACTGTAGCTTTGTGATTTTGTACCCAACCCTGGAGACAAGGGAATTCCTGAATCCAGCATTGAGACAAACTAGCCTTAAATCAACTTCCAAATTATTTTCTTCATGCTATGCAAATTTTATTGACTTTATATAGTAGTGTGTATTTAGAATGAAGGAGTTAGAAGGAGGAGGATTTTGAAGAAGTTAAAAAATTTAACCCTTTCTCGCTTGCCGTTTTCTGACAGATGGAGGTTTTCATGTTTTTTCTCCATGCAACGCAAATAATGATTAGTTTCATCAAAAATCTCTGTTTGAAGACTTAGTTTGTCCCACTGTTGGATCCAAAAGTTCCTTTGATTCGATTCAAAATTACAAGGCTACAGGGTTGGACATTAATAGCAACAGACCCAAAAGCGGATCAGCTGTTTAATTTCATTTATAAATCATAAAATGAAATCAAACCTTATAGTAACTTTTTAAATAATCCTTCATAATTTAAAAGGCTAACATAACTCCAAGAATCGTGAAAGTCTTATATTATTTAACCGCACCCAATTTGATCTCCATCTGTTGTTATCATTAGATAAGTGTAAAAAATAAAATCAAACTTTTTTATTTTTTCTCTCGCTTTTACATGTTTAAACACTTTGATTCACATTTTCATTTTGCAAGTCCAACGCCAACCGACATNACAAAACATCGTTATTGATTGAATGTTGAACATGTTATGCGCGTTGCTTTGTCGAAAACCATCCCTCTATTCATTTTATTAAGAATGCAACACAGCAACAACCTTCAGACTAAAAGCTTTAATTTTAAATATTTTGTATATTATTGAAATTATAAAATTAAATGCTAAGATAAATTAAACACTAAAAATTGAAGTTTTTTGCAATTATTTTTCTCAGGGGGGTGGTCCGTGACTTCTTAAAAATTTTTAAAAAGGGTCCATTCTAGCAAAAAGGTTAAGAAACACTGCTGTAGATCAAATGAAGGTACTGTCTCTGGAGAATACAAATCAGCTAAAAAAAAAAAAAAGAATCTCAGGTTTTTTATTTAAGATTTTGCACTTTCACCACACTCTTGAATGTCAACCACAATTGTAATTTTAACCCGATGCTTGTTTCTCACGATATTTTTTGGACACCTTTTTTCGTACAGGTTTTTTATTCATGTTTAAACGGCAGACGGCAGGCAATGTTCTATTTTTTTCTTCAAAAATATAAAAGACTGGTAAGTCAATTATTTCATTATTAGCATTGAACTGGGAAGACCACTTTTCCATAAAGTCGCTTTACTCATTGTTTCAAAATAGAAATCTGGCGTGTAAAAGGATAATTCACAATTTATGGACGAATATTAATGGGTTCTTTCCGGTGCAATGTGTCCAGTCTGGCAATACTTATTCAAAAAATATTGCAAACCACTTGAAGTGCTGTTGTTGCTTGTTCACGTGCCACTAGAGCTACACAATGGGCTATCGGCGACGGTGTGCGAAACATCTCTCATTTTGCTTCGGTATCCTAACGACCACTTGACATGTCTATTTGCTTCTAAACGTCTGCCAGTTTCTAGCAAACACCGTTTTTTTTAAAAACAACACGGGATTTTTTAGTAAGTCTCTTAGAATTCCCCTGCTACTGGTGCTGCCTATCTAAAATATTCAGTCGAAATTTGCTCTGCACTTCGGTGTCATTAGGTTGGCGTCCAACTTTTTATTCGATCAGCACATGGAAGAGTTGGTTTCAACCCAATTTAAGAAGGAAAGAAAACAATTGAGATAAATAAATTATTCGCCTTTAAAAAGAAAAAGTTTAGAAGCTGCACAACTGATAAGTGACTTCGTTTAAAGACTAAAATCTACATCTTAAGTGTCATAAACTGAGATAGAGGTGTGATAGCGAAAGGAAGAATTTACGCTTTTACTCGGGTAGGTCTCTTTTCTTTTTTTTTAAATTTCAACTCTTTTTTTTTTCTTTTTTTTAATGACATTACAGATGAGACGGGATCTGAAAAAAGTCATCGGGGTCATGATAATGTTTTCAGATTAAACAAAAATCTGTTTAGTTAAGGAGAAAATAATAATCTTAATAATAAATTTTATTTGGCGGACTCAAAAAGTAAGCCCAAATTCATCTCTAACCATCACACAAAGAATAATTATTTATTTAAATAGAAACTAATACTATTTAATTTTTATTTCTAAAGTAATATAAATTATATTCACTCTATTCTGAATAACCTATAATAATTGAGGATGCAGTGATGATGAACAAAAGCAGAAATATTTAAAATGAATGGAATTTTATAAAACCTTTCTCAAAATGATCTCTTATAATATGTAAGGGTGGACAAATTTTTTAAAACTACATTTCAATTTAATAAAATAGCGTGACATCATATTTGTGACCACTTGGAAAAATATTTTCTTAAATGACGAAAAATCTGTAGTTGTTTGTATTTTTGTGAAGGTTTAACGAAAAGAGTTGCTTCTTTAGACACAATTTTTTATTATTATTTTTTTTGGGNGGGAGATACATTCTTCGAAATTTTACTCATGTTATAGTTGGATCTTTTCTCTCTCTATTAAAAAATCGTAAGTGGTAATTTCGGTTTTTTCAACTTTATGTTATGCTGCACTTTACAGCGCATTAGTTATAAGACTTAGAGACTTAAAATTACAAAAGCGTAACGAAAAAAATGGAATTAAAAAAAATAGCATTCGGTAACTAGTTCGAGAAGTTTTAACTCCTAGTAAAAAATACCATGCGAGCCCCTCAGCAGTCCGAAAAAATGCAACTACAAAACTGAAACTTGAGGCTCTGAAACAGCAATTTTTATATAAGAATTTAGCACGAGTTTTTTTTTTTCGATGTTTCACTTTGTTCGAAAATTATTTCAATTTTAAATACTATTTTTCGCAACATTTTTTTTTTGCTTTAAGCAATTACTAATTATCCATTATTGTAGGAAAATTATTTAATATCTCGTAATGTTGTAAGCTTCAGCTGATGTCAAAAGTAATAAAAAGAGAGATGAGATGTCGCTAGATATAAATTTTTCTAAATGTAAACATTATAAATCAAGGGATAAAACAGTTTTCTGTTTAAATTTCTATGATTATGTAAGATACCGTTTCATATCGTTAACGCGTAAAATTACTTCGTAATAATCTTATTCAATCTCAACCTTTCTTTTCATAAACTAAATTTTTTTTACTGTACAAATGATTATTTTTCAAATCCAGCTAACCTTTCATTTCGTTACAATGGGATACCAGGAAGTGACGTAGTGTGGGTATCTCGATCCTGATGGGTTGTTGAAACGTAGCATTTGTTTACGTTAGCAACTGCTCTTTCCGTTCTATATCGAGTAAACCTAGCTCGCCAAAGGCATTAATTTTCTTAAGTGACACTTTCTATATTCTTTCACAAAGATTTCAATTCTTTCATTATATATTTCTTACTTAACTCAGAGACAGGCACGAAGCCATGTAGAACATATACAAACTAACTATGCATCGTAGTTGCGAGGTACACAAATTAAAAATGTTTTTATTTCCAATGGCAGACAGGAAAGACAAATTTGTAGCCAAGAACAATATGAAGAAAGAACGAAAAACGGAAACAAGAGTTACAAAAATAAAGAGTCTATAGGTCTGTAATAATGCATCTCGCCCGCCAATATCGTTCCCACAAGGGCCCAGGAGGAAGTGCAGAGCAACGTCTTAGATGGTTAGCGTCCATTTCTTCTTATAGGTTACATAATGGACAAAAGGGGCTTGAAAAGATTTTGATTTTATACTGGTGTTTTGATAAACAGTCATGGCCAGTGGTGAGGCGAAAAAGGGCCACATATTTTTCTCTTGGCCATGACGAAATATCTTTAATTCCTTCCAACCAGTCCTTATTTTTATTTGCTTCTTGGAGTTTTGCCTCAAATGTTGTTCGAAGAGAGATTTTTATTAGCCTTTTTGCCGTGTGGAAAGAACTGGCTTAAGAGATATTTGTAGAATCTTGGCGGCTTTTTTGACCAAGAAATCTGCAGTTTCGTTACCTTGAAGTCCACAGTGGGCTGGTACCCATTGCATGGCGACATTTTTGTTGTGTTGATCAAGCCTGTGAAGGGCTTGACAACAATGTAGAATGTCGGCAGATGCGGGGGCTTTGGAGGAAGCAATAGCTTGGAGTGCGGCTTTGGAGTCAGAGAGGAGGACTATGCTACGCTAAAATACATAAGCAAATAATAAATCTCGAAAGTCATAGGTCACAAGTGTGGTTATGGATGGTCTTCTTCTTGAAATGCAAGTACCCAATTAGCATGTTAAGAAAATGTTCTTGCATGAAATTATAATATTTATGTATTTTCAAACATTTTTTTTTCCTTTGAAAAACATCAAATTTTTAGAACAGCCACTGTACACATTTTAAAATATTGAAAACTAAATTTAAATTTCTCGGAAAGAAAGAAACTGTATTTTGTACTTAAAAGTGAGTTCAAATTGATCCTAATTTGCATCCGTTTCTGATGTATCCGTTAGCAATACAGATGCCAAAAACCGGATACGTTTCTTTTTTCTTTTTTTTTTTTCGATTTTTTAAAAAGCGACTCATTCTAAAATACTACTAGCTGGATTTTTAAAGCAGTCTGTCGTCTCATACATAAGCTGTAATTAATAATCATTCAATATTGTTTTTATTAGAAATTTCTACGAAATTAACATCAACAAACGAATATAACATATTAAGTAATATTGTTTTTTTAATAAATTTCAATTCAATAACCTGTTTTAAGTTTTACGAACATGTTTCTTTTTTCATGGAATAAACATGAATTGAGTGAAACAAAGGCAGAATCATTTCATATCTCATAAGATAGAAGGTATTTTTTGACGATTCGTTCGAAAATAATTATTCTGATATCGCAAGAAGCGTGACGAGCAAGCAGTTGAGTCAATATTAAGTGTCTCGAATGAAGGAAAGGAAAGAGGATTTATTGTTTCTACGAAGATTCAAGTAGAAAAGATGTGTCCAGACAAAAGTCCCATCTACACGACCAAAATTCCTCTCGATGAAGAGGAGACCAAAAAACAAAGTAAGTTCTTTCTCATTCTTTAGATGATAAGTTATACGAAATACCTGTTTTCGCGCCTTCCTGTTGAACTCCTGTGTTTTATTTATTTATTTAAAGTTGAATGGAATGAAACCCAACGCAAATCGACATAGGTCCTAAAATTTAAAAAGCTGAAAGAATTTTAGGTTGCTTTTCATTTGACTTGCAATTGAGATTGCTATCTTCACGAGCAAAGTATTATTTATGTACAGGAAATTTAGCAGTTGTAGAATTTTTAAAGGTGGCCATTTTTACAAAACTTAAAACTTTTTAATAGTTTTGAAATTTTTTGAAGCATTTCTCAAAATATGTTAAACATAACATTCTTCATTTCTAATAACTAGAAAAAGGTATATTTACATCCAAAATAAATGGCGACTGACAAACAACTTTTTTATCAATTAATCAATCTTTAAAACAATTTTGTTGCCATATATATATATATATATATATATATATACTAATAATTAAGTAAGTTGCAAGGATTTTGTGCATAAAAAGTGTAATATAGTGACTTTTACCAATTTTTACAATTTATCTTTCCTATCGCTACACAAGTGAGATATTGTTTCCTTGTGTTTTTTAGGCTGAATCAAATAAAACTAAACACGAGTCAAAAATACAACTTAGTTAGAAGTTAAAAGGAATTATGTGTAAATTGATTTGAATAAATAACTGTTGTAAATAAAGTCCTCATAACTATAGGTTTGGTTTCATTCAACTCAGCGCAAAATACCTCTTTCGTCTAGATAACCACGCTAGACCTGTATTCATTAAAAATTGAGTTTTATTTGTGAAACCTGTTGCTATTACACCCGTATTACTTTTAAATTGACACTTTATTCTAATGTCATTCGATTCAGCATGCTTAGTATGGAAATGAGAAACAATGTTCAACTTAACAAGTAAAGTGTAAGTTTCTCCCCTCCCTTTTTTTAAAACTCCCCTAATAGAAAATTTAAGATGGCGGTTAAATTTTGGAAAAGGGAGCAGTCTTCAGCTATTCATATTGTACCAAAACCGAATCTTTCAGAACAATTTTTAGCTTTCCTTCAAATTATCTTCATATTCAGCTTTTCTTTTCTTTTTTTAATTGACTCTTGAATTCTATCCTATATCTATATCGTCTAGAAAGGAGATTTGTGTTGACATGTTAGAATTTATTTTATTTAAATTATGAATACAGAACCTAAATCTTAAATTTTTTGTTCTTGTAGAAGCCGATATGCAACTTTTTTAACTAAAACACTGGAGCATTAAAGAAAGATAAACTTATAAATAACTTACTTATAGTCGGTGAGTTTTTTTTTCTAATTAATTTATTTATTTTGGGCAGTGCTGTTTGCGCAGGGGAACGATGTTCCCCGAAATATTTCTTTTGCTGTAGTAAAAAAAATTAAATATTTGAAACAGATTTCAAACCAATTTATTAGTTTATTATTTTTTACGAAGCGAAGCAAAAATATCTGCTCGGTTCAGGGGAAAAAAATTTCACTTTAACAGATGTCGTGTTAATTGTAGATACAAATCAGATTCAATAGAGCAAGTGAGCTTTTAAATCTTATGGGTGCAATTTTTCAGCTCGTTTGTAATCAGACGGAATGAGAATAACCATATTATTAATAATATTATATGTTATTGTATAAACGGAAATGTTTATAACGCTTTAAGTTTTGATATAGCTAAAAAGCTATGTAATCAAAGTAATTATTTAAATTGCATTTACTAGTGTTGAATGAGAACAAAATCTTTATATCAAGTTGATTTTAATTAATTTTATGTAAATTTTCTTATGTAAAATTGTAAATTTTATGTAAAAAGGATATGTAAAATTTTAATTATTAAATGAGATTATTTTTCTAACTCTGTTTCACATGTTTTATAATCTAGTTAGCAAGGAAACCAATCTAAGAGCCAATAATTATATTTCGTCAATAATCATGGAGTTCATTCAATCCTTATTTGAATAAAGACAGTTTTATAGTTAATAATATAAGTTATAACAAATGTGAACTTCTCTTACTGTTAAACTCTAACGAAACAAATTTTTACCCCTTTTTGTGTACATGCATAGAAATGTTTTCGACCTTCTTGCTATTGAAGCAAAGAGTTAAACAAGCAGTGCTATTGGAGAACTGTGTACTCACTTAGTAATGTTCAATAGAAATTTGCAATAGAAATCATATTATGCAATTATTTTGTCAGCAATAGTTTTTATGATGAATACACCAAAGATAAAAATGATCCAAGCTGTGTGACAGCGAACCCCCTTTTTTTAAAAAATAATTGTCTGCTTTTATTCATTTATTTTTTTCTTAATTAAAGCTCGCCAAATGATTTAAACTAGTCATTTTTTGGTTTAACAAAAATCAGCCAACTCTAACATATACCCAATAAAAAAATTAGTTCCCCGAAATATTTTTTTTTTTCAACTACTGCACTGATTTCGGACAAAATGAGTCTTTAATATGCCTCGAGAGTTGATATTTCATTTCTCGACTCAGGCTTAAAATCACTTCCAAAAACTTAGATCTATGATCCATCACAAGACCATATACCATCACAAGATTGATATACTATAATTACTTTCTAATTTAAGAAAAAAATATTTAAATCACATTTTACTTAGGATAGTAAGGCAATATTCGAATATGTTTTGTTTGATTTTGAGAAGCTTTTCAAAATAACCCAGATAAAATACTAGTTTTTCGGAGGTAGTTCATTTTATTTTATTATCCCCATGAACACCCTTTTCATGCAAGTTATTTTATGTAATAAAGTAATAGTAATTATTAATTTAAATTAGAAATACGAGCTTGGTCACCCTTGTATCCTGCTGTAAATGTTGCATATAAAAACTGAAAATTTGAGACACTTTTTTTCAAAACTTTGACTGTTTTAATGTCTTTTAAAAAATATTTCAGTTAATGAACATCATAAAAGTGAGCTATTCTGAAAATCTAAAAGTATAAATTAATCAATGAATAAAAAGATATCTGGAAAACGCAGTCATGGAAAGAGAATAAACAGATTCATGCTTAAATTATTTAATAGGTAAATAAGAGGCTTTTTAATAACTTATATTTACTTTAGTAATAAATTTTATGCAAAACTGTGCCTAATCAACTTATTCATTCGAATGAGGAATACAGATTTCTAAAGCAGTATTTAAAATTAATTTTCCACACTATTGCCAATAAGAATTTACAGAGCCTGACTTAGGCAGGGGCATACGGGGCAGTTGTCTCGGACCACCACATTAGAGGAGGCCCCCAAATCAAATCGAAAGTTTATTTTACGTTTCCTGCTTTAATGAACTTTTTCAAACCAAAATATAAGTACAGTGTAAAATCCATCGATTTTATGTTAGCTTCTTCATAAATCTATCGTATGAACACAAAAAATCTATATTTCGTAAATCCATGGCTTTCTAGGGCGGAATTCAGCTAAATGTTCGCAATTACGTTGGACAAATTTGGTCAATCAAAAGCCTGTATTTTTAAATATCCCAAAAATACTGGCTTCTGATTGGTTTAATTGAGCCATCGTAATTGCGAAAATTTAGCTGAATTTCACCCTAATGTCTGCAAGGATATGCATTTTCCGCAGCTAGGTGACAATCAGAAAACTGCATTTGGCATGGTGGACATGGAATTGTCAGAAAATCAATGAGGTGGACAGAACGATATTTTGTCTGACCATTGAAGGGGAGGGGGACTTAATAGCTATTTTAAGTTCTAGTGAATTTCCTTGTTATCTATGTATAATGAAGTGAAAAATTTAAATACTTCCATAAAGTTCGGTTCTTCATTGTTGAAGTAGTGAAGCAGCGGAGCCCTCCGAAGAAGTTTTTGTCTCGTACGCCAATTAGGCTAAGTCGGGCACTGAGAATTCAAAGAACAAGCTTGAAGATAAAGTTGCAATGAAATATTCAAGTTACGTCCTGATATTCCTCATTTTTGTGTGTCTACAGAACATGCCATTTTCCATGAATACAAAAGAGGGTTTTAAGTTAATTGATTAAAAGAATCGAAGGATTTTCTATACAACATTCAAGTACTACTTTAATTGATAATACTGGTGAAAATCGCAAAATACGATCGTTCAGCAATAGGGGCCTTCCACTAATTATATGCAAGCCAGAATTTTGTTCATCACAATTTTTGGAAATTCCGTCATTTTATGAAAACTCAATTAACCTTTTAAAATTTTTATGGGGACGAATTCATTCCCTTCTTTTCAGCAAATCCAGTAACTTTTATAGCTTTTTAATTATTGATTCGTCTCGTTCATGTTCTTGTTTTTCTTTTATCTCGTTCATGATCGAACTTATCATGGAATTTTAAATCATGAATTGATTGAGGGATTTCAGGATTAAAGAACTTGGTTACAAATTTAGATAACTTTTGATCGGATCGAAAATCGATATCGTTATTTTTCAAAAGCAGCGGTACTGTAAACTTTTTTTTAACTTATTCAGTGTATAAAATTAAATGTCAAACTGTTAAAACTTTCTGCTCTAAACAAAGTAAATCGGAAATTAAAAATGACATGTTTTATTATTCTTTCGCGATAAAATTTGTCTTTATTGTATTTAAATTTTTCAAATTATGCAATGCTTAGTTTGTCCTTTTTAAAAGTAGTCTGTTTTTAAAAAAATGTTTTGATTTTGTCCTATTTTCTTTGTCCCACTACGAAGCTTGAATTATTTTGTTTAAATTTTATACCTAATCGAAACAAAAACTAAATGTGTGTCAAAAAAATTAAATTATTAAGATCATTTTATTGAGTAATTTTTAATTTTGATCTTACAATCTGTTTATCGTCCATTAATAAAAAGTTAATGAGAAGGAATCTTAGTGAGCGAAACGAGCGGGGGAAGGAATCTCCGAGTATGTACCTAAGAAAACTATTGTCGTAGCGCCTACCCATCAAATTTGTTTAAAGTTTTAACACTTATGGTTCATCTCTATATTTTATTT